GGTGTTCATCGACCGGATGAAGCGTGCTTGTTCTCTTAGCGTAAGCTAAGAGCATAACAGTCGCTGATGCAACGTGACCTCCTTCTTTTTATATTTAGACAAAGTTTTAAACGATTTGTAGTTAAACTCGGTTTAAGTATTCAAGCGACTGTTACGTAACTGGTGCAATTTGAAGCACCCCGCGCGGCCTCAATGGGCGCCTCCGCGCGAAACGTCTTGGCGCGGAGTGCACCACGGTTTCGCGTAACCGTTTGTATCGGATATTAGTTCGTATCGGCGGCGAGAATGGATCCAACGCCTCCATTTAAGTAATGCCGCTCAACTTTAAGCGTGGCCTACGCTACTGTCATTTTATTTACGTATTTGTATGCGAGACACTCTCGGCGAGAGGGTGCCTGCCTCGTCGACCACTGAGGTCTAGATTTAGACTGGGGCGCGCTTCGCGTGCGGGTCTCTAAGCGGAGGCAAACGCACCGAACAGTTTTGCGTTTTTTGCTACTATAACGGCTAGGACACGCTGCGCCTTATTGTTATTACCATTATCATCACTATTTTGGTGAGTACTATGCATGTAACGCTTCATATGACTGCACTAGATATTTTAATTCTCATACTAGAGATGCTCTAAGAGCATCTCCGGCGGTTGGTCTCAAACATGGTTATAATTGATGTTGGCAACATCATCATGTTGCTATTGGTATTGATTGCAACTGTTACTGTCGCCGCCAGCTACTGCGGCTGCTACTGTCACTGCTACTGCCACTGCTTCAGGTACTGACACTGTCACTGCCACTACCGCTGCTACTGCTACTCCTACCCCATCACTACTTCTATTGCTATACTACTGACATTCCACTATTGTTAAAGAAATTGCTTTTGATATTGATAACTGTGGAGGGCCTACTTCTGGTCACTGTTACTGCTTATCCCTACTGCAACTACAGCTACTAAAACTACTATTTCAATATTTTTAATGATATCATAGTAATGATGTCATTGATGCTGCTAGTTCATAGCTCCTGCTATCGCTACTGCCACTGCCGTTACCGCTGTTATTTACGCTACAACTACAATATCAGCATTGATAATGACTTTGCAATGATGTTTCCCCTGCTTTCTTCTTCACGCCGGAGAAAGACTGCCAAATTCTACTTCATGTTTCTATTATATATTGCTGCATAATATCACTGGGCATCTCATGGCTTGCGCAAGCTAAATTTACAAGTAGATGCCGTCTGAACATCACCGTCCCCACAAGCATTACCGATGATCTTAACTTTTTATCGGTCGTCTAGACTTTGTATATCACTCTCCTCTTTTCTAAATAGTATATGTAACTTGTATTGCTGCGTAAGTAATATCAATACGAAGTATCCATATTTCATATTCAGTAAAATGCTATTGGAATTGTTCGCCTGCGTCAAGATCACTACTGCAACTGCCCTACTGTCAATGCCACCGCTACTGCAACCGCTATTAAAAGGATAGCTTTGCTACTGATATTGCTATCGCTATTTCTGTTATTAACTTTTTTCTGCTCGCCCCGGTGCGTGAGTTGTTGCAACTCAGTATGATGCCATCCAACGAGACTTTTTCGCGAACCGCACCTGTTAAGATATCTCTATTTACGAACGAGCAGTTTACACGTCACCGCAGTTATGAAGTACGCGATGCAAATTGGCTCGAAGGCGCTAATTTCGCTTTGTTATCCGTTCATATTGCTCTAGTTAGGTTCTTGCTGCAGCAAACCTTACGCCCATCTAATCGGGCACTTTTAGGGTTAAAGTGCACCACCATGGCCACGAAGGTGGCTTGTCCGTCTATCAATCAATGTCTCTGCTGTACCTACTGCAGCTCCATATGATGCGACGTCCAGAAAACACTACGTATACTACTGTGGTGCGACGTCCAGAACACTACATACACTATTGTCGGTTTAGTCAACGTCGCACAGCGCCGAAGTTCGCACAGTATGCATCGTAATGGTGGCGTGTGAATTAAACCGGGCATTTTTTTTGCTTAAGTTTTATTCCAAATCCAAAACCCCGTTAAAAGATCGATCCGGACGCTTCGCTGCTTTATACCGGTAACACCATGAGATTTTGGATACTCTAGTTCATATTAAAAATTACCGAATGTATTAAACTGATGGTCTGACAAAAAATGATGCTGGCTCTATGCTATTCGCTTAGAGAACATGAGGAGTGACGGTCGCCTAGAAGGAGTGCACGTCAGAAGCGATCGTTTAAAACGGGCGGCCTCCTGCTGTCTACACGCCGATACCAAATCGGATGCAGAAAGGCTGGCATCGCGAAGCGAAGCTGTCCACTGTCGCGATGAGGCCCAGGAAGACTGGGAGAATGATCGTGAAGATAAAGCTACGCCGCAGATAGCAGGATAGCGATCTAGCGTTATAACCTTACTACCAGGGTTCAGTACAGATCATTTGTCAGCAATATAAGGCGAAACTTTGTCGGGAGCTGCGCATGAAATATATGTAGTTGCTCTATGCCAAAACTCTCGTTCTTTCGGCGTGATCGCTAGTAAGCCAGCTTTTCGATGGCATCGTAATTCCCAGTTTTCCAGTTGTCGTAACACAACGACAGAATTTGTGGGTTTGGGCGGCAAATTGGTGCCCAGTACCATACCCTCATGCGGAATGAGTCATACAAATATTAAGTAAAGCAAAGTTGAGTAGTATGGTAGGCGATTTGGCGGAGGTTTACACAAAGAATCCACACAGACTAGCGCATTGGGGCACATGAGTGTGTTAGGGGATGTTTCATCCGATAGGATAAATAGGGTAACTTTTGACTCTCATCTCCTATTTCTGTAAACACCTATAGAATTCCAAGAGTAATAACTGTCTAGAGGCTGCAGCCAGTGAGCTGGTTGGCAGCCATACATCACCTGTGTCGAACCGCCGCCAGCAGAAGCACAACCGCCGCTGCCAGCATCTCGGCCACCGCCGCCAGCAGAAGCACGAAGAAGACTGACTGTGCAGTAAGGAAGTATACGCAGGGCTGGCTGTGGTGCTAACCAACGATTTTGTGGATTTACCCGGCTATTTTGATACCAGGGCCGAATCTGTTTCAGTAGGGATGAAGTTACCATGGTTACCCCAGCTGCCCCGACCTCAAATCCCGGGGCATCTGGGGCAGAAAATGCTGATCTGTGATTGGCCGAGAAAGTTACCCCATTTGTCCTACCCTCGGATGAAACATCCCCTTACGTAGGCGTTAATAAAGAGCTTAGATCAGCTATGGTTTGAAATCTACGTTGTTCTGCATTTCGAGAGCTCTCCGAGCTCGTACCTCCATACAAAATGGGTTGATATTTTTTGGCATTTATATATGCCCCCACGATACAAGAAAAAATGTGTTGGTCGCGCAGATTTCGGGCTTTTGGACCTGCTATATACTATAGCTACAGCAATTACGAAACTGTGCTCTCTAATTTGAAAAATTACATATTTGGTCGGAGTGCGCCTATAATTTAGAACACCCCCGGTTCTGTCAATTGTTTCTACACTCCTTTCAATTCGCGGACTAGGCCACAGTGCGGTAATGGGTTCTAATTGGGTTTGTATTGGCTCATATTGACCAGAGCATCAGGTTCGAAAACAAAATATTCAGGTTGCTAGAGTAAATTCTTGAGTGAGCCTATAAATAATAGCAGCACTGTATTAGGTAGTTCAAACCCGAATATTCAACCTCCCTTCCCTTTTCAGACCACCACATACCAAACACAGCGGCAAGAGGTGGTAGCTCGCAAACTACCACTACTATTCATATGCGAAAACGCAAAATGGCCCCGATTAGAATGAAGCATTAAGTTCGTAGAGCTATCTCCAATTCCGGTGACTAAGTCTCCCTTGAGTTAACAACCGGGAACACCCCAAACGATGCATGCTTCAAAGGTTTTAGGATCTCATAATAATAATACTAGTTTGAGTATGTAACCAGGCTATAACTGCCTGCTGTTCGAGACACTTCATGTTCGTGCGAACCCCTTTTACACAAATTCACCAACTCCTTCCTCCTCTCACTTAAGTAGTTTTTCTGCGTTATTTAGGCTTCACGCCGCGTGATGAAACAGCAAGTAGATACTACCACGCTGGATTCGACTTATACAACACGACAAATTAACGTCGTCATCTTCATCTTGAAAAATATGAGGCCCGTGACATCTTGTATGTCGAATCTCGGCTGATTTCTGCGGGGGATGTGTATCGGAGGGTTATCTGGCTTCCTAAAATTCTTGAGTCAAGCAAGCTCCTGCTAGAAATCATTACAAAACTCATGCTGAATCCTCTGCGAGATCACAGCATATTTTCAAGCATATTGTCGATGCTGACAATAATTTTACAGAGGAAATTCTCGTGAGACCCTATTGATTTGCCGGAACGCCTGCTATGATCACCAGGAAACCTATTGAGATCATGAACATGGCTGTCTGGCTAATGATATGCTTGGGACCGTTATGGGCTACTATCCTCCCATTGATATTATTGTGATGTCGAATCCGACGAAACCACGGCATTTCACGTACAGTTATCGTAGGTGTTTTTGCGCCTGGTGTAATTGGTTTAAGCCAGGCCCATATTGAGCATAGGAGATGAAGCTACTAATATCCTTTGCTATTGAACCGCCGTACCTTCTACAACATACACAGTTCCACGATTGGAAATTAGAGTTGGTCAAATCCTTATCCAGTTATTACCAGTTACCGTTATTACCTTCGTACTTACCATTTATTAACGTTAATAACTTTTATGTATAGCTGGTGTGGCAGCAATATTCGATCTGCTAACGGTAATACCTCATGTGTATAGTTGGTGTGGCAGAAATATTCGGTCAACGCGTTTCGTGAAGTTGTCAACGTGCGTGGAGGTCTACGGACATGAATCTGCGTATGCTCCACGTGGCAGGCAGCTCGCGCACGGGGCCTATTCTCGTCGCTGCATTCGCAAACTTGCTCCTGTAGAGCCTGCAAGCTCCATGGACCAAAACGGCCACCGCAACGAGGACCGGGCTAGCAGTGAAGGTCTGGCCTTGGTCGCCCTTCAGTTGGCGTGTGGACCGAGTACATTGTGGTTGTGCCACATTGGGCCAACCCGAAGAAGCAGCACTGCGACGTGACGTGCAGGCACTGCTCCAAGCTCATCAAGAATGCCCAGCCCAAGAAAAACCTCCGCCCACACATTCGCAGCTGTCCCTGCGCCCCAGCGGACGTCCGGGCTAATTACCCTGTAACACCCTCCAAGCGAGATCGTCCCGACACTTCCGATAGGCCCCACAGTCCACCCAAGCGTTCGCGGCCTGAAATGGCTACGAGTGTGCTAGGACCGGTCTCAGTGACTGAAAAGAAGGAGTTCCATCTTCAGATTGCCAAAGCGTTCTATGCCTGCGGCATTCCGTTTCGAGTCATCGAAAATGGAGCCATGAGGTGTATCCTGACGAAGTACCGGCCTAGAATGACGCTCCCTTCACGCCAAGATTTGGCGACCTCACTGCTTGATAGCGCGTACGCGGAGGAAGTTGCCAGCGTTATGGAGGTGCTGAGGGAGCAGCAGTACGTTGCCATTGTATGCGACGGATGGTCCGATCCCAACAGCGAGTCCATTATCAACTTTATGGTGACGTCTCCATTTATCCGACCCAAATTTTGGTCATCGGAGCGCTGCGCCGACAAACAGCATACCGATCCTTTTCCGACGACGAAAATGTCGTCGGAAAAGGATCGGTATGCGCTGTTGTGACGGACAACGCGTCTAACAGGCGTAAGTCATGGGAGCTTCTAATGGCCAAGATACCAAGTCTAACGTGTAACGGCTGCGCGGCACACACGATCAATCTTCTACTCAAAGACATGTTCGGGATGGAGTTCATGAGTGACGTCTTCAAGAAAGCCGTCCTAGTTACCAAATTTGTGCGTAAACGTGCAGCGCTTCTTTATCGCTTTCGGGCTCTGCAACGCAAGTATTTTGGTACCCGGCAGCGACGACGCGCGCTAATCATCCCTTTTTCGACGCGGTGGTACTCGAGCACAAATTGTATTTCCAGTGTCGTGAGGAACGAAGATGTGCTGCGTGAGTTGTTTTCCAACCATGAATTTCTGGCTCGTTACGGAGATGCTGCTGCCAAACTCAATCGCGTCGAGTCCATTTTGGCTGATAGCATGTTTTGGGTGAATGCCAGAGCCGTAATGCGACTGGTGAACCCGATAATCCAAGCTCTCGGCGCTCTCGAAAAGGATGGGTGCTGCCTTTCGATGGTGTATGAATACTTTCGTGGACTGAAAACCCACGTCATCTACAACCGCGAAACTGATGATGTTGCTTCTGGTATTCTTAACACGATCCGAGGCCAGATTAGCTCCCGCTGGAACACCCTCAAGCGCGAATCAATCCTCGCTGCATTTTTACTGGACCCAACTAAGTCTACGGACGACTTTGAAGGTGATGATTTGGACAATGCAGTCGATGCATGCGTAGATCTAGCTACACGAGTTGGTCTACTCTCCAACGTATCTCCAAAAATTCGGTTCGCCGAGCTGTCATGGCTTTTATTCGCGTGAAGAAGTCCTGGACAGCCGAAGACCACGAAAAAAACGCGAGGGACACGCCATTAGACTGGTGGCTGGTCAAGGTTAACAAGTTTCCGCTCCCACATGCTTTGGCTACCCGCGTTTTGAGCATCCCGACGTCGTCCGCTGCGAGTGAGCGCTCGTGGAGTGTTCACTCCTTCATCCGCACCAAGCGACGAAATCGGCTGAAACCCGATGGCGTGGAAAAGCTAGCATATTTGTACTCGAATGCGGGTGACAAGGCTGCAAATAGTGCAGTGCACTATCAAGTCAATGCAGAAGAAGAGGGCGAAAGCAGCGCGAGTGATGACTACAGCGATGATGACATCGTTACGCCAATTGCTCCCAACAGCTCCAGTCGCATGCGCGGTAGTCGGTCTAATACGGCGCACCGATCACGATTCTTCACGCCCTCGCAGACCGACCAACGTGAAGCTGTCCCACCCCCGCTAGCTCGAAGAACACTATTTTCACCTGCACTAGCCAACCCGCTACCCGACCAAGCGACGAATACCAGCACAGTATGCAGTGACGAGGCTGCGGTCGCTCTTACGCAGTCGGTCGCTCTTACGCAGTCGGTCGCTCTTACGCAGTCGGTCGCTCCTACGCAGTCAGTCGCACTTACGCAGTCAACAAGCAGCGGAACCGTTTTCACGCGTGCTGATGAGCACCAGCTTGTGCCACCGGTCGTGAGGCCGCCCGGATCGGCAAGTGCAACAACACCGAGTCTACCAAATAGCGATCGTCTCGTATTTTCATAGGGTAGCAGCGGCCGTCGTGGACTACCTCCAACTCCACAGTCGAGCACTGGACGCACCCACCACTCGCCGAGGGTGCTGTTTGGTCCAACCTGGGAGCATTAGCATATTTGACTTTGTTCACGCTAGCTAAGCCCGCAACACGATCCATATTTTCATTCCGTTCACCCCTTCTTGATTACATATCATGCACTAGTTAGTCAATAGAGTCGTCGTCGTCATGCAAATGTGTATCAATGCATTGGCTTCAACCTCTTTCGAGTTTCTTCTAGATGCTGCCTCGGCTGATGGTATTTCTAGCAGCTTCCTCCGCTTCATTTTCTCGTGAGGAGTTTTGGTTCTGCTGCGGACTTGGGTAGTTGTTCATGATAGGGGTAGACTTGATGGTGCTTGTCGGACGTGACGGCATATTCGTCGTCGCGCTACTCGAGCTTTGATCACTCATGCACGCAGCCGAGGATGTTCGATTTCCTCTTGCCGGCCTCACCACCCTGTTTCAGCGCGCATACAACCTTTCTGTGCTTGTGCGTGGTGAAGCTGCGTGTGGACCCGTGGCCATGGCGGTCGCAGAACACTTTGGTGACCTTAGTGGTGGTGAACTTGCTAGGGGTGAAGGAGAGGTGGAGGGCTAAACCGCTTTTGCCCTGACTAATCCGAGTTCAAATAATGCAAACGCCAGCTCTTCTTGCTCTTCTTATAATCGTAGAGCTTCACATCAGTTAGCTCACATATTCAGTGCATCGTGCCGTACCCGCCGAAACAGGTTGCCCTTCTACGAGATGACCTCAACTTGAACTTCTGTCACTGAGCTGCCAGCACATTGGTACAGCAGAACGCGCACTAGCACTCCCACAAATAAAGAAGCGTCATATTTGGTTAAGAATGCAGTAATAATGTAACATCAACGCTTGTAGCGCAACATTTAGGCCTCGTCCAACCCTTATCAGCGAGCTGTTCGTTCATGTAACAGCATAATGGCCACCTCGGCGATGTATATGATACTCTTCAAGCCCTTCCCTCTCTTACGAAGCTGCAGCACAACACACAAACTCATGAGATCCACCATATCCAGCTACACGCTCTCCCACCGGCACTTACTTCATTTTTGATGAATCCCTCGGCCAGCAGGCACGTGACGTGGTCCACGTACTGATGGCTAGGCCCGCCCTGCAGGAGATAGGTGTTGTTGGTGCCGGACTCCGTAGTGCCAAAGAACTCGCAGGTCCTGTCGCTCAGCAGTGAAGCATCGGCCTCGTCCGTCGTGAAGCGCACGCCGCACCTGTTCTCCTTGGGCACCATGTCGCCTAGTCCGAAGCAACTGCCGGCCGCAACGGTGTACAACTCGGGTGACGCGCCGATGATGTAGACGCCCACACCGGCGGCACGGAGCGCGTGCATGGCTGACTTCTGGCCACTGAAGAAGCGCAGGTCCTTGGTGAACGAGCCGTCGACCTGCAGGTCGCCCGCCGACGTATACATGGGGTCCGCGAGGGCCAGGCCGAGCGTCATGGTTTCGGTCTCCGTCATGTCCACAAGCATAGCGCGTGAAGAGATCTTCTGTAAGCAGTCTGAGTGGCCTTGTCGCAGTCCATCGTCTCGGGCCGAAAAGCAGAAGTGCAGGTACACGATGGCTTCCTTGATGACATCCAGCGGGCGTTTGACTACTGCGTTGCGGAGCCGTTGCTGGTCAGCTTGAATGTGGGGCGATGTACGCGTCGTAGAGCACCTTGGGCCTATTTTTGCGAGCCCCGTGGCCAGCGTGGCGCCGGCGCCGTTCACGTCCTGGCCGAGCAACGAGCTGGTGCCGAGCGACGCGTAGATCTAGGGGAGAGATTCCAGCCTGGGACCAGAGAACGCACCGCGCGCGTGCAGGCTAGCATTGTGTGGGAAGCTGATATGAGCAAAAGCTTGCTCTTCCAGAAGTTAAAATGCTTAAGACAATATTTAAGTATTACGATACACAAATGATACACAAAGGTAATACCATCCTTATTAAATGCCTAAAATTACTAATACCAGTTATTAAGCGTTATTAACTTGGTAAGAAACAACACTATTGGAAATCACAGCAAGATTGATTGATACGATAGGAGTCAGCACTAACCGATATTTTCGTTTTATTTGCTCATTTTATTTTTTCATTTTATTTTTACGCGTCGGGCTACGCTAAGAGACATTGCGCGCAACGTGCGACTCAGTTTTCCAGCGTTTTGAAGTAGCGGAGCGTTTGCTTGTGAGTGATTTTCAGCCAATTCGTTACACTATCACGGAACAGTCTCAGTTTGGAAGATACGGTGCCGGGTAACCATCAGTGCTTCGAAAATAATCAGGGTCCACAACTTCGGCAAGAACCAGCTTCATTCACATCCAGCCGGAGATTAGAGTCGCACGACCTGGCAGACGTCGGCAGAGTTGAGTCCAAAGGTAGCAGAGTAGGATCAACGGATATTAGCACGAATATTAGGGCTTAATTATTCAAAACGGGATCAAGCTCGTTGCTACGACTTTTTGAGTGCTAAATTACTCGGAAAAGGCTACTTCTACGCTGGCCAGCTCCTCCGGAGTTGGACGTCGTTTGTACACACGGTGGAACACCTCCTGGTAATTAGCGTCTTCATATCGATAGACCTGGAGCACCTCAGCAAGTTTGGGATCAAGATGGATAATACCAGATACGCGCTTATACTCCATCAGTGTCCAGACGTCGACGTCGTCATAGTTAGAGGAAGCATTCGTTTGGATGATCGTGATGAGCTCGGCCACTGAGTACTTCTTGTAGCCATCGACGCTCTTGACCAGCATATCGCGGTAAGCTTTCAGCAATCTGCGCCGAGCGAGAACACGAGCTCGGCGATACGGGACCATCAACGTATCGATGAATTTACCCTGGTTTTCGATCTTCTCGCTTGCCACATTCAACTCTCGCTCCAGCGTGTCGACGTTCCTCTGCTGCGCATTCGAGTCGCGCTTCAGCATGCCGACCTCCCGAGTCAGCCTGCTATTGTCCCCCTTGAGCGATCCGACCTTCCTCGCCAGTGTTTTGTTCTTCCTCTCCAGTGCGCCTATCTTCCCCTCCAGTTTGCTGCTGTTCCGATTCAGTATTCTGTTCTCCCCCTTCAGCGCGCCAACCTGCCCCTTCAGCGTCCTGTTGTCCACCTCCAGCTTGTCGACCTTTACCTTCAGTGTGCCGACCTCGTCCTGAAGCCTGGCTTCCACTTTGTCGAACCGGTCCAGCACATCCTGCATAGTCACAGATGCGGCCGGTTGCTGAGTTTGGAGAGCTGGCGCTTGTGCGGATGCGGGTGTAGGCGCTGACACCGCCGCTGGTGGCGCCGCAGAACTTGCTTCGAGAGGCGCCTTCGCCTGGAGATCTGGTGCTTGTGCGGATGCGGGCGCTGACACTGTCGCTGGTGACGCCGCGGTACTTGCTTTGAGGGGCACCTTGACGTGGGGTTTCACGTCTTCTGCACTTGCGCCTTGCTTCCAGTCATTAAGGCGCGTGTCCGCGCTCTGTATGGCCGGCTCGAGCTCCACCCTGGCCCAGTCGAAGTGATTCTCAGGGGTGCCTGTGTCATTTACCACGCCGTTCCGGAAGCGTGGTGTCTTGAGAAAGTCCGCCATGCGCGGGTTGCCGCGGACGGTGACAACGATGTCCAGCGCCGCTGCTGTCACGAGGAGCTCGTTCACCGGCTTCTTGTGGCGAGGCTTGCGTCGTGGCTTCTTTGTAGTGGGAGCTTGGTCACCTCTTGGCTGCGGGGCCTCTTCGGTAGGAGGCATGATGGAAGGCACGCGGTTCGAGAAAGGCCGACTTTCGCTGCAGCGGCAACAAACGAAAGTGACGGGACAAATTGGCGGTAAATTCCGCCCAATCAATCAATACAAACATCAAGTCATTTCCGCCGTGCTCAATCCGTACTTAATGGGGTACAAAAGTTTATAAACCGTTATGTACCAAGCGGCTTGCTCTGTAGCGCCTACTGGACGGAGTCTGCACTTCCGTCACCATGTGATGCTGTTATTGCCTTCTCTCTGACAAACTTCTTGCGGTTGGCGCGGAGAAGAGTTATCGCTGGCGTGACTTCGGCTACGTCGCGTCTTGACGGCTCACCGTGTTCCCAGTTCCGACGAGGACGAAAGAAGACGATCACTACTGTAGCCGTTTACATCCATCGCCATAAGCTCAGAGTGACTTTGACCGCGATCAACTATGGGACTAGCGTTGAGCTCCGCACAAATGACACGTGCACCCAGTGCCTCAACGTCCCAGTCAGCGGCAACCAGAGCTGCACCGTTTCCTTCAGCTCCTGTGTCTTCATCTACAAGGACGAAGTCATGACTCTCGTTGCTACAGGAAATCCCCTCTATGTCGCAGCTGACTTTAACGCCTTGAAACTTCGAGATTGAGCGGGTTCGGTGGCTCACAAGGATGGGAAATTCTCAAGGAGTTCTATTTTTTACAGTGTTTGATCGTTGAGTTTTCTTTTAAATAAATTGTCGACACGATCTATCTTTCATCGTGGTTTTGTAAACTACAGACTCATGAACGCATACGAAATTTTAAAACAAAATGTGAAATAGCGCAGACATTCGAATCGTCTTCACAGTAAATCGAGCAAACAACGTACAATATTGGTAAACCTAAGACTATCCTATCAAAATGCAATCCTAACGGTTCTCCCCACCCTACATTTCGCAGTTGCATACGTTGATGACACTTTGAATTCGAAAGTGTCCCCATCTCCTTATCGTAAGCATAATGCGGCTCTTTCGCCGTGGCTGTTTCATTTCCTCACAAACGCGCAGCACTTGGCTGCGCTTTGATGGGACTATCTGAAAATGTTTTGCTTTCATTCTGGTTTGTTATGGTTCCCGATAACGAGGAGTATACAGAAAGTATCGAGTTTGACATCCCTTTCACCCCGGACCCAGCTCCCCAGTAAATGAGTAAGGCAAACTTCAATGTATTCTGCGACAGCATTACGGAGAGCACGTGATAACCGTGACAACACGATGTCGCTAGCTAGCCTAGTTCGTGAAGTTGGGGTCGTACGTGTTCGTTCCATTGACGTAGAAGTAGACGGTCTGTCCATCTTCCTCCTCGCCTCCCTTGTGGTGGTGATGGTGGCGGCGGTGCTTCGACTGCTGGTCCGTTGTTCCCGTCACGGTATTCGACTCCAGCCCGAACTTATCGATCCAGAACTGGATCTCGTGGCCAATGTTCGAGTTGTCGGTGGCGCCGCTGAAGATTGGACGCATGTATAACGTGTCCGTGGTCACAGTGTGCTCGTCCACGATGGTGGTGCGCACGCAGGTTCCCTGCTGCCAGAGCGAAAGGCTCATCTTGCCCCACTTGTGCTCGCTGCCAGGTGCGATGCTGACGTAGCCGTCGTTGATGAGGTTGTCGTTGATACCTTGAGCGACGGCGATGCCGAAGCCGGAGACGGCACCAGTGACGGAGGCCACGGTGCCGACAGTGCCGGCAGCCGCGGCTGCTGCTGTTGCAAAGGCACTTGTAGATACCCCAAAGACGGATACTATTCCATTGGCGGCGAGGGCTGACGCGACGGGCGCAGCAGCTCCGGCCGTTCCGATGACGGTCGCTGCAGCTCCGACGACGGAGATGACGATGCCGGCGATCTTGAGCGCGGCCTCATCGGGTCCGATCTTGCAGGTCCAGGGGTCTTCGGTGTTGTTGACGATGGAGAGGTAGGAGCCCATGGTGGAGAGTTGGTGGTGGAGGTGGAGGAGGTGCTCAGGCGGAGGCAAATTGAGGAATGAAGACCTGCCAGCGATGAGATCGGTTTTTGCTGCGGATCTTGCTGGGTGAAGATTGGATGCCCCAGAGCGAACGCAATGGTAAGTGGCCAAGAGGGCACCGTCATGATATCCATTGCAGTCTGGCACAGATAGCTTCACTTTGGGCAATGGACAGGTCGACCAACTTCCCACGCGTCAGTAGACGAGTCTCCAACGAAGTGAAATTGTCAGTGGATTCCAGTCGCAGGATTTGCACCACGAACTTTTCAGCCTGAATCATCTGAGTCGAGCGCTTCTGCCTGTCAACTTCAGTGTGCGGATCCGAAAGCTCTTATCTCGGTTAATCTGCGGAGGTGCACTATGTAGATGACGCTTGGACAGCTCATACCTTACGATGGGTGGCTTATGAACGAATTCAGCGAGGCAATACGTGCACTATAAAGCGTGGTTAGTCCACCGATAGCCTTCATACCCATGGTACTACAGCGGAAGCTCAGCTGCTGCTGCCATCTACCTGAGTTGGGCCTTCCAATATGCAGACGTGATTCTTCAACGTGTTGGTAGACTCTGCCCTCGTTGCGTCAACCGCTGATAACGGCACAGCGCCTATAGTACCAACAGTGAAACCCTGTCAGCCCCCGTAGTGGCCGCCAATGACCACAAGTGGCGGTAGTTGTACCTCCTTGAACGAAGTGTTAAACCAGAAAGGAACACCAATCAGTCAGGATTTGCTGGTTCTCCTTCGTACAGGTACCAAAATCCACCTCAAAAGGGGGTGGATGAGCTCGCGAGGACAGTGAAGCAATGTACATGTACAAAACTCCGTCTATTCCGTTGGGATCGATGACCGAAGCTACATATAATAATTGCACTTCGGTGAATGGTGTTGGTGCATGGAGGATGGCATCCTACCGAAACTTTTGGATTGGAGCTCGTTCAGTACAGGTTAGAGCCATTCCTGAAGTTCAGGATCTCAATAGTGAGATATAGATTCCCCGGTGACCTTTTATCCGTCGAAAGCCTGCTCATTTGTGGTCAGAACGAAAGACCCCCCTTCAGCTCAAGCACGACGCAGTCATGGGGACTTTGGGCACGCACCTACGCGCTCAGCTCGAGGCTCTGCCAGACAACATGGCTATCGCCCGCTGCTACTCATCTCTCCGTCAACAACTACAAGACTACGACGGCGAGTCCCGAATCCTTTTCAGACTGGCAGGCACTCCACGCGCAGTTCCAATCCTTGGGCGAGCGGTGGACTCGGCGTTGGGCATCCTCGGCCTATTTGATAAACCGGAACAAGTTTCTTGGCACCGCGAGCTTCAACTGGAGCGTGGCGAACAAGTGGACGTCTTGAACGCCTTGATAGTCGACACTGAGTGGCTGGAGAGTGAAATTGGGGACGAACGGGAGCAGCTCGAGCTCTTAACGCTGCTAAAACACGGAGTAAGTCGACATGGAGATGGCTTAAACTCTCAAGAGCTGGACTTGATCTCTACACTATACGACGCAGTCGTACGACTGTCTAACGTCGTGGTAGGGGACCTCCCTGACTGGTTCGCAGCGTCCGAGCGAGGATGGTCTTTAGCTGTGAGATCCCCAGCTGAGAGTGAGGAGAAATGCGTGAGGCAGGCGGCGATTTGGTCCGAGCTGCTTCATTCGAACATTCGCAAGTTTTACGGCGCTTACTACGTCGGTAGAGCGTCTTTTATCCACGAACCCGGTCGCCGACTTGCTGAGAAGAGCGTCGTTACGTGGGAGGACCTGCTGGGTTGTGCTCGAGGCCTGCACTACTTACACGAGCGGGGGATTGTGCACCAGAACTTGTCGGAGAACCACCTTCTGTACTCGAATTTCTACCGACGAGGGTTCTTGAGCGGCCTAGATTTGGTGGGTCTGGGCGCGAAAGGTACCAATACTCGTGGCCAAGTCTTGGATATCCGAGCTTTTGGCTGTGTGATCTTTAAGCTTCGCTACTTTAAGGTCGGGGATCAACTTCCCGAGGTACGGCCCGAATTTGTGCTGGAGGATGAATGGGAACTGTTGACCGCAATGTGTACCGCTGATGCTTCTACAATGGAGGAAGTACTGTACAAGATCGGAGTGCTGGCTCAGAGAGAAATGTCCTCTCCACATGATAGCGAGCGTGTCCAGAGCGCGAAAGTTGTGGGGGATTTGAGCTGCTACGAGATCCAGACGTTGGGTCAAAGCATTGTGACTACACTCGATGACATTGAAGCGCTGTGCAACGAGCTCGAAGAATTCAGCAACGTGAACCGCCCCGTGTGTGCTCGTCTGAAAGACGTATACGAGCAACTCGACGCCTCACAAGCACCGTTGCCTGTCGCTCTGGTTGAGAACTTTGCGCTGATTGTGCTTCACTTCTACGATATGCTGGACCAGCGAACTCTCGGTATTATAAGTTCCGTCTCCACTCTTCTCGCGTCCAAGACGCTCGCTGGCAAGATGTACGGACTTCACCAGGACATCGACCATCTACTACGAAGTGCTCCTTGCCTTGACGGACACGCAAAAGTCCATCGCTGGCGGCCGCAGCTTCAAGAGACCCGCACACGTCAAGATCAAGAGCTACGAGCGTCGACTACCGAACCATTGAGCGCCACAACTGACATCAAAAGCCAGGACGAGCGCGCTCAAGCTCTGGCAATCTTGCAGTTCGAAGCTTTGAAGCTTCATGGAGAAACTCCAAAGACCATCGTTGAATTACCTCGCTGGTTTATCCCCCCTCACCAGCTTAAACTCGGTAACCACATCGCTAGTGGTGCATTTGGGGCTGTCTACGAGGCTACCTGGCTCGGTACTGAGGTCGTGGTCAAACAAGTCTTCACGGACCAAAGCGACACTAAAAGCCGAGCGCAATTCCGGCGCGAACTTGATCTGTGGTTCGGGCTGAATCACGCCAACTTGATCAAGTTGTACGGGGCATGTCACGAAGGAAGGCCGTTCTTCGTCTGCGAACGAGCGGCTTATGGAACGCTGGCTTCGTTTGTGAAGGGGAAGCACCGAAAAGAGATTTGGTTTTGTCTCTGGGATGCAGCGAAAGGTCTCCAGCATCTTCACGACCACGGAATTGTTCACGGAGACCTCAAGGGCAACAACATCCTGGTTTGCGACGAATATCGCGTGAAATTGGCCGATTTTGGATTAAGTTCAAACTCGAACCGTTATGTATTGGGCTACGATGAAGGGGGAAATTTGGGGGCGATTCGTTGGAAGGCGCCGGAGTGTTTAGCTGGCAGTCGACCCACGGCTTCGTCCGACATGTATTCGTTTGGCATGTGCATCATAGAGGCCATGACGGGCCAGTTCCCGTGGGGGACGATTCCCGACAATGTCGTCAAACGAAATGTGCTGGACAAGAAGACCATCCCGCCACGGCCTCGAATCTTTTCCGAGTCAGAGTGGGAGATGGTGGAGCGCATGTGCCATAGCGACCCCCAGCGCAGGATTACCATTGGCGCTGTCGTTAGTATGATCTACAACTTCTCCCTTTAACTATGACAGCAAATTTTAGGTACCGTACAGCACAATACCACCCAAAGTTATTTGTTTTCCTTCGTTACTCGGTGTAGTGCTGAAGAATTATGCGCAAACTGAATGCGACCTCGGGAGCTGTTGGCCTCTCATCTGGGACCAGAGAGACGCAAGAAGTCCCTAGTGCAGCAATGGGGCTCTCTGCTGGAGCAGTGAACTCCACACGAAGTCTGCCGAGCGCGATCATCTGCAGGATCGCAAAGTCTGACCGCCTCCGCCCGTTTGGGTTGTTGAAACTTGCATTATTGGAGAATGGAAGTACGTGTTGGTCGAGCTCGCTGAGCACCATCCCGAAGGAATAGATGTCGGCCGTTGCGTCAGCCCTTTCGCCCATCAGAACTTCTGGGGCTGTCCACAGCGGAAGCTTTGGATCCCCCGCCATTGAGCTGGTGATGCGCTCGTTAAAAGTGCCAAAACTCGTGATCTTCGCTTTAACCTCAGCGCTGAGCAGAATAGTCGTCGACATCAGATTTTGGTGCAGAACCGGCGGATTGAACGAGTGGAGATACGCGAGAGCGTCGGCTACGTTTAGAGCGATGCTCAGCTTCTGACGGTCGAAGCCTTGAGGGCGGTCCTCAGCCTCGTATGAAGCCAACAAGGCGCGTAGATTCCCTCCCTCCATGAGTTCCGAGACTATGCAGACGTCTGCGAGGACGTCCCAAGCCACCCCAACGAGCGACACAATGTGCGGATGCTCCATTGTAGCCATGATCTTCACTTCCGCGAGTAGGGCCTCGATATGGTCCACGCATCTCCGGGTCTCGGGTAGCAGCATCTTGATAGCCACCTGGTTGTCTTGATACGAGCCCAAGTACACTTCCGTGTAGCTCCCACTGCTGATTAGTCGATGAAACTTGATCAGCTCTCGCGAGATTCGACTCGACGTGATGCGCTCGTCGACCAGTAGCCCCTCGAGGCGCTGCACCCCGGGATTTCGCTCTCGCTGCGGCTTCATTTCGGAGCTCGTCTCGCAGGAAATCTCGTAGGACGGAGCCGTCATCGTCGAGCTGCCGCCCTCAGCGACGAATGGACCCGTGCCGCCCTCAGTTGCGAAGGGCTCCGTCTGGCTGGGGGGTTCTTCATGTAGTGCAGGGGCACTAGCCGACGTACTATGGATGCAGCCCATGGCTAGCTTAAGCTGTGAGTGCTGTAGTGTGGGTTCTGGTAGCTGGTAGTGCTGCGTGAGTTCAGATCATCTTCTTCATAGGTTCAAACTCGAGCAAGCTGAACTCAAAGTTTGACTATCTAATATCAATACCTCCAAGTACACTGGGGGCGCGCATCCTATGGTGACGCGAATGCTTCAAGTTTGAGTGGTACATGTACATGTAGTGCATGTGCATGATGTACACATCATTGGTTTGATTCCAAGCTCCGTGGTAACGTCATCGATCAATGAAAATCGCGACTGTCGAATCTTGCGGGGACTTTGCACGTGCGTCCGAGATGAGCCTTTTACGGAGAGATCCATGTACTGTACGCTGTCTGCGAACCCCCTGCCCAACCCAGTCACGGCCTGGGCGTTTTACCGCAGCAACTCTGATGGGGTATATCCGTGGAAAACAGGTTGAAGGCGTCGCATCAAACGCTGAAGATTCCAACACGGAGTAACTCAACTATTTTACTGTTTGAGGCGGTACCCCCTGAATCTCACGAGGTTTGAACGCATCCCTCCTCACGTTAATCTCTCTTTAGTCTTGAGGGTCGATTAAATCGACTAACCCCCTCTGGGTGCATGTAAATCCTCGCCACGCGCCCCCGCCCCGAGTCGTTCACTTTCGGATTCTCCATCAACAGCGCAAGTCCCAAGCCTTCCCTCAAGCTCCATGGCCATCCAAGCAACGGGCGAGACGGTGGTGCTCACCCCCACCGCCAACGACGAGCCTGCGTTCAAGTACGAGCTCAAGGAAGAAGAAGAGCAAGCAGAAGAAGAAGAATCCTACAAGAAGAAGACGCTCCAGCAGAAGATCCTGTGGGGCGTCTTCTACACGGTCGCGTCGCTGGCCGCGCTCTACTTCTTCATGGTCGCGGTCAAGTTCATCGGCGACGGGTTCACGCTCGCTCTGGGCTGCGACTCGAAGGGGGCCTTCGACTTCGCCAACAACCCCGTGGCCGGGCTCATGATCGGCACCATTTCCACCGCCTTGCTGCACAGTTCCGGTACGGTGACGTCAATCACCGTCGCTCTGGTGGGCGCCGGGGGGATGACCGTCCGCCAGGGCGTCTACGTCGTCATGGGGGCCAACATCGGTACCTGCGTGACGTGCATCATGGTGGCGTTCGGCCAGGTGGGCGACCCCGTGCGCTTCCAGCGAGCCATGGCGGCCGCCACAGTGCACGACATGTACAACATTTGGTCCGTGATCGTGCTCTTCCCCATCGAGGTGCTGTTCCACCCGCTGGAGAAGATGTCCATCGAGATGTCCAACGCCAAGACGTCGAGCGGCGCCTTCAACAGTCCGGTGGACGCGATCGTGAACCCGTTGACCCAGAAACTCCTGTCGGTGGACAAGAGCTCCATCTACAAGGTCGCGACGGGAGACTTGGAGTGCACCCCGGGGATCTCCTTCGTCAAAAGCGGCGCCTTTGAAGGTTCAAGCTTGAGCGACGGCAGCATCAGCGCTATCGTCATTGTACTGGGCTTTTGCATTCTCGTTTGTTCCTTGGTGACGCTGGTCAAGATGCTGGCCAAGGTCTTCTTGGGCCCCACCAAGACGCTGATCTCCAAGCTCTTGAACTACAACGGCTACGTCAACATCTTCATGGGCACGTTGATCACGTTTGCAGTCCACTCGTCGACGGTCGTGACGTCCACGTTGACGCCGATGGCTGGCTTGGGGGTTATCACGCTGGAACAAGTCTACCCGCTTGTGATCGGAGCCAACTTGGGCACGACGGGGACGGCTCTTCTGGCGTCTTTGGTCACGGGCAAGTCGGACTCGGTGGCTATCGCGCTGGTGCACTTCTGGTTCAACGTGTTCGGCATCTTCCTCTTCTACCCGATCCCGATCACGCGCAAGCCGATCTTGGACTGGGCCCGGTCGCTGGCGTTCTTCAGTGCGTCCTGGGCGTGGACGGCTGCGCTGTTCCTCATCTTCCTGTTCCTCGTGATCCCCGGGATTCTGCTGGGTCTGGTCTACATGTGCACGGCCGACAGTACCGTGGCGCAAGTCTTCGGCTGGGTCATCGCCTGCGTCGCTGTGCTGTTCTTCGCTGGACTGCTCTTCTGGTACAAGAAGAAAGGAGGCAAGGAGCTGTGGTACGCTTTCCTCGAGAAGAAACGTATTGCCCGCGAGCAACGCAAGATCGCTGAAGGAGACGAGAAGAAGTCCTTCATTGGGGAAGATGTGGCATAATTTCGTGATGTTCGTCAGAAGGCTTAGGCTTCCCTATAAGAGGTCACACGCTCTATTATGTTAGGCTCGGGCTTTTTTTGCCTCTAAATACCCATTGAACGACACGAAAACCACCTTTTGCTTCAACTCAACGTATTCATGATTTTTGATTCAAAATAGGTGTTATCTGAGCCAGCAAACAGCTATTTCGGGCATCTTTCACGTTGGGCAAGCATTAACTTTGATATGCGTAATGAGCGTCTCGATTCCTATGGACAAGCAGCATGTGCAGCGCCGATCGTCAACTCTTCGCTCGCTTCCGCTCATTTCCCCGACGATTGGTTCAACCGGTTCTGGTCCAATTCGCTTAGCCTTGACGTCACTTGCCCGCGTTCTACGAAACTCGACAATCTTCGTCGCCATCGGATTTTTCTTTGGTTTCTGCTTCACAATTGGAGAAGTTTTCACGGGGCTTCCTCCGAGCCAGCAGTCAGTCCCCGCATTCAACGCAACAAATATGGCCTGGTGGTACGGAGTCTTTGCTACGTGTATGGTCATCATCATATCCGCCAAGCTGCCCAGAGAGCAATTCGTCGTCACTCCCACAGCTCCAATGGCTCTCAATATTGGCGCCAAACCGTCGTCAGCCACTCGAAAACTGAACCTGATGCAGTGCATGCGCAAGTTGATACCGCCGACGAGTCCGTTCTTGATATTTGGAGCGGTTTGTGCGGTTGGAGGCGAATATGGGATACATTCGCTGATTCCAGTAAAGTGGAGAGCGCTCAAGCCTTTCCTGTACATGGCTGCCTTTTGGGGCTTCTTCAGCATGGTCATTGTCGACGTGTATGCTCGCAGGATTTATCAGACCGAGACTGTGCGAGGTAAAGCGACCGTCTCTGCGAAGAGCGAGGCTTCGTACCAAACTCGTACATGTCGTCGCTATTGGATCCCATCAATGCGGCGATTCTTGTACGTTTATCGCCAAAATGCGCCGGTGATTATCTTCGCGATGATATCGATCGTGTATGTCCACGGATTTAGCCGGATTATTGGATCGACAGGACAGTGGGGATTTCTAGCGTTCTCCAGTGCGAGTATTGCGTTGAAGCTGGCGTTGCAAGAACTGGCCAAACACATGATGATTGTAGTGCGTCGGCCAGTCTCGAGACGAGTCATGGTCGCTCTTGTATCGACTCCTACGATTCTTGTGGATACACAAGTCCGGATCCTACTGCTTCGACAGGCGAACCTGAATATTTCCATCGCTGGGACGATATTCATTGCGGTTTTTGAGATTGTTGTGCGAGCCACAAAGTCCGTCATGGTGCAGCGCCAAACCCGTGAACCGGTCCAGAATCTACGGGGATCTCGACGTCGGTCTACATTAGTTCACACTCTGCCTACATTGAACAGTCCAATAACACCAGTGCCAGTGATACCTACCCGGAAAGTCATGCCAACACTGAATGAATCGGGGCGACAGACCTCCGTAAGCGAGACAGCAGCTCAATACAGAGCCCGGCGAGACGCCATGGAGCGTCGTCAAAAGCTCCGAGTGCTCCACGCGGGAGAAATATACGCCGACATGTATGCGGAGTACATTGCCATCGGCTGTTCGTTCATCATGCTCTTCTTCTTGCGGAACCACCCGCAGTACGAATTCACCATTTTACAATCGGATCTTTCCGACGAAACAAGCAGTTCGGATGTCAGCTTCCGAGAGCATCAGCTGGTGAATCTCGGATATCTCCAGACGGGCGTGGAAGTGGTCGTTGATTTACTGGCCTGTATAATTGAAGCCACGCGTGGTGTCGACTTCAACTCGTTCAACCAGAATGACCCGTTCCTGATATTCTTCTTGGGCATGCTGACGTTTTCCAACATCGCCATTTCAGCCGGATTATACATGCACTAGCGTGCCCGACCAGTATCCGTATAAGCTCACTGTGACAAAAAAAATAGGCTAACTAAACTTGACAATAGTTTGCTATTTCAGTCCCCGCTCTTGGATGTGCGTGGCCTCGTAAAAAGTCAAGGATGAGTCGAGTTCATAGGTTGGTGCGTCCACTTTACTTGTCTGCTATAGCCACGGCGTCGTGTTGCGCAGCACCAGTAGATCTCGCTCTCCACACACTAGGGAGCATACTACGCAACTCAGTTTTGTACGTTGGGGTGGGCTGGTTCTTCGGCTTCTGCTTCGCGACTGGGGACCTTTTCACTGGGCTCCCTCCAAGCCAACAATCCTACGCAGCATTCAGCGCCGCCGTTGTGTCTTGGTTTTGGGGCGTGTTTTCTGTTTTTATGATCGTCATCATGTCGGCCAAGTTACTTCGAGAGCAGTTTATCGGATGCTCATCGAACCAGATAGCAGCACGAGGTCCTACCGTGTCCCTGGCGCGAAATATGACCTTATTACAGTGTATCCGAAAGTTGGCAGTACCGATGATCCCTCATCTCGTGTTGGCGGGGTTTTGTGCCGTCGGTGGAGATTTCCTTGTGTACTCGACAATGCCACCGAACTGGTCCAAATTCAAGCCAATCTTGTATATTGGCTTTTTCTGGGGGTTCTACAGCATGGTAATAGCCGACATCTACGCTCGACGGATCTTCCAAACGGAGACTGTCCGTGGTATTGTAGCGAATCGACTCAAGAATCTCTCACCGAAAGCTCCGGTACTTGCGAGTCCTGGAAAACGTCCTAACAAGCTCCATCAGGTTGACGAGCACCCTCATTCCAAACCATTCTGGACCCCAACACCCCGTCGAATACTTCAAGTCTACCGTAAGAATCTCCCCGTCATAGTCTTCGTGTTAATCGCCATCGTGTATGTGCACGCACTGAGCCAATTCATACACTTGACTGGGAAGTGGGGGATGTTCGCTTGTGCTTGTGCAAGTATCGCCCTCAAGCTGAGCTTGCAGGAGCTTGCTAAGCACATTATGATGTCGGTACGCCGGCCAGTGTCAAGACGAGTCATGGTCGCACTTATCTCCACCCCGACCATCCTCGTTGATACACAAGTTCGAATGCTTTTGCTACGACAAGATAATCTCAATGTCTCCGTCGCGGGGACGATACTTCTCGCCATCTTCGAGATTGTCGTTCGAGCTCTCAAGTCCGTGGTAGTGCAGCGTAAAACGCGCAGACCTATGACTGCTCGGCAAAGATCTCGACGGCGGTCGTCAACATCTAATTCTTTAACGCCGAATCATCTCATAAAGTCAACGCCTGTGGTCCCAGCGAACGGCACAACATCTATGGACGGAACGAAGAGTGAAATCGGAACTCGGTCGCGTGCTTTATCGTTAATGAGTTGTGAATCCCCGGCGGAGTACAAAGCACGGAGGGATGTCGAGGAGCGCCGCCGGAAACTTCGCGTGCTGCACGCGGGTGAAATTTACGCGGAAATGTACGCGGAATACATCGCAATCGGCTGTTCGTATGCCATTCTCTTCTTCTACCGGGACCATGCTCAATTCGAATTCAGAGTATTGTCGGATCATGCAGCAACAAAAGAAGCTGACGGGGTTCTAGAGAACAAACAACTGACGTCTCTGGGCATTCTTCAGCTGAGCGTGGAGGTGGTTGTCGATTTTTTGTCGTGTGTACTCGAGGCGTCCGAAGGTGTCGAGTTCAAAAGTTTCAACCAGAACGACCCGTTCTTGATCTTCTTCTTGGCGATGCTGACCTTCTCGAATATTGCCATTTCGGCCGGAATGTACCTCCGCTAAACATGAAAACAAGTTTTGGTACTAGTATTCTGGTGGATCTTAGAAAATGGATGTACATTATTGCTTGGAATGTTGTTGCTTGAACTGCCACCTCAACGTTTGCTATTCTCAAGCCGCACTAGCGGGGGTCTCCTTTGCTACATTCCTCATGGAGTTGGGATTAATCCACCGGCACTGAATAGCTAGCATTCCGATGGATAACTCGTCCAGATAAATCTCCTCGGTAGCAGCTCCAACAGGCCTGAACGCTTGACGCTGGAGCTTGTCGAATCTACCGTCTCCAATGGGTTGACCTATTGCCACGCCCTGCTGATTCCCTGATCGAGGCTCCATTACGGTGAGCAAGCGTGTCGCTTGTCGAAACCTCCTGTGCATTACGCCATCAGGGCGGTATTTGAGCCCGAAGCACAAGCCCATTAGATGCAGCAAGACGCTGATCCCCCCACTGTAGTTGGCCCAGTAACTCTGATGCACGGAGCGCTGATCCATGACAAACTCTGGCGCGACCGAACCACTGTTGAAGCAGCAGGACGTAAGCTCGTTCAGTCCCCGAGGCCACGTGAACAGGCCGCAGCTACTGGTAGCGACCACATTCCCACCCACAAGCGCCCGGTAGTCAGTTAATCGGTGTGTCCTTGGATCGAAGTGTGAGCCTCCAAGAAGCACGACGTGCTTTATCCGGTACAGTTGAGATGATTTATCGGTCCCCAACTCCTCCTTGAGCTCTTCCGAACGCTTAACGTCTTCGTTCAGCTGCGCCAATAGCTGCGAGTCCGTCATTTGCCGAGCTTGTTTGATCGAGTGTTTGGAGCGCAGGACGTCGACGACTGGAAAGCCGTCGCGGTCGAGCTCCACCGCGAAAGTTTTTCGAGAGAAGCCCGCACGATGGAACAGCTCGGCCACAGTGGTCTGAAGCACCAGCGCGTTGAACTTCAGTCTCTGACAGGCGTCACTGTCGGAATTGTCGACTCCGGTTGGCGCGTCGAAGCCTTGGTAGCTGTCGCGGGGTTTCTGGTAGTGGAAGCGCACCACCCACTTGGTTCTCCTTGGTGCGAACCGAACCGTTAGCTGGTGAGTTGCCGAACCGATTCGGAGGCGGATGTAGAAGACCCCGGGGTGAGCGAGATGCACATACGCCTTGAAGTGGCCCGACTCACGGACCACCGGCCAGCAGACACTCCCCACCCACGCGTTGTTGTCGCTCTGGTCCGCAGCGTGTGCTACAGTTTGGATATACAATGCGCTGTCCGGGAGTTTTGTCGTCTCGAGGTTGTCGACGTGCCCTTCAAGTGAGACCAAGGGGAAGCTCAGCTTCTCGTGCTGGCGCAAGTTCGTGACTCGGATGTGTAGGAGTGACCTGGAGTCTGCTGTAGTGCGATGGGTAGACTTTGGTAGTGATGCTGGAGCCAGCGATGGCTGTCCACGTTTGGGGACGTCGAAGGCTCGCTCGCAAGGGGCTGAGAGTCGCCCTCGCTGCAGCCAGAGCGACCTGCGCATCCGACCGTCCGGCGCGCTGTCCCGTCGAGGATAGTGCACGTTGCTTCTCCTGGAGTGCTTATTCCCCATCGAGAGTGGAGACTTGTACCGGTTGTCTGCGAGTTGGGAAGTGGTTGCCGGTCTCAGCGGCCGCCAATATTCAGGAATAAGTCCGTTGCATGCCAAGTTTCTGGCGTGGGGTGCCGATGGGTTACAGACGCCTGTTTACTGGAGGCGAGGGGCGAATGACCTGTTGGTCACTCCATTAGCTGGTGGCAACCGGACTGTGACGATTGATCCGAACTTGTAGGTTCAGCTGGCAAGCTTCAGAAAATCCACGCACCGACGCTGGGTACTTAAGTATCCCGCATAATTAAATCACGGCTTGGATACCAGTAGTGCTGTTGCCAACGCACGGTGACAGTTTGCGTGATGGGGGCTCCTCACTTGCCAGCCAAAGCACTTCAACCATGCTTTCAACTAACGTACTGAATTAAATTAGTATCTATAACCTCGGCCGAGTGACGCTCTGATACATAGAACAGTGCCCCGCTGAGTTATTCCGTCCTCTGCCACCTGCTGCAGTGGCAGATCCAAGCCGCGCACAGTAGAGCAGAGCAGAGCAGAGCAGAGCGGATCTTCCGCCTTCCGTCCACCGGCCGCACTTTCGAATGCCACCCGGTCGATAACGCTCCCTCTACTCTGTTACGACACATCACGCCTACTCCAGCTGCCACAAATAGCCCCTAATAGAGAGACAACGACAAGAGAGACTGCCGACCGACCCGATGCGCGCAGCTCCCAAGGCCGACGCGGCCACCGAGCTGACGCCTCTGATCGGGGCGGCGGCGTCCGGCGGCTCGCGCTCCAACTCTGGCTCGGGCGCGCCGCTGCTATCGCCCAGCTACGCGGCGTCGTCGCCGTCGTCCTCGGCCTTCTCGCCCTTCGCCATCCGCCCCAGCGAGGAGCCCGAGCCCAAGGCGGCGAGTCCGCCCCGCCCCGGCAACTTAGCGACGCTCCTGTCGCAACATGAGGACGAGCCCCAGAGCGACGAAGAAGAGGACGGAGGAGGAGGAGGAGAAGAAGAAGAAGAAGAAGAAGAAGAAGAAGATGATGATGATGATGATGATGAAGACGCCACCGAGAGCCAATACGCCTACTTCGCGTCCCCCGCCAAGGTGCTGGGCTCGGCCTGCGTCAAGGGAGACTTCTTCCAGGCCCAGAGCGCCGTGGAGATGGCCATCAGTAAGGCAACTCAAGCGGCCGAGCGGCAGGAGGAGAAGAGGACCGAGAGGGAGCTGGCGGACGCGGTGCGGCGCCGCGTGGCCGACAGCGTCTTCCGCCTGCTGACGGTGCACGAGGCGCGCCATCAGATGAACGCGCTGCACCTCGCAGTGCTGTACGAGCACCCGACGGTGGTGACGTACCTGGTGTCGGTGGCCAAGAAGTACTTCCCCAAGGACAAGGACGCGTTGGTGAAGATGAGGAGCGCAGACAAGAAGAGACACATCCATCTACGCGGACGCCAGAATGGCCATGGAGCCCCTGAATGCGCCTCGGATAAGGAGGAGATCGATGACGAGACCAACAGCAACGCCAGTACCGAGACCCAGGAGCAGGAGCAGGAACAGGAATTGGCGTGTGGCACGCTGCAGGACTTTCTCGACAGTCGATGTGGAGAGTCCAAGCACCGCGCCACGGCGCTCATGTTGTGTACGTCGGTGGCGTGTGCCACGACGTTGATCGACAGTGGTGCCTCGCTGGACGCGATGAACTCGTCCGGGATGACGGCGATGCATTACGCGGCCAGCACGGGGAATGCGGCGTTCGTGAGTTTGCTGGTGTATCGTGGAGCGGACGTGAACCAAACGGACAGCCGCGGGGCGACGGCCTTGCACTGGGCGGTGTTTGAAGGGTTCCAGTACACGGCAATGCTGTTGGTGGGCTACGGGGCGAACCAGAAGATCTGCGACTCGGAGAAGCAGACGCCGCTCATGATCGCCAGCGCTCTTGGAGATGCGTTCTTGGCCAAGCAACTGGTGGTGGAAGGCGCGCCCGTGAAAGCCAAGGACAAGCATGGCAGAACGGCGATGGACATCGCACGACAGGGCGCACACTTCGACACAGCAAGTGCGTTGAAAGCAGGCTCGTCGGACAGACTGGTCGCCTGGGCGTCGCGTAAGGGTGCCTCGGTGGCTTTCTTTTTCGGTATGGTGCTTACTACGGCCACATTATCGCTGATTTTTGCGGTGCCATGCCTGCCGCCCCAAACTCCTGCCCAGACTGTACGGTACCAGACGATGGGGCTGGCGTTTTTGACCTTCACGTGTATCATGTACGTGTACGTTTGCATCAAGGACCCGGGGTACGTGCCGCGCTCCACGCGCCCCGCTTACGAACTGCTGGCTGCGGAGGATAACGCCGTGCCGTGCCCGACCTGTGTCACACGCAAGCCTCAGCGATCCAAACACTGCTCAGCCTGCAGACGCTGCGTGTACCGCTTCGACCACCATTGCCCGTGGATAAATAACTGCGTGGGGATCGGGAACCACCGCAGCTTCCTCGTCTTCCTCGTCACGTTGTCGAGCTTCTGCTTCACGATCGGTGCTCTGTCCCTGAGTATTTTGCTGAACCGTGTACCCTTGCACCCGTCCGCCCCCAGTGTTGGTGACGGCCCTGGAGACACTGCGTTGTGGCCGTGGCGGTGGTTGCAACCCCCGGAGTGGGCGCTGGCTGGAGAAGCTCCCGCCCACTCGGAATCGACGCTGATGCTGCATGGAATCCACGCCACTCTCCTGCTGTGCGCCGTCGTGTTCGGCATGCCGACAGCCACGCTGCTGGCGATTCAGCTGCGCAACGTGAGTCGCAACTTGACGACGAACGAAGTGTTCAACAAGGACAAGTACCCGTATCTGAAGACGCCGATGGACGAGTTTTACAACCCCTTCGACCAGGGCTGCGCCCACAACTTCGCTGAGGTCTGCAGTGGCGAGATTCCAACTAGCAAGGAGGACGACGGCGAGTTCGATGAAACAAGGAGCTTGACCGTCCAGGAGCACGAGGTCAGTGCTCTCAGCGAAAGATAGAGCCGCAACAAAGCGACCACGAATTTTTCCCCGGAATACAGTACTTAACTAAAAGAACGATCCTTTCTTGATCTTCTTCGAGGTGATGCAAACGTCTCCAATATCACAATTTTTACCTGATAACCCGCTAAGTTCTGAATGACATTTGCTCAATAGTTCAAAAGCTCCCATTAACGTGATAGCTGCTACAGCCAGGGAGCCCACCCTGGAAAGAGTTTGCACAAGTTGTGTGGGTCCTGTGCTGCACTCAGGAGCTGCTTTACCTGGCCCTCGATGCTCAGAGCACTTCCATTCGGGTCCTCGTAGCCCTCGAGCTTCTGCTTGACGCGAATTAGAGCTCGAGCTGCAGCGTCAGTACTTCCCGGCTCCGCATGCATTTCATCAGCTGGTTGGGCCTCATTCGTACTGCCGGTTCCAGTAACACCGTAGCTGCTACCAGAGCGGCTCGAACCCCGCGAACGTGCATCAGATTTCCTGCGATCCTGTTCCCCTCCCTCTTGAATGCGCAGTGCCTTCAATGGTGAGAGTGTCCATCGATAGAGTGGATCGTGCACAAAGACCTCGAGAATCGTCACGACCGAGGCGCTCTTCTTGCGCAAGAGTTGCAACGTGACTTCACAGCAACGCGAGAAAACGCCGTCTACGCCTGAAATGCCCATTCCATCGACCATGTCGCGTGTGAGTCGGAATGGAACAGTCTCGGGCGTATACAACGCCATTCCCTGGTCAAACACGACGCCAAAGTCGATGTGCACGAGCTCTCCTGTCTCTTCATGGATGAGGATGTTCTGCGAATGGCGATCTCCGATGCCCAGAATGTATCCGACGATGGACGTCACCGCGGCGCTCTGGACGTAAGCTAGTCGACGATGGTACCATACTGCTGCATCGGGGAATTTCTCTAAAAAGAAGTGGTGGAAGACTGGAGTAAAATTCGCCTGGATCTCCAAAAAGGCCGGCAGCTTCTCCGGAGCATTTTTCAGGTATTGTCGGCATTCCGTGTGCTTCCATTCATGAGGGTGGTATCGCTCATGCGCCGACAGCCTCTTGGATGTCCGACTCACCAGATAGGACCCCCAAGGTGTAGTGTTCTCCACCCATTCCAGCACGCCTGCAATCGGAGACAGCGGGACCACTCTGTACGTGCGCAGTCGCAATTTACGCTTGCGAGTCGCCTTTTCTTCCATCAGGAACTGGTTCATCGTTTCAAACACTTGTTCAATGACAAGGTCCTGTCGCGTGTCATCTTGCCCCTTCACCAGCTGCTTGTAGCTTTGGCCATCCGAGCCGTGGCAGTAAATTATCTTCGGCCGATGGATTCCGCTGTCGGTAATGGAAAAATGCGACTCAAATGAGAACGTTCGTACCACGCCGGAGTAGTCCATATCTGCTTGCGGTACGATGCGAGAGGTAAGCACTGCCGGGATTACAGCAGAGCCACCACGCCGTGTCCGGGCACGAATGTATGCGTCAAACGGCGCGGCTCCAGACCTTCCTGAGCTTGAGCTTGTATCAAAGATCGTCACCTTCGACAATGGAATCTTCTTCTTTTGGCCGTGATATTCACTTGTGTCAAACAGTGCCAACTGAACGTACGCGTTTGCCATGCAGTCGAGAGACTCCAGTAGCTCCCGCTGCTCCGTTTTCATCAACTCGGCCAAATACACTTTGGCACCTTCTGCTTTTGCGTCTCCAACGTTCGTGCGAAACTGTAGCGCACCCTTCCCTTCAACATCTCCGCTGTTCTTTAACGCAATCAATTGTATCAGTGTATGGTGCGGGTGCTGCTCGCTCATCTTCATCACCAGTTTGCGCAGAGCAGTTTGGAAAGTTCCAGTATCGGTGGAGCTGCTAATACGTGAGATGATTTGGTACGACAGGGGCACGAATTTGTACGACGGCACCATGTCGATCACTTCTTCTATCACAACTCGATTGATGTCGGCCTTGTGCTGATTATTCAGCCATAGCGAAAGTACACGAAACACCATATCGAGCTCAGGTTGAGGCGACAGCGATAGTCCCTTCCCGTAGCTGCACAGCGCCCCCATCAGAAATTGATCGACCGAAGCCTCGACTTTCGAGCGCTCATTGAGGTCATAAACAACCTCTTTATTCAGTGCGTGAATGTGCGCTCGATTTTCGTTTTGCATGTTCTGCTTCATGCTCTGCAGTTCTAGCAGTTCGTCGTGTCGTGCTTGGACAACTTTTTTGCCTGCCAGCCACTCCCGCGACGTCACGCGTGTACTAACTTGCTGGTACATCGCAGCCATGAACTCGGCCAGAGCAAAATGAGCCTTTGATGCATCTCCAGCCCGCTCTGAGACTGCTTCAGAAGCAATTCCGCGAATGATCTCAGTAGCTTTTTGAAAGAACTCCTCGAGAATCACTTGAGAGCTCTCAGAACGCTGCGATGCAATCCATTTACCGGTGATTGTCAGCACCTTGACGTGCAGCAGTTGCAAGGAGGCCGCTTCGGCCCCAGAAACAGAAGAACCATCCAAATATGCGGTTAAGTCGGAGCACAATTTTTTCCCGGTCCAAATCGCACTGCGAGCTTCCTGCTGCTTCCACAACAGTTTGGCCTTTTGTATCTGCCATTGCATTTTGTCAAAAATGCCCAAGGACCCACGATCATCAAGCTGTTCAAGCTTCGATAAGGCTCGATATGCCACTGCAATCCGCCCAGCTTTGCGGCTGAGTGAAGCCAGGTCCAGGTACAGTTTCGTCAGTACCTTCGCTTCATCAGATGCCTTTGACACCTGAAGAAGTACTTCTTCCAGACCTAACAGGCTTTCGGCCTTGTCAAAATCGTTCTTGATCTGGTCATGTCGCCTTTGCCATCGCTCTAGCAGCGACATTGTTGTCAATGATTTTTGTCGCGAAACATCAAGGACATCATCCAACGACGAGTAGCTTTTCAATCCGGTGGGTGTCATAGTCGACAGGATCGGCGAATCTGCCACCGAGCTTGATCTCCTAATGTAGTCAGCCAATTCTTCAAGTTCGTGAATACCCTGCAGGTAACCAAGTGCCGAGTACGAATCTTTCGTGCTCTCAAACGAGTGCAAACTCAGCTGAACCGATTGCAAGATCTGCTCCTTCGCCTTTGATGTCACGCGCTGCAGACTTTTGAAATCTCCGTGAGCTATAGCTCGCAATCCTTGAAAGAGCATTGGCTGGTGCGAGAAACTAGTAGTTGCTGGGTCCTTGCCATCAGGCAGCGAAATCGTGGGAAGCACAGCTTCCCACTGCATGCGTTTCCATGCCAGCTGATATTTGTGCTCTAAGGCTTGAGCAGCAGCAAATCCAGAACTTCTACTCGAAAATTGGCCACTCTGCTGCAGTGACTGCAAGTAGCCTTCCAGCAAGTGATTGTACCCAAGCGATTGCAGTGACGTAAGCATGCCCTCCACAAGCCGATTGGAGACGATGATTGCAGTGCCTCCACGTTGCAGATCATGCTGGTTTGAAAACTGCAAGGAGATATCGTAGAGGGGCAGAGCCTTGGCGTACTTACCCTCGCGGTTGTATTTGACCAACTGTGACTTAACTGTTCGTCCATCGTTAACACCATAAATACCATCGCTGTCGCTGTCAACGCTGTACGCCTCGACGAGGATTTCACGCAATGTGGTCACTATGTCATCGTTATCCAACGACGACAGCGAAGTGATTTTTCCCCCATTACGTTTTTCCAACCACATTTCCACGTACTGCATAGCTGAATACGGCATGTTAACTCGTACGGCAGCCCTTGCAACCGAAAGAAGGTCCACGTCAACCATGCAGTCATACGCCAGATCATTCGAGTTGGGGAACCCTGTTGCAGCACCAGTGGATGATCGCTTGGAGCCTTTTCCTTTACCTGCTCCAACTTTTTTCTGGGTTCTACCGTTTGTCTCCACGAAACGAGCTTTCTCCGTTTCCCTGAGGAAATTGATAGTGTGAACAACGAGCTGCACAACTTGAGGTGGCTGGGAACTTGCTTCTGTTGCTTGGAATTTCCCCGTTGAGGCTGCAACATGGTTTTCCAGTGCGTCATTTGTTGTCCCCGTCAACACAAATCGCACGCCTTGATTAACAGCCTTCACTGCTCGGGAAAGATCTTGTGTAGCGGTAGCCTCCTTCGTGTCATCAATCTCTTCAGTGTTTTCATCGTCGGGTTTCCTTAAAATGCTTTCAACAGCGTAGGGGAAGAGGAATACTGCCATATCTACCCGCATGGCTGACAAGGCCGAGCACGCCTTCAACACCGGGTCCGGAGACTCTCTAGCCAGGCTTGAGGTCAAGGAACACACCCACGACTCAAAGCCATGCACTTCCGCGGATGTCCAACGATCCAATTGTTGACGAAATGTACACTTCGGCTGTAGATCCCAGCCTACACCGTTTCTTGGGGGCGTTGTCGACCAATTCGATGGTGACGCGGTCTCGAATGGCTCCAGAAACGCTTTAAGCTCAGTGTCCTTACTCCGAGCCAAAGCAGCCACTCCCTCATCAAGATTCAGAACACATTTTAGTGTCTTAAGTGTCTCTTCCAGCACTGACGGATCAACATTTCCGGATCGCCTTCCCTCGAAAAACAATGAGCTCAAGTACGTCAGCACGTTCTCATGCATAGCAAGCCGAAATGTTGTCTTGGTTTCTCGGAGTGCACCCCGATGAAAGTGCTGCCGATACAACCGTGACAAATTCCCTTCCTGCTGGGCTGGACTCAGCTCATACTCGCTTGCATCAAGCGCTCCGAGCTCGCCTAAAGCATCTGCAAGGTTTGCTGTTCCTGTTTCACGGAGGCGGTCGTCACTGCCAAATGTGCCTGAGGAGGTGAGATAAAGTAATGTATGGGCAAGCTTCCCGTACAGTTTCCTGGTTGATGGGCTGGAGTCTCGCAGTGTGTCAATGCTTGTTGTAACGGCGGATAAGCGCATATCGGCATGAGACCCAGTTGGACGGTCAGAGGAAGTCCCACAGTGCGGCTTCTCTGGGCCAATACTTAGTGATCCGCCAAACGGTAACGGGTTGTAGAACTTGGTCCCACGCGAATGTTCACGTTGAATGAACATTTGAATCTGCTGCTTCGCTTGGTGGTGTCTATCCGCAGTGGGGTGGGGTGGGTCGTGTGATTTGAGCTTGGCTGCATTGGGGCTGTCTTCGGATGAAACTATCTTTCGACTGCTGATGATTAGCCCGTTTAACTTGTCGAGACTCGTGGATATACCGTCCGGCACTATGTCGATATCAAGAGCGTATTTCCCGAGTCCGCTGCCTAGATCGTTGCACACCGCAAAAATGACCCACTCCAGCTCCGCTTGGTCATCCGCACTCAAGTAATATACCTGTCGCGATGTTGTCGCTTCCAGTGGCGCCGCTGTTGTTTCTCGCTGCAATTGCGTGCTGCACTTGGACAGAATATCACTGATTTCTTGCACTACGAATCCGAGATACTTCCCGAACATGTCAGACTTCTTCATGAAACACTCGCAGCATTCGCGAACTAGGAGAGACATCACCCTTCCGATTGCACGGCGATTCCTGACAGCCAAATGCTTGATCGACTGAAAACATATCGATAGCAGCAGGTGTTGCAGCACTGGTTTTTCGGCTACTGCGTCACGAGTCTCCACTACAAAGATTTTGAAGCACTCCACTGCACATATGGCCCTCGGATCGTAGAGTTCCGTTCGCAGCAAGAGCACGTAAAAATCGCTGAGTAAATCGGCCATATTAACGAGCTTCCAGTCAAACTCCGAGTATTTCTCTTTCATGGCTTTCAGTGCGTCCTTCCACAGGTCACTTTGGGAAATTAATTCGTCATCGTTCCCTTGAATAATGCTCCACACCGTAAAACGCGCCATTTTGCTTGCTATATGGCCTAAATGCGAAAATGATAGCGCGCTCGCTTGGGCACGCTCTTCCGCCACCTCAACCATATTATGAGCTAATTGTTTCAGGGCCGGATCAGGATGGGCCAACAAAATGAACGAAAAGGCGAACAAATCCGTGGTCACCTGCTCACCAAAATGCGATATCGCATATTCAGGCTGATCGTCACTACTCTCACTGCCAGGAGAGAAGCTCGACACGAGCTGATCAACAAATTCAAATCGCCCACCTTTCACTTCGGCGCTGTCTCCAGAAATGAAGTTGTGTAGCACTCCAATTGGAAAAATCATATCCAGTTTCTTCAGGAATTCCAACCGACGCTTGTTAGCATCAATCTCTTTGCCGAGAAGCGCAGAGAGTGGGAACTGCTGTAGTAAAGCGTTGCCATGTGGAAGAGGGGCAAATGGGGTGCTTTTCATCCATCCCGTGCTATCCTCTTTGTCTTCGTCTTGAGGCGCTGGTCGATGGCTTGCAGCTATAAAATTGTGCCACAGACCGCAAAAGTGGTCGTCCAGCAAATCGGACACACTTCCATATCCGTAAAAATCTGCAATCGCTTTTAACCACACTGAAATCAGCGACGGTGTGCCCGCACCATACAGTGACACCGTTATTGATGCCAACTCGACACATGCATCTAGAACCCCAGGAAGCGCTGTTTGTGACGAGCAGGCACTCACATACAAGCTCTGCAAAACACACAGGCATGCGTCCATACACAGTCGTGAATCAACACGTTCTCGTCTCGCACGTCGCCGATGCTCTTCGGTATCAGCAGGGGCTTCGTCCGCAATATCCAGCAGCGAGGGTGCATCTAGTAACGACCCCTGTACCTTGAAAAAGTGTCGGCATATTCCTTCACCGCCTTCTGGATACATGTAATACACTGACTGCAGACTGCGCGCTGCAATAAAGCGCACGCTCGTGTCGCTGTCAGTTAATCCAGCTACGCATGTTTCTTCAAACGATTTGAATTCCCGGGAATTTAGACGAAAAAATACCTCCAAGCACTGCAGCTCGGCGTTCCGCGTCATGCGCAAGCTCTGCTTTGGCGTAATCGCGGCCGCAGTCTCCAGGTGTCTCTTTGCGCACTCCACAAGAATCGCCGGAGGTTGTTCATCATGCTGATACTTCCGCGTTTCATGAACCAAACCAGCAAGGAGCAATGCAGACAGCACCTGAGCGAGAAATATCCCTCCTCGACAATTTCCACCACGTGTAGCTGAAAGCGTCCGGTTTTCTCGTATGCCTTCCTCTGCAGCATAATCGATCAATTTGACGAAAGCTTCCAGGCTGTCAGCGCCAGTTACTCCGCATAAAAGAACAGCGACTGCCAGGACGAAATCCGGGTCAAACTGAATCGCCTGTACATATTTCTTCACCGACGAGAGGCCACTGTCTTTCTTGAGAAGTAAAATCACGCGGAAACACCACAGCGCAATACTCTTTTGAGGCACAGGATTGGGAGGGCGGTCACGTGCAATGTCATCTTCCTCCCTGCATCAGAAAAGTCACGTCGGAATTGTGTGTTAGTGTCCGTTAAAAAAAATGTCACTCTGGCAAAACGCACCCGTCATCCATGACATCCCATTCTCTATGTGTTGACTGGCTCTGGTGCTGAGAAGCGGACGACCGGCTCAAAGTAGACTCCCAGCGGGAAGCACCGCGAAGCGAGCTAAATCCTGTCCGCGGACGTGGCGGCATTGGCGTAGGGGACTCCACCCCCGGCGTATCACTACCGCCACTGAAGCAAGCTAGTGACTCTTCTAGCGTATTCACGATAGCTCTTATTGACGGGCGAAGATCGGGAGGTGTACGTAAATCAATAGGATCTGCTGACGGATGACGGCACCTCTCCAGTGTTTTCCGACCTTGAGACACCAGAATGATCGTATGAAGCCGTCGTAGTATGTGCACCACGCTTTCAGACATTGATTGGCTTAGCTGGGCTTGCTTGATCACACTTGGCTTCAAATAGTTTGCAACAATCTCGAAGTACTGTTTCAGCAGTGGAAGCACACAGAGCCGACCCTCGTTCGTTGCGGCGTTTTCTGACCACAAACCCTCTTCATCAGCATAAAGTGCAGCAAGAACAAGGCCAACCTACAAGAAGCACAACATATCGCCGTGAGATTTAGAAATATGACCGTGAATACCCACCAAACAGTTTTGTCGAATCCTTACGTCAAGTGAGTTAGCTAGCACGCGCAATCCCTTGACTGAATTGTATCCGTCGGAGGGTAACCTGCTAGAGATTTCCAATAGCAAGTCGGAGAACAAATTGACGATTTCTGTCTGCAGCGCCACCGCTCTCTCTGTCGAAATAGATTGAGCATAGTGGTCCTGCCAAAAACTATCACGAGCGAGTAAGTGATTTGCATCTTGTCGTGGGATCAACTCGTACAAAAGACCAGTCGGAGTCGCAAGACGTTCAAAGTGGTCATCAACCATTGCCGCACACGAGTTAATCCCATCGTACCAGCATGTACCACCAGATCCGACGTTTTCGTTAACGCGCGCTTGAATCGGTAGGGCGAAGGCTGCCGGCTTTACACCAGCTGATAGTGGGAAAGGTGTTGAAAGATGTTCGAGCCCACACTCAAGCATGCAGAAAGCCACTCCAAAGCCGTTGAGTTCCTCCCCCGTGATGTAGCTATCGCACTCCTCCACATCTGTTGCAGATATCTTGCGGATCAATTCTGGAGTAAAAATCGCTTCCTTCGTGCTCAGTTGTTCAGAACCTCTTGTTCCGAAGAATGACTGAATGGCAGAAGCGTAGATCATCGTGGACATCTCTGTCTGCCAATCAACTTTAGTGACGGACTTGGATAGCCCACCCGCCAATGTCGTGTTGCGTCGAAACACCTGTGCACGAATATGGTCGAACAGCGATCGAAGAAGTCTCGACTGCACCGTTTCGTACTCTTTTTCAAACACTTCTTCGCCAATAATTTGGGAATCCTGTGTTTGCGATACTGCTGCACCGATATCAGCTTCCGCCGGTAACTGCACGTGACGAAGAAGCGAACGTAAAGTGCAGATAGAAGCCATTGACGTTCTAGCGTAAGGTCGCATCTTATCTCCGCGTGCTGGTGGCGTGTCTGAGCTCGGCTGTCGAAATGCTGGCAGATTCCATAAATCTGGACTGCTTGCTTCGATGGTATTCAGCGGAACGAGCCTGAATGAAACGCAGCAGTTAATTAGCGTAAGTACAGCATCGCCTGCTTGCCCTCGCGTCAATCCGATTCCTTCTGTAACACGACTGTACGGAAGCTCGGGTCGAAGCAAGTTGTGCCATACGTTCGCCCAATGATCAACAAAATTGTCACCGCACTCTTCACGGTGCCGTGCCGAGAGAGCAGCCATTTGAATCAGTATCTGCAAAGTCAGTGCTTGCCACTTGCCCATCTCTTTGACCACCAGCATATCCGCGAGCTTCTGCATGACCATCATCAAGTCTCCAATTCGATTCATCACGTAATAATCTCCGTGGCGACTTAAAATGGACAGGAGCAAAAGCAACCACGCCCCGGAGTCACTCGTCTGTTTGGCTTCGGTTCGCTGAACTTGGGACGAAAAACTTCTCGATAAGTAAGATACAGTTGAAGACTGTCGCTGCGATGCGGGTGAAGCAGATCTGCCTGCTGTCATATACTGAGTGTCCGTCCGCGGGCTGTCCAAAAACTGTTCGATGACCGTCTCCCATGCGAGCACCGTTGAGATGGACCTAGGTCGCTTGCTACCGACAACGACTGGGTCAAATAACTCTTCATCTTGCGCCAAAACCTCACTGTTCTGCATGCACTCCGACACCAAGCAATCGTGATAGAAAATAATATCTGCCGTGCAAGCCAAGTGCCGTATCCCTTGATCATCAATACCGAGGGCATTCCCCAGTCGCTGTTCTCTCGCTGAGTTGAAGTGTGTCATCAAGAGGTTGATCTCCTCCGCACCCATTGCCACATGGACCAGCTTCTTCATCTCGCGCAGCAGCTTCGCCGGTGGCAGATAGCAGAATTCCGGCTCCGCAGCCACATTATGCTGGTACAGCTTCAAAAACTGCATCAAAAACTCTGCCGGCGCCCCTCGAAGTTTGTTCTTCCGAGCTTTATTCGAAATGACAATAAAATCCAGCACCGTGACTCCGCTTTTCAACATATAGGGCCCCATGGATCCGAAATACGTCTTCATCAAGTCCGTGAGCGTCTCCATCAACGCTGAGGCGACGACCAGCAGCAAACTATCAGCCTCTTTCTCCATCGTCTCACTTTTGGCCGCTTCGAACCAGCTCTCAATCTCCAGCACGACACCCTCCAGCACGTGGCGCTCCGAGTCGCGCTGGGTCAAGTCGAAGGGGCAGTTCTTGACCAGGAACCGGATCACCCTGGCGCGAGTGGCTGCCGTAGCTGCGTCTCCGAGCAGATCTTGGTGTAGCGTCGGGGAGATGGTGCCCATGGCCACCTCCAGCATGTTCTCCCAGTCCTTGTAGTCCAGCACGGCGCAGTACACGCGGTACTGCACGAGCACCTCGACCGTGAGCCAGGCCTCCTTGTCCACCTGCGTCTCGAAGTTGCGGTCAAACTCGATGGGCGTGCGGCGGTCGATGACGGCCGCCGAGAAGGCGAACAACTGGCAGATGCAGTCGCGGCCGTTGGGGTCCAGGTGCAGCATGGGGCCGTCCGCCGCCGCGTGCGCCGTCTCCAGCTCCGTGCGCAGGTAGTGCCAGTAGCGCAGCTGCGGCATCTTGGGGCGCGCCGACGCCTTGCGCTTGCGGCCGGCGCCGCCCAGGTTCAGGTACGCGCGCATCTCTTCCTTGAGCACGTGCAGCAGGCAGTTGAGCAGGTAGCCCCAGCTGCGCCAGCGGTGCACGAGCTGGCGCGTGCGGTCGTCGTTCAGGAAGCTCTGCAGCTTGTCCACGGCGCCCGACACGCCCTTGGTGTTCTTGACGGCGCGCAGCTCGCTGCACAGCGCGAAGAACTTGCGCCACTCGGCGTCGCGCTCCGAGCGGGCCGCCATCGTGGCGGAGGTGGAAGTGGTGGATCGGCGAGAGTGCGCACTTGCAATGCGGAATACAGTTAGAGAGAGTGACAGTTGAAGAGCGATTTTGTGCTCTTGAAACGTGGAGTGTTAAATGAGAGAGATGACGCTCTTCAAGAGCAGCCTGCAAGCATGTTGGTTGACCTGACAATATGAAGTGTTTGCATTCGCTGTATTGCTTTCTTTACCGGCCCCGTTCTCCTACTTTCTAGCCCCAATACCCTACGGACGCCCGGCAGCAACACGTCGGACGCAAACCCTGCCAACTAGCCTGGAATCAAAGATCCATCCAAAAGCGAAGCGCGAGTCGGGAGACGCTGCTACGCTTACTGCAGGCCCAGCAGCACGCCGCCGTTGCCGCCCTCCTGGTTGGGCAGGTACGTGACGTTGCGCGACTTGGCCAGCGTCTCGGCGATCTCGCGGGCGGCGTCGATACGCTGCACCTCGATGAAGCCCGAGCCGCTCTTGGCGACGGCGTCGGACACCAGACGGGCGGCCTCGGACTCACCCTCGGCCTTGATGACCGCCGCCTTACGCTCCTGCTCGGAGCGCATGACCACGAACTTCTGGCGCTCGGCGTCCTGCTGGGCCACCTGCTTCTGCTCGACGGCGCGCGTGAACTCCGGGCCGTACTCGAGGTGCGTGAGCGACACGTCGTCCAGCAGCAGGTAGAAGTTGCGGCAGCGGTCGTTCATCTCCTTGGCGATCTGCTGCGAAACCTGGTCACGGCGAGCCAGCAGCTCCACGGCGTCGTACTGGGCCACGATGGACTTGAGCACCTCGTTACCCACGGACGGCAGGATACGGTCGGCGTAGTCGGCGCCGTACTCGGCGTAGATGTGCGAGAGCTTGTCGGCATTTGGCCGGTACAGGCAACGCAGCGAGATGTTGACGTTCTGCAGGTCCTTGGTGCCAGTGCGCGAGCTGATGAGGCGGTAGTTGGAGCGCACGTCCAGGATCGTCGGGTACTGGAAGAACGGGATCTTGAAGTGCGTGCCCTCGCCCACGGACTTGTCCAGGATACCGTCCTTACGGTCGAAGATGACAGCGCGGTGGCCACCGTCCACTATGAGCAATAGGAACCAGCCGTAGCATCACCCACATAGGGAAGAAATAGCAAGAAAATATTAGCACATTTGAACAGGTTCCCTCTGCAGCTTATTACAGGGCTACGCAGCGTAGGCGGCACGTGGAGAATAAGAGGACACGCACCGTCGTAGATGCACTCCTGGAGGCAGAAGCCGCCGATGCCGACGGTCGCGCCGAGGCCGGCCACGCGGTTGAGGAATCTCGCCGCCATGTTCACGCTGTTCTGTGGCTCTGAGTGGCGCCGGGGGAACTTGCAATTGAGGTTGGGCGGCTCTGACTGGCGCACCGCGGTGGGGTGCGCCACACCACATAGCAAGAATGATGGCAAACTGTGTTAATTCATGTTGAGCTTCTCGAATATTATCTAATAGAGGTCCCACCCATCATCCCCGGATTAGGAGCTTTAAAACGGGTGCATATCCAGGATGGCGGACGAGGAGGTGACCAAGCGCGCCCCGACGGCGGCGGAGAAGCGGGCGGCGCGCCGAGTGCGCGTGTTGCAGAGCAGCGAGAGCCGCCTGAAGCTGCTGAAGGGCCAGATCTCGTCGCTCAAGACGCCCGAGCTGACGCTGGAGCAGCAGCTGGACGAGGGCGTGGATGAGCTGCTGGGTAATGGCTCCGAAGCGTCCGCGGATGCTCCTGAGGTGGATGACGCGCCTCCTGCGGAGCTGAAGATCCCCCAACGTGTGGACCCGGCACAACGACGACGTGATGCCGCCGCCAGACGCCGCCGCAAGGAGAAAGTGGTGCAGCAGATGCTGGGGACGGAGCCGCAGGAGGTGGAGCAGGCTGCCCCTAATAAGGAGTCGACAGAACATAACGCCCACGAGACGCCGCTACCTGCTGCTGTTGCTGCTTCAACTATCGCTGCGCCTGAGCCAACTTTCAGTCGCCACTCGACGGCGTTGAAGCTGCTGGCGATGGAGGAGAAGCTCGTGCTGCTGCTTATTGTGGCGGCGGCGGTGTATGCAGCCGTGAGTATGGACCTGACGTCCATCACGGCGAGTTTGGTCGCCGACGACCAGTTGTACCAGGACCTGATCGCCAAGGGCGTCCCCATGGAAGCCATCAGGCAGCAGATGGAGCGCGAGCAGGTTGCGCCCGAGCTGAGGAACAAACTGGAGCATCTAATGACGCAACAGCTCAAGATGGAGGCGATGGGCGCGTCGGCGGCTGCTGGTACCTCTGGCTGGCTGCCAGATGTGGCGGACCTGGGCTTCTTCTTCACGTCGTTGCTGGCGCACCCGCCCATTGCGCTGTGCGTCTTCCTGGCGCGAATGCTGGTGTCGACGGGCGCGAACGCTCTGCATAAGGCGCTGGATCTGCCGGACGTGAAGAATCCGCAAGAGGGAGACCTCGGATTCCTGGCGAATTTGGCGCTGTCTAGTCGTCCAGTGCTGAAAGGTGCGTTTGCTTGAAACTCTCTACTGTGGAGGGCTGGTGGAAATTTTCGAAGAGCTGACGGTGATTGAGTTGTCTGTGTACTATAGAGTTCCTAGTGAAGGGCCGCAAGTCGCTCGACGACGTTTTTGTCTTCGTCTTCGCGCTCGTGGTGTGTGTCGCCATTCGCGTGATTTGGCTCAGCTAGTCGCAGTTTGAATCGAGATAGGATAGTTTTCATCCAGCCTGCAGTATCCGCAGTGAGTTTTCTGGAGGTCAACCGGTGTTTTAGGTAGAACCCGCCTTTTCGGGTTTTTCCATCGGGTGTATCGGGTTTCAGCATCTCCATTGAGTCTTGCTCGAAGCGTACATACCTGTAGTCAAAGAGCGACTTGTGTAGGACGTTCTGCTTGCCGCAAACCCTGGCCATGAAAACAATTGCGATGCTTGGCGAATCGAATTTACCATTTCCTTGGTGAAGATAAACTTCAAATTGCATACGTTATTGCAGGTCTTCTGTTTCTGCCTCGCTAAGCTGATAGTTGCGTTACTCGCTGTGGCTGTGCTGCTCGTTGAGCTTGCCCATGATCTTGCGGATGGCCTGCGCCGGGTTCAGACCCTTCGGGCATGTGTGCGTGCAGTTCATGATGGTGCGGCAGCGGTAGAGCTTGAACGCGTCGTCCAGCGAGCGCAGTCGCTGCTCCGTGTGGTCGTCGCGCGAGTCCTCAATCCAGCGGAAGGCCTGCAGCAGCGCCGCTGGGCCCAGGTACTTGTCCGGGCTCCACCAGTAGCTCGGGCAGGCCGCACTGCAACATGCGCACAGGATGCATTCGTAAAGCCCGTCCAGTCTCTTGCGGTCCTCGATGGACTGCAGATGCTCCACTTCAACGCCCTTCGGCATGACCGAGTGCAGCCACGGCTTGATCGACGCGTACTGGTCGTAAAAGTTGCTCAGGTCCGTCACGAGATCGCGCACCACGAACATGTGCGGCAGCGGGTAGACCCGCACCACGTCCTTGCCGCTCTTCTTGATGGGGCTCACACACGCGAGCGTGTTCCCTCCATCAATATTCATCGAGCACGAGCCGCAGATGGCCTCGCGGCACGAGCGACGAAACGCCAGCGTCGGGTCCTGCTCGTCCTTGATCTTTAACAGCGCATCCAGCACCATCGGACCGCACTCGTTCAAATCAACAGGATACGTCAGCTCGTGCGGCTTCTCCTTGGTCTCCGGGTTCCAGCGGTAGATCTTGAAATACTTGAGATTCTTGGGCTTCGCAGCCATCGTCTTCAGATCCGGGCTATAAGCTGGAACACTGAGCGCGCGGGTACCCCCGCTAGCTCTCCCGGCAGCACGCAGCATTTGTTTCTTCTCCACTTGTTCTCCACAAAATGCTGGCAAATTATCGGTAAACTTGAAGCTTTATCGACTTCAACAGGTTTCATCCTGTAAAACGATATCGTTTATAACAGGTCCGACTGACCTGCCTTTTTGACGCAGCGAAACGCGAGGCGAGTGGCGCCTCTCACTTCCCAACGGTAGCGCCTTCCAGCAGTTGACACACAGACCGACATGGCGGGCTCGAGCAAGGTAGCGGACATCCTGCACAAGACGGTGACGGGCGGCCTGGTGCTGGTCACGGCCTTCGCGCTGGCCGACGTGACGCGCGGCTTCGGCGTGCTGGTGAAGCGCAACATGGACCGGCGGGCGGCGCACGCGGCGGCGGAGCAGGAGCAGGAGCAGACCGACGCCGGCCACAAGGACTAGAGAGCAGCAGCAGCAGAGCCCGAGAGACGGCCTTCCAGTTGAGACCCCAGGCCCCCACAGCCCTCGCAGCCTCGGCGGGCAGCCCCCTAATAATTAATGAAGCCTCCTTGGCTCTGTTCGATCACAGCGTGCGCACCGCGTACTCCTTCTTGGCCTTGCGGGCGGCTTTGGCCACGCTGGACGCCGCCTTGCCCAGTATCTCGCCGGCCTTGGCGCCCAGCTTCTCCGCCGGGGTGAGCTCCAGCGCCTCGCGCAGCTTCGGGGCGCGCTCCTTGATGAACGAGACCTTGAGCTGCTGCGCGAGCGTCAGTTTCGGCCGCTCGCGCTCGAGCTGCAGCTCCTTCAGCCGCTCCAACTCCTTCTCGCGGTCGCGCAGTTGCTTGCGTCGAGCCTGCGCCCGTCGCTTCAGTACTGCTACCCCTTTCTTGCTGAGCACGCGCTGCACGGCGCGCGCCATGGCCGTGCTCTCGTGCAAGGTGGCGAGGAAGGCGTCGATGTCGGCCTGCCACTTGGTGAGCTGAGTCTTGCTGAGCACAGCCTCTGGACTCTGCAGCACCTTGGCTAAGGCGTTGAACTCGTCCAGCTTGGAGCTGACGAAGGCCACGCGCTTTAGCACCAGCTTGTAAGCCTTGACGATCAGCGTCCACTTGATGCGGTGGAACGGAGGCGACAGGAGGTCGGAGCTTGAGACTAGCAGCGCCATGGTGGAGGACCCTTTGCCCTTGGCTCGCCACTCCACGTCCGCCCAAGTCTCAACCGCTTGTTGCTGCTGGTTGTCTTGTGGTTCTTGGCCAGCGACGGCTCGTTTGGTGTAGCCTCGCTTCATCATCCGGGGCTCGGCTCTCTCCAACGTGTCGAAGTCTTGGTCCAGATCGAGCACCATGCCGTAGTCGTAGTCGTCTTGCTGTGTGACGTCCATCCGTGTGCCCAGCCTCAAGACGAGCTTCCTCGTCGACCCACCACCATCAAGACACAGTACAGGGTACGGCAATGTGCCTCCGCCTTTGTCGGTCTTGAGACTCCTGGCGCCGTGCAGCATCTGGTTGAAAGCTGAGGCTGCAGTCTCCTTGAGCTCTTGCAACAGCGACAGCATCACGTCCGAGCGCTCGGCGTCCATCAAGCGACCGCCTTTCATGATCTTCCACTCTTCCAACAACTGCATGAGCTGCCAGAGCTTGCCCAGACGCTCCTCAGCGACTCGAGGCTGGCGTGGGTTGCTCGTGCTCTCGCAGACGAACTCGAAGTACGTCAACGCACGCCTCACCTTGTTCGAGACGGAAGGGGTTTGTTGATCGCGAAGCTTCTTCTTCAGTGCGAGCTTGGCGGCCTTAGCTTCTTGGTGAGCAAGTAGCAGCAGCCGCTCGCGCTCTTCACGTTGTTCTGCAGCGACGATCGCGTAGTTTGTCTTGGCGAACACGTGCATTGCGTGGATGTGCGGTCGAATCTGCAGTTGAAACGGGTCCTGGTCGACAGCCTTGGGGAGTAAGAAGGTGGCTGGAACAAGTCGAGTCCATGGAGGCAAACCGCCACGGTCATTGCTGCTGTCCATCGATATCACTAACGGGGTTAAAGAGCGATTCTCCGGTGGCTTGAAGTGGAAATTCTGCTGCACGTAGTTTAGTATGAGCTGCGAGGTGCTTTGAGGGTGTAGAATCGCCACTGCGAAGAGTAGGAACTCGCTGCTGCTCGTACTATCGTCGGTAGTACTGGCACGATCACTTCGTGAAGGAGGTGTGGACTTCTGCAGGTTGAAATCTTCAAGTAGAAGCTCGCCGTTGACGATTCCGTTTCGAGTGTACGTCGCTGATGCGATGTGCTCATCGAGGTAGAACAAGCCGTGCGTCGTTGGCAGCAGCAGGTGCAGAGGTCGGTTGGGTAGCTCTGTGTTCGCACGATAAAGCTCGTACAGATACGACACCGAGCTTTTGAGGTCTACACGCAAGGAAATCAACTGGAAAGAGCGATTAGAGTGCGTATTATGTAGGCAAATGCCCCCTTCAACACAGCATACCTGGCCCACGGGTAAACTCTTGACGTGTAGTGTGATAAACTTGTTCGAGCTGTCGGCACAATGAAAGCGATAAGGTCAATCCAAGGCAAGCACAACAATCGAGGTGACGTCATTAACACTTTACGTACAGAGCTCGATGCTTGCGAATCGCTCGGAAGTCAGGAAGAACACTTGAGTAGAAGCTGTTGTCATCCTCCTGCGCATTGGTTTGCTGAGCAAACACATCTGGGAGTGACTGGTGAAGTTTAGGTAGCAAAGGTGGGATGATGATCTGCCTCTGTAGAGCCTTGTGGCGCGCGCGTAGCACTTCCTGCTCTTGAAGGGCTGTCATCGGTGTCTTGATCCGCTGAGTTGCTTTGAACGCCTCCACCTCGAGATATTTCTTGCTGGAAAACGTAAAGCATCCGGGGCATCCAGCTGTGGTCGTAGTTTTCCTGCAAACTAAGCACATCGATGACTCCGCTGAGACTTTGCCGCTCTTATCAGCAATCCCCGACGGCACTGAAAATCGTTCTCGCGCTGCCATAGCGGCCTCAAGGCGCCGCTGCGTCTCCTGCTGACGGGCTTTTGCAGCCTCAGAGGGTTCCCTGCCTCCATCCATCTCCAGCACCGCATCGAACACGCTGTTGCCAGCTTGATCATCCTCTTCGTCGGACTCGTCGGAGTCAACATCGTCTTGTTTCATAACGACTTTGTCCAGAGGGATCTTGGCGAATCCTGTCAAGAAGAATACGGGTGAAATGCAGCTGCTGTCGTCGTGTCTTGACATGGCATATCCATGACAAGCCGGATGGAGATACTCCGCTTCAGTCGGTATGTTGGTGGTTCGTTGAAGTCCCAAGCGCGACTTGAGCTGGAGACGTGATGCTTGCGATGGAGGGCACAGTGCGTGCGAGAACGAGATAAACACCGGAGAGACTGTTGCAGCGGTTTGTGCAGCACGATCAAAAGTATACCCCGCAGCCGCAGGGTGAGAGCGCTGAGCGTCAACCACATCACGCTCCAAACGTCGAAGTACTAGCTCTTCCTCCATTCTCTCCTGCTGGTGCCAAGTTGAAGCTGACATCTTCGCTTGAGCGAACCGCTTTGCTTGGTCGTAGTGATCCTTGACCGCTTGCTTGCGCCGTTGGGATTGCTCCTTCATACGCAGGCGATCGCGCTCTTTTTTCTCGAGGGGTGTAAGCTTGCGAGGCTTCTTGATCGACGGCAGTGGCAATGGAAGAGCTGCTGCAACCACTGGTGGGGGGAAACTTTGCATCGTATCATCTTGCTCCGGTGTGGCCACGATGCTGTCTGCACTTCTCGTCGATGACTTCACCGACTCCATCCTTCACAAACAAGAACACCAGCAATTCATTGTGATGGAGCAATCTGCATTGACAAGCATAGAAAAGCTAAATATAAAGGCTGCAGACAAGTCGCTTCCTTGAAATCATCCACTCACAGGGGCAGTACTCGCCCTACTACTTCCAGGGCTCAATGGTGAACTCGTCATACACGTTACCGTTCTTGTTGAGCACAAATTGGACGCGCATGTCCGCTGGGCTGGAAGCAATCCGAAGATATCCGTAGTCATTGACGTGACGGAGACTCCAGTTCCCGTATTTCGAAGAGAAGTCCTCCGTCCCGAGCGGATAGCCGGCCGATCCCACGACGACATGCACCGTACCCTTACCGTCAGCAACACACTCCTTGCGATACAAGGGGCAGCTGCGCTCGTACGCATGCTCATGGCCAACCTGCGCGCAAAAGTTAGCGACAACCAATACCTTATTCGAAATGCCATGCACATTCCGTTAAACGAACCATCATCAAGTTCACGTGGTGCTTGTAAATCAGGTCTTCAATTTCCTCCTGGAACTTGTACGACACCTTCATATCGGGCTCGATGTTCATCTGTGTCGTATACTGAAATGTAGAGTAAGCATGAGTAACGAACTGTACGCGAACGAATGTAGCTACCTTACCATCATGCGATGCGCCGTAAGCACCACCCAAGGGGTAACGCTGCGATCGACCTGCTCCAAGTCGTGCTGAAGCCATTCATACTGCTCGGATCCTCGAGTCCAGTTGTGCTCGGTCGACATTTGAATCACATGGACACCGCCGTAGTCAAAGCTATACCAGTAAATCCAGTTCCCCGTCTTGGGTGCTGCCAATTAGAATACCAAGCAAACAATTAGCAAACCAGATCATACAGAACGCATAACAATATGCAGCGACATTACCGTGCCATCGGTGGTGCATCGGTACTCCGCACTCTCCAGCCGAATCAATACCGAAGTTCCCCCATGACGGATTGAAGCTGCCTCCGTACGGAAGCATACCACCGCTGAGGTCGTGTTTTCCACCAGTGTTGTAGTCGTATTCATCTGCGCATAAGTGATTCAAACAGTTAATACGAGTCGATTCCTCCCGAAGACGAACGTGAAGATATCAGACGTACGATTTCCAATGCCCACCATATACGGCCTGCATCGGTCATGAGTTTATCCAGATAGCAGCAATGTAAGCATTTCATAATTCAAGCAAAGATCAAACCACGACAGCGTACGTACAGCCTGGTGGCGTAAGGCTCGATCATATGGAAGAACTGGTCCCAAAGGTATCCGACCGATCGAGCGTAGCTGTGCATGATCAACGTGTTAAGGGCAATGTTGAGTTCGTAGGGTGAAGCGGCCTTCTTACCTGATATCACCAAAATGCAGGAGAAAAGAATCGTATCCACCTCCGATCACATCTTCGTAGACGCGTCCAGCAGTCGAGGCTGAACCAGGCTCAACGTACGTGCCCATGTCTGCATACGCGATAAAGTTTGCGTACTTGGAGCTCTTTGGAGGCCGCGACTTGAAACGACGCACGTGGCTCAAGCCATACTCCTCGTGGCCGTACTGGTAGTAGTAGTACGTGTCGGGCTTCAAGTCCTTCATAATGATCGTGTGCATGTAGCCAGGGTCACGGAACGCCCGTTGCCCTAGGACGTTTGCTGGGGCGTGGCACCTATAAGCAACCTTCTGTCAGTACAAACAAAATGCAGGCAATACCTTGACAGCAAAAGCTACACTCACAAATCATCCGCGCCGTACGTCGTCGACGTCCCCGTCGCCTGGTGCTTGAGATCCTGCGGGTTCTCTCCATACTTCACCATGGGCGTCTTGGACGACGCCGTATTGAACATGATGGCCATGGCCGTGTCATCGTCTGTCAGACTCAGATGACCGTGCTTGGGCGTATCAAACGGCTCCTTCATCCCCACCTCCACCTTCGCAATACCCATAAACTTCCCCGAGTTCTCCTGGTAGTTGAAGTACACCGCCGTGTAGTTGCACCTCAACATGTAGAGCTCTAACACACGCAACAACTATCAGCAACACGCTTCTCCCCCTTCTCCCTCTCACTCTACCTAGTTCTACCTGAAAATCTGACCGAGTGGTCGTCAGCATCTGTCTCCTTCACCCCCTTCTTCTGCAGGTAGTCTCCCTCCCCCGTCGTGGGGCCGCAACTCAGCGTCAAGTAGTCTCTGCTGGTCAGAGGGGAGGCCGCTTCCCCCTCCCAGGACACGACCAGGTCTCCGCCGTCCTCCACCAGCGCCGGGTACGTCTTCAGCGCGAACGTTTTTCCCTCCACCGGCCACGACTCGATCCTGTCGACGACGACGACGCGGCCAACTGCCTGCGTCTCCAGCGACGTCGAGAACAGCGCATCTTCTTGTCCCGAGGCGGCCAGCAGCACCACAGTAGCGGCCGCGCCGCAAAGCGCGAGGGACGCGACGGCGGCCATGCGTTTCCCGAGGCGACGGCGCACGCCGCGCGCGTCGCTGGACGCCTCGTCCTCCGCCACCAGCGTGTACTTGCCGTGATCGAGCGCCATCTTCCCGAAGAAACTTCAACTCAGACCGATCCGAGCTAGGGGGTTACGCTGTGTGGTTTACGTAAAGCGTAACCCCATACAAACGCCAAGATCTTTTCAAGGGCTACCCCAATCAACACAACCTAGCACCAGATGGATTCGGAAGTACTCTCCTCCAGCATACAAATCGTAGATATTCGGGACGGGGGGTCGCCCTCAGGAATTGTTGGTCGCGCCGAGCGGTCCGAGCCAAAACCAGTCATTTCGGGCGCCCCGACGGCATAACAGCACGCCCAGCAGCCCCAAGCAGGCAGGTAGCAGGTAGCAAGAGCAGCAAGAAGCATGGCGGACCGTCGCGATGAGAAGCCCGCGGACTTTCTGCTGCCGGAGACGGTCAAGAGCTGGTTCTCGCACATGTACACGCACCTCATCTCGGGCAACGTGGCGGAGATGGCGCGCCTGTACGACCGCGAGTTCCACAACCTGACCAACAACTACTTCAAGCAGGCGTCGTGGCCCGAGCCCAGCGCCGTGGAGTCGCTCGTGGACGAGGACCCGACCTTCCTGCTGCTGTACAAGCAGATCTACTTCCGCCACCTCTTCTCGCGCCTTCAGCCGGGCATGGACATGAAGGTGGCGTCCTGGGAGACGTACGTGGCCATCTTCGACGGCGTGCTGGACGGCTCGCTCGAGCTCGAGGCGCTGCCCTCGCAGTGGGTCTTCGACATCGTCGGCGAGTTCGTGTACCAGTACCAGACGTACTGCCAGTACCGCGCCAAGGTGGCCACCAAGGGCGAGGCCGAGATCGCGTCGTACCAGGAGAACCTCTTTATCTGGGACACGAGCAAGGTGCTGGGCTACCTGCACGCGCTGGTGCGTCACTCCAAGATCGTGGAGATCCTCAAGGAGGAGGAGGGCGCCCAGGCCCCGTCCAAGGTCGTCAAGGAGCTCGGATACTTCAGTCTCATCACGCTGGCCCGCGCTCACGTGCTGTTCGGCGACTACTACACGTCGCTCAAGCTGCTCGAGCCCATCGACCTGGCCAACAAGAGCGCGCGCGGCGACGCCAAGACCACGGCCCAGATCTACGAAAAGTCCCCCGGCTGCCACGTCTCGGTGTTCTACCACATGGGTTTCGCCCAGCTCATGCTCGAGGACTTCGCCGCCGCGATCCGCTCGTTCTCGACCATTATCCTGCAGGTGAACCGCAACCGCAACTACTACTCGCGCTTCGCCGACTACGAGCAGCTGCACAAGCTCACGGAGAAGGCCATGGCCCTGGTGGCCATCGCCCTTTTCCTGTGCCCCGGCCAGCGCGTCAACGACCAGATCCACTCGCTCATCCGTGAGAAGTACGGTGACAAGCAGAGCAAGCTGCAGAAGGGCGACATCTCGGCCCTGAGCGAGCTCTTCGGCTTCTCGTGCCCCAAGTTCATCCTGCCCGCCGTCGCCGTGGAGGGTGAGGCCCCCGTCAACCGCAGCGCCGAGGCCTCGCAGCGACAGCAGAAGGCCTTCAACGACATGGTCGCCCGTCAGCAGCACATCCCGGCCGTGCGTTCGTACATTAAGCTGTACCGCTCCATCGACCTGGAGAAGCTGGCGGCTTTCCGCGGCGTGGACGTCGAGCTTGCTCGCGCTGAGCTGATGGCCCTCAAGGTCAGCGGCTCGCGCCTCAAGTCGGACGTGCACTTCTACCTGAACAACGACCTGGTTCTGATCGACGAGGAGGCGAGCAACCAGCGCACGGGCGAGTTCTTTATCAACCACATTCACAGATTCGCGCGCATTGTGGACGAGTGCGCCGTCAACCAGTAAGTCGCTCAATCGGGTAATCCAGTAGTCTCACCCTCGTGCGCTAAAGCGGCAACGCGTTGAATGGCAAGGAAATGATCGCTTTGGCGCTGAAGGGGCATTCAGGTGTTAAGGGGGCGAAGAGGAAATCTATACGGAACGACTGGAAGTGGCGGAGGACAAGGTGTCACGGGTGAGGGCGGTGGGAGCAGCGCGCTGGTGCGAGTAGGCCATCGGGTCGAGTGGCCCGACCTTGCATGCGACGGAAAGCAATGTATTTCAATCGTGCGTACGCGTTGAGTCGTTTGCAGATAGGAGAATGTAGGTAGGTAGATAGGTAGCCAGCCAGCAGCAGCGCAGCAATTCGATCCGCTTTCATCCGTTTGCGGTTTGTTTATTTTGCTATCTTCTGGTTACGAGGTCCCACTTCAACATGCACACTGCTGTGGTAGGTAGTCAACTAATGCTAGCTCTTATGCTTTTACGTCGCTCAGCGCCAACGCGTGCGCGGCTGGAGTCGACGCGAGTTTGCTGGCGACAACAACGCAGTAGTGAGCTTGCAGCAGGTGGAACTCCTCCAGCTCGTCGAAGATCTCAAGTCTCTCTCGCCTAACAAAACACACAAACCACCACGTCAGTCTCTTTATCATAAGCACGAGTTCATCGCATATACTAGTAACACGTACTTTGATCGCTCCGCCGCATCTAAGTAGTGGTAGTAGATCTTGTTCATATCCCAGCACTGCGCCACCTCGTAGTTGTGATCCGTGAAGCGTGTGATCTGCGCTTCAACCGTGGGGAAGTCGTGGATACTCAGCAGATCGCACCCGCGCGCCTTGATATTCGCCATCATAACCTTCCCGAACGCGTCGTCGGGCAGGATCTGCTCGTACAGCGCGAAGCTCACATCGTCAAAGTAGGACGCAGCCCACACCACCAGCTGCGTGGAAAACTTGGCCTCCACATAGATCAGCACGCACTCGGACACAAACAGCGTGGGGACGCTGCGGTCGATGCCCGCGGCCTCCAGCTTGGCGGTTGTGGCGTCCAGGTCCCTCAAGTCGCACGGCAGCAAGTGGTACCCGGGTACGTTAAGCTCCGTATAGCCGGACGACACTGCAGCCATAAAGTCCGGCGCGGCGCCGAGCCCCAGCAGCCCGTTGAGCAGCTTGCGGCGCTTGATCGTGCTCACCTTGTGCATGGTTACGTCGGGGAAGTCCAGCTCAAAGTACTCGCAGTTGGCGAGCAGCTCAGCGCTCTTGAGGCGGAAGAACATGGTGTCCAGCCCTGCACCGAGGATCACAACCTGGGACTTGTGCTGGGCGGCGCCCAGGAACTTGCGCACGAGCGACTCGACGGCGGCCACGCGGGCGTAGTAGCCGCGGTTGATGATGGGCATGCGGCGCGACGGAGCCTTGACGAAGAACTGCACGAACGGGTCCGCGTAGTAGCCCAGCTGGCTGGCCGACAGCTTGCACAGCGACGCGTCGGACGCTGTCTCCCGCACGGCGCCGTCGTGCTCGGCGCTGCCACTGATGGAGGCTTCCATGCTGCCGATTGATACCTCGAAGTGCGCGCGCATGTCACTTTAGTGATATATTTGTGTGTACGGAGTGATGTGGTAGTTCACCTATGCTAAGTGCGAGTGACGTGGCTCGCGTGGTTGTGGGGCTTTTTCGCTGTTTTTAACGCGAATATCCTGGTTAAACGCGGGCGCGGACTGGTCGCTGGTGTTTCGTTTCGCTGGCGGGACTTGTCGCCATGGATAGCCAGGCTTCACCTTCGCCGGGCTTTCCAGCGTGTCGGCGGTGACGGCACGGCGTGCATGACGTCGTTGCTGCTTGGAGGCTTGCAGTCGCCTCAGTAAAGAAGCCGCGAGAGCGAGAATCGTCCAGCGCCCGTTGATGCAGGAACATCAACCAACCTCCGTTGGCGTCTGCGATTAAGCTACGACGGTTTCCAGTGCAGTCCGCCGTCTGCAACGTTGAACTCGGGGCTTCCGTGGTGCCAGCAGCGAGACGGTCTCTAATTGCCGCCTCGAACTGGCGCGACGTCGGCGTCTACAAGAGCCACAGGAATCTGAGCCCGGTCTGTCCTGCAGCTGCGATCGCGCCGGGCTGGGAGCTTCCTTCCTCGCAGCACAACTATTTACGGTTGTTGGCCGCAATGCATGTGCACAGCGGATACGCGCGTGTCGATCAGCGCAATAAGCAAACTTTTCGATGTATCAACTGTCTTTCGTCGAACCGAATATTCGCACTGCAAAAACGACGCGGGCATACATTCCAGCAGTTAAAGCGAGCCGGAGACCAAGTGCTGAGAGTGGCACCGCTTTTGTCGTCCTCCGCGTCGCAGCATCGGGAGTGTGGTCGATCGATCTCCTCGGTCCCCCCTAAAGCGTCGTCACACTTCGCAATCCACGCGGCCCGCCGGCAAGCAAGCTAAAGTCTCCGCTTGGAGCAGGAACAATCGGTAGGGAGCAGGTTTAGCGACATTATGAACACGCGTGAAATTGATGGTCTCATCTCAACTTGCAGGCTCAGGCTCAGGCGCAGCAGGTTCAGCTCCCAGCCGGCGACATTTTAGCGCAGGCATCTGGCCACTGCAGTAGACGACGGCCTGCACTCCAGTTGTCAGTCCGTCAAGAACTCGGGAGAGCGCGCGCCGCTGCATGGACAGCAAGACGGCGAGCTCTGGCACTGTGAACAGCAGCAGCGCCATGGACCGCGGCAGTGGCAGGATGCTGCTGGACTACCGGGCGTCCGAGCCCGTGCTCGTGGAGAGCGAGCGCTCGAGTCTCTCGGACGCGCCGCTCTCTCGGTCCCAGATCCAGCGACCGTCCAAGCCCTCGGCGGCTCCCTGGAATCCGGGATACACCGTGTCGCCGCAGCCGCAGCCGCGGCCGCGGCCCACGATGCGGCGTAAGCTCAAGCTGCCGGGCCGCTCCAAGAGCAAGCACGTGGCCAAGCTGCCGCGGATGGACGAGGTCATCCCGCGCGTGGAGATCACCGAGGCGCAGCAGGCGGCCATGCGCGACCAGGCCGAGGAGCTCATCGCGGGCTGTCTGCTCAAGTCCAGGGCGGCGTGGAACGGCACCAAGCAGATCTTCGACGACCCCAAGCAGTGGAAGCTGCACAGCGCCAAGCCGCACCTCGCAGTGTACAAGCGGAAGGACCCGCACCGCCGCAGCGCGATCGCGCACCAGTTCGTAGCCTCCGGACGCATCCCGGGACTGACGCTGCAGGACGTCGAGTACGGCAAGTACAGCGACACGACGCTGGACGAGCGCTCCATCAGCGCCTACTTGTTCCGCGACTACTTCCTGGACGCGGCGGTGCTGCAGGTGCTGGAGGCGCAGACGGAGGACGACCCGTTCCGCTTCTTCGGCATCAAGTGGATCGCGTTCGCGTCTCCGAGTGGGCCTGCGAGGTTCTTCTCTCCCAGAGATCACGCCTACTACGAGTACGCGAAGACTGTGACCACAGAGGATGGAACCAAGGTGCTCGTCAAGGTCATGCAGTCCGTGGGAGACGACATCCTGCCTCCGTTGACGCAGATCGTGGGCCACGACAGACCAAGCGACGGCGTGGACCCGTCGAAGCTCCGGTTCGTACGCGGCCATCTCTCCATTATCACCACGTACGCCTTCGACTCGAAAGTGAATGCGGTCAAGGTGTTTTCTGAAGGCTCGTTGGATCCGGGAGGTCGAGCGAGTGCGTGGCTGGGCAGCGCCTTCTTGTCACAGTTCGCGCCGACCGTAGTGCGCATCGAGTACTGCGCCGACATCAAGTACATCATGAAGCACGGCATGATCTTCCCGCACCCACCGGCAGCGCTGACCCATTCCCAGTCTGGCCAGAGTCTCGGCCAGAGTCAGAGTACGATGAGCGGCTCGGAAGTCACGGCACACGGCCCCGCCGCTCTGCCGCTGTCAGGGTTCCCGCCAATCTTCGAAATGGGCCGAATGTCCATCAACCCGCAGCCGAGCTGGGTGCCCGACCACCAGCGCAAGGTGTGTTTTGTGTGCTTCAAGAGTTTTGGCATCGTTCGGCGCCATCGCCACCACTGCCGCATGTGTGGCGAGGTCATGTGCTCCCGCTGTATGATCACCCTCCCGCTCGTTGCCCCGCCGTCCTCCGCCCCAAATCCCGACGGAGATGACGAGGATGAAGGAGACAACAACGAGAGCGACGCCATCCGAGCTCGCCGTTCTCATCGCAATGGCACGCAGCTCGAAGGACGTCCTCTGAGCGTCCTGCTGAAGCAACCGGCCAAGAAGAGTCTGGAAGAGACCCGCCCCAATGGATACCCGGCCGTGAACAACGTGAAATTATGCAAGAAGTGCATGTTCAGCATTCGCCAGGAGCGCAAGGGCACGATGCGGGGAGCCACCAACTTTTACGCTGCGCCCACCATGATCAAGCAATTTCCTCTGGTGCTGCAGGGCTCCCTGGCTGACAACATCGGACTGCAGCCTGGTCCGATGCGGGGCTTTTTCCCCGGTGGCAGGTACGCTGCGGACGATGAACTCATGAACAACGCTGCGGAGCGTGGTGAGGAGGACGACATTGAAGAGACCGACGAGGAATACTCGGCTCGTGTCGAGCGTATGCGTCAGATGCACATGGCGCGCGAGAAAAAGAAGAACTTGCGTCGCAGCATTCTTCTCTACGATGAAGACGACCTGAACAACGGCGGAGAGTCCCCTCCTGCGAGACCGAGCCATCTCTTCAATGGAGGCAACACGAGCTTCAACTTCGATGACCTCCTGCTGCCGACGCCCAAGCGCGACGAAGACGGTGAAGACGTCAACCGACTGAGCAATCGTGGACGAGGTGTTAGCTCCACGAACCAGAGCGACGCGATCCCCCCGACAGCCCCTCGACGACCATCAACCACTGCGCGCCAGTCGGAGGGGAGCTCGAAGCTTCGGTCACTGTCGATCCCGGATCAATTGGAGCAGGTGGAGCGATCCATCGCACAGCAGGAGGCACTGATCCGTTCCATCACGGAGCAGCGCAGCAAGATGGCTCGATCGCCTGAAGACGACACCGTTGCGAGGACGACGGCAGTCACGACTGCGGGTGAAATGTCCTCCGAGGCGCGTTCATCGCTGCTGTACCCGGGCTCGACCCAAACTGCGCCGACCCCGAGAGCCGACGCGATGTTCACTCCGCTCTCCATGCGGTCTTCGTAGAACTCCTGTAGCATAAGAGCACGACATTGACAGCAAGCAGACAAAATGCAACCAAGTTCTTGCTTGCTAGCGTGAAATGTCGACGCATGAACGAACACTTTCTAGCAAACGCTTGATTGACAACGAATACAGTCCGAATAACATGTTTTCCGTCTAACGAGTGTCTTCCTAAGCAACGGCGGCGTCCTTCTTGCGCTCCTGCTCTAGTGTGAAGAGAATTCTCGCTTGGTCAGCAAGCGAGCTCTCCACTTGGGCGAGTGCTTGGCGAAGGTCTTGCAGTGGCTCGTTAGCCTCACTACACTTGTCGTCTTCGCTATACAGCGACGTCGTGGACGAGGACGGCGATGGAACCTGTCGGTTGTGGTACAGGGCTTCGTCCTGTAGATCACGCATACGGCGCAGCACCTTCTCGGTGGCGCTGACAGTCGCTGTAGCCGCCGCTGCGCTGGCCGTGAGTTCGTCTTCTTCATCCTTGAGCTCAAATAGGCAGGTTGGGTCGAAGACCGACGTGTAGCTGCTCATGCGGCCTTGACTTTCGTCGGCGGCTGGCTTGGACTCGTCCGTCTGCGTGGGGTAGAACTGGATTGACTCGTTGTCACAGTCAACGTCGCTGGGGACGTCGTAGTGCTCCGAGTGGCCACTGCTGTCGTGGCTGCTCTCGTCCCTCTCCAAGAGCTCCTTCATCTGCGTAGACGTCACCGACGAGGTAGTTGATAGCGCGTGCGGCGACAAAATCATCACGCGTTCATGGTTGGCGTAGCTGTCGAGTCCGCCATCCTCCCCATTCCACTCCTGAGCGTACGATCCAGGCCGCGCAAACATGGACGACCCCGGTCTCGTATCAAAGGCGTACGACCCCGGTCTCCTCTTCATCTCCGTGAGATCGTCCACACTCTCGGCGTCGGTGTCGTCCATCATCAGCATCGGGAGGTCCTGCTCGCCGGCCTGACCCAGGTCATCATCAAGTCCATCGAGCTCCTCGACTTCTCTATTGTCCGGTGTCCAGGTCTGTGGACGCACCGGGAACTTCTCCTCGAAATCGAACTCATCGCCCTCCGCAATCTCAGCAGGGAGCGCTGAGCTGAGGGCCATCTCACTGTGTCTTCGTCGCTGCGATGACTTGTTCACCAGCGGGACGCTCTGTAGACACCGAATGCACACCTTGGCCATCACCACGCACACCACCGACTCCCCGCCTAGCACGGCTGTCTCCAACGGGCCATTAACAGCCTTCCTCGCCTTCACCAGACTTTGACTCGCGTCGAATTCACCCCCGCCATTGCTCGCCTCCTGCTCTTTCTCCTCCATCACCTGGTTGTCAAAACTGCAGGTCATAGTCTCGTCGAAGTTAGGACGCGGGGGTTCTTTCTTGCTGCGCCTCGAGTCTGTATTCGTCGTTCCGATCGTGCCTCGCAAGCCCCGGAAGCTTTGAGTGGCGCGCACATTGACTCGATGCTGGAACGTGCACTCGCCACAAATGACCTCACCGCATGCACGGCAGTGGTGCTTGAAGCGCCTTACGATGCGGAACTTCTTGTTGCACACCGAGCAGCGAGGACGGAGTTCATCGGCCACCCACTCCTGCGCCATCTCGAGCGGCGGGCCCGTTGGAACCTTACGTCGTCGAGACTTTTTCTTCTTTTTCTTCTTCTTCTTCGTTACCTTCGGGCGTTCTTCAAGGCCGTTGATAGTGATGCCAATAGATGATCCGGACGACCTGCCTGCAGTGAATAACGAGCGCTCCGAGCGCCAGAACGACTTGAGAACTTTGTACACGACACTGTCCGGCATACTCCCCTTCATGTGGAGACGGCCCTTAGCGCACACGTGGAGCAGCGGGTTCCTCACTTCGTTCTCATCGTCCATCCAGTACACGAACGCGGCTTCAATGTGTCCACGCGTGAGGCCGAAGTACGAGTCCTGACCACCGTAACCTCGAATGTGCACGGACTGAGCCACTCGGTACAGCATCCGACGACCCGTTTCCGGATCCACGTGCGTGCCCAAGTGCTCGAGGTAGACGAACTCGCGACTCGCCATCAGCGCCTGCATAGGGGAGCGCAGGGCCAGCCACTTGAGTCCGAGGTACCAGAAGGGGTCTTCGAGCGTCGCTCCTTCCAGAGTCTGCAGCACGCAGCAGTCCAAAGCCCCTTCTCCGTACACCTTCTTCTTCAAGGCTCGCATCTCCCGAGTGTGCTCGCAGTAGAGCGTGTTCATGACGTCCTCGAGCGAGTTGGGGAGAACCGCGTGAGCCATAAAGTGCTGCCCACTCGTCGACTCCATCGGTACGGGGGCGAACGGTTGGAAGGGCATCGCATTGCGCACAAGGTCCGTGCCGTGGAAACTTCCGAGGCTCGAGAGTCCGGGTACTGTCACGCGCGGGGTGGGCGGGGTGGTGCGTTTATCGTCGTCCTCCTGCTGCTCTCCGCTCTGCTGGTGCTGTAGCTGCTGCATCTGAATTGTTCGCTTGCTGCTGTTCCTCTTCTTCTTCTTGGTCTGCCGCTTGGTCATGAAGCAGGCCGTGGGTCGAGCCGTCAGCACCTTCCAGCCGTTCGAGACCGCGTGCTCGATGTTGGACCGCCCCCACGTCGGGCCGTCGCGGACCGTGTCCAGCGCTGCCTGCAGCGCATACCGACGGAGCTCCTCGTGCTGCGCCGGCGAGATGTTCAATTGCGGGAGCAGACTCTCGTCCACGGGGAAGAAGGACGAGGGGATGGCCACCCGCTTGCGCTGCTGGATCTCCATGGCGCCTCGGAGTCTGTGCTGGGCGTTGGCAGAGCTCTACTGTACCGGTACTAGTTGCACCCGATGGATAGGCGAGGTCACCCCTCAATTGAGACTTTGGTTGAAGCTCGCTTCGAGACGCCGGAGCTGGATCTAAGCCTGGAGCCTGCAGCTTCGTCCACTCACTCCGAGTCACTCGCTCTCACAGCGCTCGACGGCGAGCGGGAAAATGCGAGAGAGCTGATGAGGCGCGTGCGTGGCTGTCGCCGCCGCTCTCGGATGGATGCGCCGGCGGGACCGCCGCGTCTGTGGGTCCAGGCTGTGCACGGGCGCAGCAGGAGGTGTCGACCAGAGCGAGGAGCTCTCAAAGGCGAAAACCGGCTCGCCAATGGCGAGTCGCCATATGCAGGCGAGTCTCGACGCTACACTCGGGCCCAGCTTTGCCACGCACGTGCGGCTCGACTCCACGCTGATCGAGTGCAGTAACGGGCCCTCGTACGTGGCATCCGTCCTCTCCAGCTCAAGTGTTGAGGCGAGGCGAGGCTCGGGGAGTTGAGCTGCGTTGCTGCTCACCGAGGAAGTGGGAAAAACCGAGAAAAAAGTTTCTGCAGCGCTCGCTACAGGAACCCCTTGGCAGCTTGCTCGTGAATGAAGCCTTGGCGGATCGTACAGGAGATTGTCGATTGCTCGGTGCGTTGGCGGACCTGATTCATGAGACTACAGAGGCTAGCGCAAAGCTCTACACACATGGACGGAGCCCATCCCAAGGCGGCGAAGAAATGGCTGGAGGCGAGCTCTCGGCGCGGAGGTCCGCCGATGGTGTCGCCTCGAGCCAAAGCCGGCGCGATCGGTGCTGGCTGCAGTTGAAGTGCTTTGAGAAGCAGTCGATGGTCGATGGTGCTGGAATGGCCTCCGTGATGGAAGTTTCACGTCCTGTCAAGCACGTGGCGTGGGGCTTGACAGCCGACTCATAGAGCGAGCTAGTCGCGCTTGCAAGCAATTGAGCGTCCTCCGTGACTAACGTCCAAGCCCAAAGGACTAAAACAGTTGATTTACTCCAGTTCACGGCGAGCTACAGCTACAGAACGACGCCCTAGATTCGGGTCGTCCGAAGCACGACAAGCTCAACGCGTGTTCTTCAATCCCAAACGGTGTTTACATTGGACGTGCGAGGACCCGAGAAGAGGACAAGGCCAGGAACGTGAGCGTTTTTGGCTGTGTAGGCTTAGCCTTACGTGCGGGTTGGTTGTACCGGTACATGCATTGGCTGGTGAGGAGCAAGCTGGCGACTTCCCCGATGCCTTAGAAGCTTGTGAGTCGCAAGTTGCGACTCGCACCACAAACAGCAAAAGATAGTGTCATAGTGCCACCGACCTTAGTACCGCACTCCGTGCTGTAAAACTGCAGTTGTTGCTTGGGTTTCTGAAAAGGTCACTTGAAGATGTTCAACTTGCCATGAGCCGGGGGCGAAGTGTTACACTCTCTCCGAGCCAGCTATGATTGCAGCGCCTGTGTATTTCTCACCACGCTGTGTTGTGGTGTGCAGCACAGCGCAACAACACGAGCGGAGCCAAAAAATAACACTCGAGCGAGAGGATGTGAATGGACCATGTTTGCTTTTATCCGAAGCAAGCACCATCAGTCACACATAACAGCAGCACGCACAGTCGACGCTCCAGCTAAAAGGGCAACGCCAGTCTGCTCTAACAGGAGGCTCCTTAGTCCTTCTTGGCCGTGAGCACGAGCGGGCCGACGTTGTCGCCCGTCTCTTTGTTGTGCTTCATGTGGGCGCCGTCGCAGAACGGGAACTTCTTGGACTTCCAGCAGCGGCAGACCGTGCACTTGCCCTTCTCCTTGATCACGTCCTCCACGTCGGGCACGGACACGAAGTCCACGACCTTCTCCTTCTCCAGCTGCACCTTGCGGTTCACGCGGCCAGGCTTGGTGCTGCTCTTGCCGGCGAAGAGCGACAGCCCCAGCACGAAGATGGTGATGAGCAGCGGCGCCAGGTACAGCCACTCGTCTTGCTTGAGCTTTAGGAAGCCCGAGAAAGTGCGGGGCAGCGGCAGCCCCTTGAGGTAGCGCGGCAGGTCCGACTGCAGTGGCAGGAAACGTCAGACACGTGGCGGATGATAGAACAGCAAAGACGAGGGAGGAGGACGCACCTTCAGGTACTTGCGGATGACGTCCATGGCTAGAGGATTGATGGGGGGGGCAGAGAGCTGCTGGGGCGAGAGCGAGTCGAGGAATGACGCGGCGACGGATCTCCGATTGCATTGCCTGTTGCTCCAAAGATGCGCGGACCACCAGAACGGAGCTGGGATTGGTGGAAACTCTGGTGTAGCCATGTGATTTTCAGCAAATCACGAGGGTGGATACACTATGTGCGCCACATGAAATGGTAATTGGAAAGTTGTGATTCGCGAAAAAGCATTGGAATTTCAACCTATCGTCTCGAGGCAGTGACTGCCGGCCTTGCCATCGCTGCTCTACTTCCTCTTGGAGATCTTGGTGTACTTGGACGCGCGCTTCTCGGTGGTGGTGGTCGTCGTCGTCGAGCTGTAGGACGACGAGGCAGCCGACGCCTTGGGCTTCTCGGGAATGGGCTCGCCCAGCAGCTTCTTCTCGGCGAACTCCAGCGCCCAGTCGTGGTTGTGCAGACGGAGGCTCACGCGCTCCTGCTTGTAGACCTTGGGGGCGTCGAAGGCCATGTTCGGGCCAGCATTCATGCCCATCTGCATCTGCATGGCCTTGGTGTCGTCGCTCGCTGGAAAAAGGCGGGGCAATCAACATGCACCAGAACAACGGTTAGATCTTCGCCTTCAAAGCCCGTTCAAATCACGAACACAACTTACCGCTCTGCTCGCCAAGGATGAGCGAGAGGAAACCGCGCATGCCGAAGCTCACGAGGAAGTACCAGGACACCGACGACACGTACGACACGTCCAGCGTGCTACAATACGCAACGGCAAGAGCAAGACGTCAGCAAGCGATACCAACAAAGTTTGCAAAGTCGCTTCTTACTTGAGCTCAATGCCGCGCTGCAGCATCATCTTGAACTTCTGCGTCAGCGAAAACGGCACTTTAGCTGTAAAATACACACACACACACACACAATAAGGTCGTCCAAGTTAGCATGAAGATACGCATCCACTAGCAGGCAGGGGGGGGCGACGCACCGAGCACGAAGCCGCCGAAGAAGTAGCTCATGAGCCCCATCATGACGAAGTTGGACACCATGAAGGTCATGTTGCCCTTCATCATCTCCAGCATGCTGTTGGGGTTCATCATCTGGTTCATGGCCTCGCTCTTGACCTTCTCGCGCAGCGCGCCCTTCATGCCGTCCTTCTTCTGCGACGCCGTAAAGTAGTGCTGTCCAGACACAAGAAGACCACACGTTAGCCATATATTCCTCGAGACCCTTGAACTCGTCCGCTCCCACCTTGCGCATGGCGAAGGCGTCAGGCGTGATGAACTTGGAGTTGATGCGCGTGATCTGCGCGCGCTTGACCGTGTTCCTGTCATCGACAGGCCGCAACATCTCGCTGATCAGCATTCTTTATACGTTTGACCCCTAAAGCAGAGCGGCAAGTGCCCCCCCCCCCCCTGCACCGAGAGGTCAGCACAGTGTGGCGCCACGTACATGGGCATGAGCTGCTCGACGCTGGCCATCTTCTCGCTCTTGAGCAGCAGCGTGACGTAGTGGCGCACCATAGCCGAGCAGCCGAAGATGATGACCATGGGCAGCACCACCCAATCGCGGATGCTCGGGTCCAGGATGATCTCCACCATGCTGTGCAGCTCGACTTCCCCCCAGCTAATTAGCTCGCTGCCCCCTGCAAAGCTCCCCCACGTAGGAAATGTTGCACGAAGATGAATGTCGCTTGAAGACGGATGTTACGCATAGGGAATGTTGCACGAAAAAAACATTTGTTCGTGTCCAGATTGCTAATTTTGAATCTGGAACTTGTACAGAACTAGCGACGGTTCACTCTAGACGCGGACAAATTCTAAATAAAGTGTTTAGAACGGACAAGTACCCCAACGAGCCAATCTGTACAACACCATACAAATTCGGGTTTGGTTATTGCTGCGACTATTGGCATAACATGGCCGCATTCTAAATCGGGGGTAGGTTGTGCCGTTAGCCGCTGAAAAGGATTCTTAACGAGAACCGAATCTCGCGACAGCAATAGCACTCGAGAACCGCCATAGACCTTTTCAAAAATGAAAGGGTTGTTTTACATACTGGGCGCTTGATACAAGTTAGCGCGTAGTAAACAATGTCAGTTTTTCAGTAACTTCACGCCGGTCCGTGCCGACCTCTCGCACTCCGCCGTGAGATGGCGGAAGGCCCCGAGGACGACGCGGCGGCGGATCTTGCGCCACAGGCGACGCCTGCCGCCGCCGAGAATGCGCACCAGCGCACGATCCTGTACGCGCGGAAGGGCGTGGGCTCGGCCCAGAGTCGCGTGGGGCGGCGGCCGCTGGCGGTGCCCAACTGGTTCGACCTTCCCGTGCTGCTGCCCGAGAGCCACCCCGTGGCGGCGCGAATCCAGCGCAATACCGCGAGTCGGGCGCTGGTGCCCAAGAGTCGAGAAGAAGCGGGAGTGATGGTCACGCCCAAGGTCTCGCGCTTGGCGTCGCGGGAGGAGGAGGAGCAGCTCAAGGCCAAGAAGATGGGCGCGGCCGTGCTCAAGAGCGCCTTGAGGCGCAGGCACAGCACGCGCGTGCGGAAGCTCGACGGTCTGGGCCAAGTGGACAGGAAGAACCGGCTGCGCGCCAAGCTGTGGAAGGATCTGAGCCGCTTCGGGCTCTGGCCGATGGCCGGACCCGGCGATCTCGACGACCAGCAGTCGGTGGAGAGCGCGGTGGACGCCATTTGGACGCAGTGGCAGGACAACGCGGCCAACGCCGTGACAAGTGCGGAGAGTGACGTGAACAGAGGGAGCAGCAATGAATCAACTGGGTGTGCCATTGGAGATGGAGTGATTCTGGAGGACTTGGAGACCAGCAGCGTCTTCTTGACTGGAGTTCCGTCGACGTCGAGCTCCCTGGCCGCGCCATCGACGGTGGAGTCTGAGGTGCTGTCGAGTAGGAGACGCTCGTCGGTGGTTACGGATGGAGGAGGCTCGAGCTTTGAAGCGCCGGAAGATGACGACAACAATAATGACGAGGACGACGGGTTCACAGGGTTTGGCTTTTCGGCGAGTCGCTTGCAGGCGAAGGTGCAGACGCCGGGTTTGAGGCGGCGCAAACGACTGACGGATTTACATCAGTTTGTTGGGCTTCAGCTTCAAAAGAGGTTGTTCAAGTCGTGGGATACGATCGAGATTGCGTTTACGGGGAGTGGGGATATGACGGTCTCGCAGATTGTCAAGTTCTTGCAGCATTCGGACGTCCAGCTAGGCGACCAGGACGCAGCGAAGGTCCAGAAGATACTCGAAGAGCACGTGACGACCATGCAGGCAGCTCAGGATCCAGAACGGGTTGATGATGACGCTGGCCATGCCCACTCCAATCAAAAGCGGGGCAAAGGCAAAGCTGTGCTGTCATATGAAGGTTTTCGCCAGATCTTTCACCCCGTCGACCCCCAAGAGGCTTCCAAATGGAAACGCGAATTCGACCGAGAAAGGTTCCGTCAAAAACAGGAGAAAGATATATACAGCAAGGAGTTAGCAGCACTGGAAGAGAAAGGTAACGCTGACGCAATACTGTCTGACTGATAGGGTGTGCTAACTCTCGTGGAATTGTTGTCTGTCAAAAAAAAAACAGTTCGCCAGCGCCTTGCAAACTCGGCACGGCAAATGGTTGAGATTCTCCAGCAGTTCAAGTGCGACCCCAATGCCATCCCATGGGAGAGTGATCAGCAGCGATTACAATTGAGATCGCAATTCTTCGAGGTCATTTTTCGTAAGCCGCAACGCCGGCGCCTTTTGCAGCTTGACAGTAGACTTCCTCATTCAGACTCAGCAGACTCATCAGGGGCGAATCTGCTTCCTAATAAACTCAGCGTGAAGCTGATTTTATCGATGCTGCTACAAAAGTATTCACGAAATGGCCACTTTGAAAGTATCGAGGTTCCCGTCGCGGCGTACTTATACCACGATTATGCAGCTGATATCGTGAAGCAGAGTGTTCGTCGGTACTGGGAGCGATATAAGATCGATCAATGGCCCGAACGTCAAATGATTTTTCGTTTTCGCAAGAAGAAGCAAATTTTTCACGACTGGCGAGCTTTTGCTGATCGCGCAAGAATGCTGCGACGTTATGTTTTGCGAAAATTTGCGGCCTGGAAGTACATGACCCGCAAACTACACGAGCATTATGCCTTCTACCGCACAAGCTTTTGGCCGTTTTACGTTTGGAAGCGCCATCTTCAGCAAATGATCATCGCGCGCGGGAAAACTGTTTTCCTTATGAACGTCTTGCGCACATACATCCAGCTACGGAATTTCCGCGCGCTGAAACAGCGATACAAGACGAAGCAATGGAACCAGCGACAAATTGCTCGACTACGGAAGAAAAAGGCAAGGCGGGTGTGCCTCATTTGCTGGGAGACTTGGAAAGGTCGGTTCCAACGCGGTCGTCTAATTCGTCAGATCTGGAAAAATCATGGGCACATGTTTCAGCAGTTGCACAAGTATTACATGGTGAGAGTAACATTTTACATCCTGCGCTATTATGCGATTTTGAAAAAGGATATCAAGCGACGCAAGTACAAGAGCTTCTTAGCGCAATTTTCCATTACCTCGAGAACGAAAGCACAGCCTCATCACCCGCGTCAACAACACGGCGTAAATATCTACGACCGGAATGCTCAACAGCGCGTATCGCTTCATCCAACTGATCATGATCAAGGTAGCGCGGCATCTACTCGCCGAAGCCTCCCAGCATCCGGTTATGAAGCACCTCAAAATGGAAGAGCGTCAAGGCTAGACTCACGAAATGCGCGGGGTTCCATTCCCAGTGGTTCATTGCTAATAACTGAAGATGACGAGCATAGTATTGAAGCTATGCGGCGAAATGGCGACCCCAACAGTGAAGCAGGCGATGCGAATGCAGCGACGTCCTTAACGAGGATCATGGAAACGGATCTGGGGAAAAGAATCAAGCGCAAAAGCCGACTTTACGATTTGTGTCTCGGTTTGTATTTGAAGTATCGTGAGCTTGATCGTTCCAAGCAGATCGGAAATGTGGTGGCGTATCGGAGATTTGGCCGCATTTTCTTGAAATACCTGAAAACACTGGTTCGCCATAACAAGAAGAACCGCTTCGCTACCGATCTCGGTGCATACCGCGTGCTTAGCACTCGTTTCCGGCAATGGATGATTGGTACTGTTTACAAACTTCCGCATACTGCTCAAGACGACGACTACGGAACTGTGAAAAGGGAGGAAGAATCGGAAGAAGCGGGCGATAAAGTTGTTCTGCACTGGCGTGAAGACCGCGAATGGCGCCTCCAAGGCATCGTCAACAACCCAATCCGAGCCCAAATGCTTCGCCAGGACCTTTTATCTATAATGGAGAATGATTCAGTTCGTAAGGAAACCATACGGGGACGCGAGCTGCTGCTCAACAAAAAGCAACAAAACGAAGAGGCTTTTTTGCGGAAGGAGACTGGTGTAACTCTGAAAATCAAGGCAGCTCAGATGCAGCAAGTTCAGCAGATAATGCGGCGACGAGCGCATCGTCTCCATGACGCGATGGATAATGTTTACGATGTATTGCTGCAGCAGCAAGCACGACAACAACTGAAGTCGAGCTTCCGCAGCCTTCGCATCGTCGTTATGATGAAGTATACGCGTCTACTTTGCCACCGAGCGCAAATACGGAATTGGCTCCGACTTTGTTATCGTTTCATGTACTGGGAGAAGCATATGAGCACGTTTTACAAGCTGAAGATAAAGTATCGCGCCTTTCAGACGCTACTCAAGCACGCTGTGTGGAAGTGGAAGTTCCAGTCTCAAGGTCTCTCGCACAAGCTTCAGCGATCGCAGGAGCTCATGTGGAAGCATGAGCACTTCATGGAAGAAAGGGGGATGTTTGACGGCAGCTCCGAGTCCTTGCGCCTTGCTGCGACCAAGTTTTCACCGGCTAAATCGTTTCGTGGTACGTTTCTACGTTGGATTCAATTCACACAGAGCTCAAGAGCTAGGCGAGAGATAGTTCGCCTTGTACGCCGGAAGCAAGAGATTTGGTCCATGCACAACGTGTTTTACGCTCTCAAGAACCGGGTGAAAGCGAAGTACACGTATGCAGAGCGCTGTGCAGCCCGTCCGTACCTGTGGAGGCAATGTATGGTAGACCTGGACACTTATCACTGCAAGATCCTCGCTCTTGAACAGCGATTACCGACGACAAGTTTGAGAGCACAATTGAGTGAAACTCGCGAATTGATGCGAGAAACGGCGATGAGCTCACCCACGCTGAAGAAACTCTTCCAGGAGCACGAAAAGGAAGTACGTCAAAGACTGCAGCTGGAGAAACGCCTGATGCTGGTAGCCTACAACGACCGCGCGGTGCACAAGTATGCAGAGCGAGCGTCAGCCTTGTTCGGTACAACAGCAGGACGCCCATTCACCCACGACAAGGTTCCGCCATTCGGCAGCATCAGCGAGGTCGCTGTCATTTGCGGCAAGAAAGTGGACGGTATTTCACAGGTTGTCAAGACGCATGGACATGTCAGTTCTGAAGGCACACTGCATGGAAATCCCTTTGGAAATCGTGAGGTGTTCCAGCTAGCGAAAGGAGAAAAACTCATTTCGATTGAAGGCTATGCGTCGCACTTAATCTACGGCTTGCGGTTTGGTACGAGCAGTGGTCGGTACTCCAAGTGGTTTGGCCACTGCGAGAAAGGATCACGGTTCGAGGTCCACAGCGACTATTTCACCAATCGCGAAGAGATCATAGGATTCTTCGGTCATGCCGACAGCACGTCGATTAATTCCCTAGGAGTCGTGATGCGGCACACGACGATCAAGAACCCGTTTGAGGGGATGTGGGTGCAAAAGGACCACCACGCCCAGAACATTTTGCAGCATCGGAGCCCGGATGAGCTGTCACAGTGTGATCGGCAGTTCGCGTACTTCCTCCAGGTTCGCGCGTGTGAGGTACTATTGGTCATGGAGAGAGCGCACACTTTCGCTGTGCGAGCGTATCGAATGGAGGACACGCTACCGCCTGCTCTAGGAAATATGCGAATCATCATGGCGATCGCGCGGTGGATGCTCAACGCTCTCTCACATGGTTTGGTTCAGCGCACCGAGCGCGAAGAAGAGGGCAAGCAGATTTTGCAGCGCGGCCAAGAAAAATATTCTGCTGGTGAAAAAGTTTTGTTCGAGGGGGTCAGCACTATGCAAATTGTTGATAGTTTTCGCGATTCGGCGGGGCAATTGGATGCAGCGACACTAGGCGTTAAAAAGATTGTGGAATTGCGGGAAATGATGAGCCAAGCCCAGCAGCAAATAGCTCAAGGGGAAAAGCTACGGGATGAAGGACAGCACGACATCATGCTAAGCCAGCGGATCCTGCCCCACCTTCCTACTACAAAGCGGATGATCTCTGCTATTCGCAAAATGTACAAGATCGTTCAAACCAAGGATGAAATCGATCAGATGACTCCTGAAGTGCGCTCTATCTTACTGCTGAAGAAGAACAGCCTAGCATCTGACAGTCTGCTCGCGATGTAAGTTCTTCATCCGCTTCCACTTTTCCATTTAGGAAACGACGATGACCTCCTTACCCAGAAATAGTGAGCGGGCTAAAGCATAATAATGGACGGCATTTATTTATACGCCTCGAGTTTGGCTGCGTTCATCTCCTGCCAAGTCCGCAACACAGAGCTGGGGTGCCTCGCCTCGGTATGGTGCAGACAATAACGATGAATGAAGCAACGCTGGTGGATGGAATGGTACGTGGAATGTGTTGCTGTCGCTGTAAGTAATAGTGCACCCTAGACTAATTTCTTCTGTACGATCAGGCTAAGTTTGTAGCCGAGGACTTGAGCTCTCTGGATGGAGAGGCTAATTGGTGGCATCAAAGAGTGCGACTAGTTGAGCACTGGTTGCGCGATGAAACGAGTCGAGTCATCATCCCTGACGACGGCACGGAAGAGGTACAGCAGTTTATATCCTGGAATTTGTTTTTCCATAGTTTTCTTACGTGGAAATCTCCATTTCAGATGATTCGGCGTCATATTCAACGCGGTGATTCATACCCTCGAGCGCAGTGCAAGTGCTGGAAGCATATTGTGATGGAGCTTCGGGACCTCCCGTGCTTCGCCGGAATAGTCGCTCAAACGAAAACCCACGATATCATCCCTCGAGTCGGATGTACTGCGAGCCCCAGTCGAGGGAAGTTGCGTCCAGGGAAAGACTTGATTGTCCTCTCAGACGAGAAAAGCATTGCAGACGACAATAGCAACGCCAGCACTCAGGGTGATGATATCGAGAGCAACAACGCGTCATCGTCTTGGTCGTTAGAGCCGCTCAATCCCGAAACTGAACCACCTCAAGTCGCCAAAAAGCCTCGACCTCTTTCAAGCACAGCATACTTGTCGCGACGTGAGCTGGGTGTTGATACAGTGACTGTCGAATCTATTGGCAAAAGTTTCTCTGGTATGTCCTTACTCGAGCGTCAAATGGAGTGGCTTCGTAAAAAGCACGATAAAATGGAGGCGGAGCGTCTTCGCCAGGCCGAGGAAAGCGAGCGAGAGCTGACATTCCAACCGAAGCTCATTCGACGAATTACATACTCTGGCGACAGGTATTTCAGAGATACCCCGGGCGTGCCTAAGACCTTTGCACGAAGTGAGAGCAGTCGACGAGTTGGAGAAACTGGAAATGGGGGAGCACTTTTGAAGGAGAGGACGTTGCCAAAGGTGCCGCGACTCTCGCATCACCGACGACCGAAGAAAAAGACCCCTTTGCAGAGTGCAGCGATATCGCAACCGGTTGGAGTATCCTGCAAGCTTCTGGATAGTATGAAGTCCGAGTTGCAGGCGTCTTTGGCGACAACGCGAGCTTCAGAGACCGAGATTGCCCCGGCAGAACGGAGCGTGGTTCAGGAGAATCAACAGGAACATGGATCAAGCGAAGACAACTCACCTTCACCAGAGAATAGCGACTCAAACGGAGAGGACGCGCAGGTGCCGGAAACAGAGGCTACGGCGATGTCAGATGAGGAGAAACCCCCAGTAGATGCCCCCGCTTGGAGCGCGAAGCCGACAATAGGAGGCAGGCGTGCGGACTTCGACTCGAGTGAGACCAAAGTACGGCTGACGCTGCAGGACGCATCCAAATTCGAGCTGAGCACGATGTACCGCAAGACGGATCGCCGAGCTGGTCGAGACGGCGTGGCGCTACACGTCGGTAGGAGAGAGGACACGCTGGAGGAGCAGGTGATCGCTGTTCTCTTCGACCGAGAAAAGGTGACCGAGGAGGAGGCCGAGCGCTGGTGGGCGAACCACCAGCACCGGTTCGTCGAGTACATGGAGCCCCAGCAGCCTCGAGAAGAAGATGTAATAGCCTCAGCAGCAGTAGTATTACCAGCATCTAGAGCAGCAACGCCAGGGATCAAGTAGTTGGGAGGATTAACAACTTTAAGAATTCTGTTGGTGTCGTGCTAAGTATTGAATTTCACGTTGGTTCAGTCTAGTACCAACGAAGGAGGGCGGCGTACCTTCGGCCTGAACGTTTGAACGGAACCGCGTGGCATTGACTTCTGCTCTTGATCTTCCCAAGCGCAGTCATTATTTACACAGATCGGAAGTCGTAGGTGTTATGGCGGCAAACTTGTCAAAACACGCGCAAAACAAGAGTGTGGATTTGGGTATGATATACACCCGAGCATATCGTATGAAGCAGTCTTGCTCCGTACGCGTGCATCCGGGTAGTTGATGCAAGTTGGGGCAGTGCGCGAGGTATGTACTCGGTGGAGTCAGTTGTAGCAAGTTGGCGGTATGTGTTCGAAAGCCCAAGCGCATTAATCATAACTCGAAAGTCCGCGAAATGTACTCGAAAGTATGGACGACCCCTGGCAATACATGGACGTCAGCCCTGGCGCCATATGAGTCACGAGGATAATCGAGCGCAGCGTACGAACGAGCTTAAGCTCGAGTAAAACCGGCGTTAGTGAGAGTAAGTCCATAAAAGGATTAAGTTGGAGTAATCCTTCAGGTAAATAGACGATTTTGATGACGATCGGCTTTAGCTGAAGTAACTACGAATCAATAAAACAAGCTAAAGGTGAACCATGGTCGGGGCAATCAACAAAATCCACCCATAGACTTTCATATTGGTATTCTAGCATGCTATCCCTAGGTTTCCTGGTGTGCAGAAGCGCTACACACTGTTCACGCAGCGTCTGCACCATATATAAGTACCGATGATTCATAAGCTAGCTGCTCTCTCAGCGTTCGCTTTTACGCCTGAAAGTTAATTCAGCTAAAACTATAAGATACACCACACCGTCTTACGTGTCTGAAAGTTAATTTAGCTAAATTAACTTTCAGACACGTAAGACGGTGTATCTTTCCCAGAACCCTTCTTACTTTAGCGTTCAGAGGAAACTACGTAGTCGTATAATGGTTAAGACCAGCTACAAATGTTTTTCTCGAATAACAAAGCATCACAAACACTTTCAGCGAGATTTCCCTCGCTAATGTCTAGTACAACGCAGGGTGCGTTCAGCTAACGCACAGTATGCAAGAGATCTTCGCCTTATGAATTTCTAACACACTGTAAGATACAGATAAATAAAAATTGTTGATGCTTCTTTTGGCCAAACAATACAGCAAAGTCATTAGCATCGCTCGTGCAGCCCCCCAGCACCTGTCCACACGTTAGAAACAACTTGACCCCGTTGTGTATACTGTTTTTGGTTATAACTCGAATAGTGTCTGATTAAAATCTTACTCTACGGTCTCAGCGTCGTTTTTAAGTCGCAAAAAGGACTTGTGTGGAATTACTCGGAAGTCAGTGACTCGCAATTAAGTAGCAATCCATTGCGGGAGCTACTCAAGCTGCAAAATTCGAATTGTACTTCTGGTGGCACATTGGTTTTCCGTGTGGTCACGTGACTTGTAACGTGAGATGCCAAGCTGAACTTGGATTGTGTATCAATAGAAATAGATCAGAGCCCGCCCCCATGCGCCAATGCTTCACGATGCTGACGGTACCATGGTTTGAACCATTTGCCTTGGGTTGCGACATGCATTGAAGGCTTCAGCAAGTCTTTTTCGCTTTTAAAAAGGAAGCTTCGGCAGAGAGAGGCCGTTATCCATCGGTCATTTTCTTGCTGAAAGCTGATCGACTTCGACAAGATCGAACACACATGTAGGGGGAGTCTTCTCGCCTCAGCACCGCCCAGTCTCGTAAGTGCGATGCAACCTCGATACCACAGATTTTTCATCCTTACACGAACCTCCGCTCAAAAATGATGGTGCCGTGTCCGGGGTCAGAGACTCGATACCGTCAACCAACTAACCCAGCGATTTGTGCGCTGATATATGCATTGAAAGAATACGTAGTTAAGTGTTGCTCCAGCGGTGACGACGAAACGACCCTGTACCCCCGATCTAGCGACGCCCCGTTCATATCTCAACGACTCGCTTAAAAAATCATGTTGTCGTTATTGCATTAAACCGGGCTAACCTCAATACCACTCTAAGCTTGCATCCTGTAGACGGTTTTCATTGCGGAATTAATCATCAAAACGCCCGTCATTTGCGCGTTATAGCACACGACGAAGAGCTTGTTGCAGGTGCGCATATCTTTCTCGATATCTTCCGTTCGCACATCGTCAATCGAAGCAACACACCTAAAGTCAACCAGACAGAAGTCGGTCAACCCGAGCGACGAGTAGCTGCCACTAGGGGAAAAACGATCGATATGTTCAGCCAAGTTGCTGGCCTCGCGCAATAACTCGATGCCCCAAATGACGTCACCTCCATCAATTGTAAAATCAAGGAACCCACGGGATCCAAACAACGCACCCACGTCGGCAGACGTCACGTAAGTGCTTGGCGTGCAGCGATATGCAGCCTTGTAAAACTCCATTTGCCACGCTCTTTCCAAAGGAATGCCGCTAAAAGAGCTTCTGCCAAGCATCTGACGGATGCAATCGTAGTCGATCGATCGCATCACTCGAAGGATCATCTCTGGAAGGGTATTGGGGGCTTCTAGTGCTCGGACGATCTGACCAACGCGCATCTTGACGAAGAATCGCCACATCACTGGCGACGAGAACTTAACACATCGCTCAGTTCGAGTCAGAATACCCTTTCGAAGACAAGCTTCAACTATACCAACATCGGAATCAGGATTGGCACCATAAGCAATGCGTTCTAGCCGATCCAGCTCGTCCGTCGTAAGGGATGTCAACACATTATTCACAGCGCGTGTCGATGTCAGCGCCTCAAACAGCGCGTTGTCGTTGGCTTCTATCAGTGACCCAGTTTGGAGCATACGGATCCACTTGGCTGGCGATGGAACAGCAAGCCCCCACCTGCAATAGTGGTCTAGGACTTCGTTCAGTTTGTCAATGGCTTTCGCACAAAGACCAACGTGCCCACCCGTCAGTTCTACCAAGTTGGCACAGAATGCCTCCATCGCAGATGCCGACCATTCCACAAGCGTGACGAGGTTAAACCACTTCTGGACGTACTCGGAGACTTCGGCAGGGCAAAAGTTCAGTTCATCAATCCCGAAAACCATTCGTTTGTCAAAGTGGGTTGGAGTAGTGAGCCCAGTACATTGCACACTAGAGGCGTAAGCTGCGAGCAGCAAGATTCTCACAGGGTAAGCCGCATCGATCTGAACTTGCTTGACCAGCTCCCAAAGTGTACTAGACTTGTGTCGCGGAGAGGAATCTGATTCTTTGTGGAGTACTTGCGTCTCGTCCAGTACCATATACACCATCCAGCCTTTACTGGGGAGGACCCCCTTGGCAAATACCCAGCTGACCCGGCAACGCTCCTTGAAAATGGTCTCGAAAGTCTGGTTCTCAGCGATCGTCAAAACCGACAAGTTGAAGACAGCCGCCTTCTTCTTTTCCTCCCTGTGCTTGTCGACCAAGGCGCGGCACACTAAGGTCGCCAGTGAAGTTTTCCCAGTCATTGGTGGACTATTCACAAGCACAACGCGCGTTTCTTCGAGTCGGCTGATGATACCCGCGGTAAGAGCGCACCGCGAAAGCGTTCGTTTGTCATTAGGATCAATGCCTTCATCTCTTCCAATCGACCCCTGCATGCCATACCAGACGACGTCCTCGTGTGCGCCGGTATTCACTTGTCCAGCTCCGTCCGGATACGCCACCAGCAGGTTCACCGGGCCTCTCCCTTCTGCTTCAACAATGTCATCCACTTTGCCGACATCCTTGCTTGATAGCCCTTTAAGAAACAACTTTGCTCGCGCCCCCTCGAGCGGCATCATACCAGTGGTGTCAGTCATGCCATTCTTCACATCTTGTTCAGTCAGCAGCCACGACGGGCCATCTTTGACTTCTTTCGTCAGGAAGAGCTGCAGCAGGTCGGCTCGCCCCTCGTACTTCAGCAACCCCGCGATCACGGTCTTCAATGCGGAAACCGACTCATGCTCGTCGATGTTCACCTCAAATGCGCCGGTTTCGCCAACGACCGCCGCAAAAAGCTTCACCATTTTTCCTGCGGCTCGTGGAATGGTGAGATTTCCGGAATTCCGTCGTATTTAAGCGGAGCCGCAATAAAAATTGTTCTCTGATATATTTCGTGAATAAACCTTTCAAATAGAATTATAGCTAAAATATTTACTGAAAAATTCAAGGACCATGGCAAAAAGAGGAGCAAACGACCCAGTTAAAAGCGTAAGTTGCAGTCTCCCCTGTTGCTTCACTTCATTTGTGTAGCTGTTGTCTCGGTTGCTGATTGGAGAGTACCGTTGTCAAGGTGGTGAACGGTGAACGAGGGTTGTGGGGCAGTAGCTTCATCTCTACTGGATTACTGGTCTCGAGGCAAGCGCCGGGAAATTAATCGTGTATCGCCGCCGTTCTTATGTTCTTTGCTGACTGCCGCTATTCAATTCGTGTGCGTATTTCGTATTCTCCAATACGCTATGAATGGGATTTCTGGGTAATTCGATCAGCCGAATTACCGCTGTCAGCAGCGATGAAGGATATGAGCTTGTGATAACTCCGAGGGAAAGAGTACCATCGAGTGCAGCCGTCGCCAGAATCTGTCGAAATTAAAGTAATCCGTCGGAGACTATCGACCTACTAAAAGGGACCAGCGGTGTAGCACGCTCGGGCATTGATGTCATGGCATGCCGGAAGGACACTGGATCTATCCGAGGTAAATATTGTTCAACAGCCAGAGCAGAGCTTGCTATCTGACGATGCATAAGAAATTGCGAGCTGGCGACATTCGCTCAGATACGTATGAAGTCCGAGTTACAGGCGTCTTTAGCGACAACGCTAGCTTCAGAGACCGAGATTGCCCCGGCAGAACCGAGCGTACTTCCTGAGAATCAACAGGAGCATGGATCAAGCGAAAACAACTCACCTTCGTCAGAGATTAGCGACTCAAACGGAGAGGACGCGCAGGTGCCGGAAACAGAGGCTACGGCGATGTCAGATGAGGAGAAACCCCCAGTAGATGCCCCCGCTTGGAGCGCGAAGCCGACAATAGGAGGCAGGCGTGCGGACTTCGACTCGAGTGAGACCAAAGTACGGCTGACGCTGCAGGACGCATCCAAATTCGAGCTGAGCACGATGTACCGCAAGACGGATCGCCGAGCTGGTCGAGACGGCGTGGCGCTACACGTCGGTAGGAGAGAGGACACGCTGGAGGAGCAGGTGATCGCTGTTCTCTTCGACCGAGAAAAGGTGACCGAGGAGGAGGCCGAGCGCTGGTGGGCGAACCACCAGCACCGGTTCGTCGAGTTCATGGAGCCCCAGCAGCCTCGAGAAGAAGATGTAATAGCCTCAGCAGCAGTAGTATTACCAGCGTCGAGAGCAGCAACACCAGGGGTCAAATAACCACGAGGATATCCATCCACTTCAACTTGCAGGTGACTGCAATTTGTTCTTAAGTCAGTATTACTACGTTTGTGGTTTCGCCGTGCTATCGCGACAGATTCAAAGTAGTTTATCAATGAATTTCCATGGTTTAGTCGACATCGCATTTTCATTCCATACAAAAACGCTAACAACAATCTGTAGCGTTAGCCAATGTACAATCGCGCTTTCCAAAATCCCCACATCGCATTTCAAATTCAAAAGCAAAAGCTCACTCCGCCTCATTCCCCCATCTCCTCCGACGCGTGCATCTACCGCGTACACCACCGCCAGCGCCATGTCGGCCTTACCACCACAAGCAGACGCCTCTGCTGCACCCGCCGCCGCAATTGCGGGTCCCAACGCGCCCTCGACGGCCGAGAAATCCGTTTTCGACACTTCGGACCGCCTGGTTTTCGACACGAACGCGCTGCTGTCGAAAATGGGCTTCGGCGACCGCGCGTTCGCCAGCGCGGCCGACCTCGTGGCCAGCGTGTCGTCCATGAGCGTGGCGCTGTACGAGAAGCTGTTCCAGTTCCGTCTGCGCGACGTGGAGCGCGTGCCGCGCACTCGTCAGGACTACGAGCACAACGCGCAGCTCGTGGCGGACGCGCTGCGCAGCGCGCTGCTGGAGCAGAGCAGCGACGGTGACAGTGTGGATGAGGAGCTCACGGGCCAGCGGCTGTGTGCCGGAGACTTGGGCAGCATCCGCCTACTGCTGGGCATGCTGGAGCAGGTCTACACGCTGCTGTTCGAGGAGAGCCAGGAGGTCGGCGACCGACTGCGAGACGTGAGTCTCGCCAGCCTCGGGATGGCTACAACGGAGGTGCTGGCGGCCTCGAAGCGCAGGGTGCCGCCCAAGTTCGCTAAGAAGCAGAGGAAGGAGAGTCAAAAGACGGTGGACAGTGCACCGAAAAGTGGCGACCCGGAGAGGACGAGTCTGCGCGAGACACGGATGAGTAAGGACGTTCGGAGTGGAAGGAGAAGTGCTTCTCAGTCACGGGTAGGGCAGAAACAGGAGGAGGTTCGAGTCGGACGCGCTGTTACTGCTAAGGAGGAGCTGCGGAGGAGGAGGACGTCGTCTTCGAGCGGGGCGAACAGGTCACGGCTGGAGGTTTCGACGACGAGAGCGGATGCAATTGCTGCGAACAACAAGAAGCGGTCTCGACTACTGGAGCAGTCGTTCAGGGCGAGTAGCACCAGCAGGGCGGAGCTTGCAGCCAAGGAGGCGGCGAGCAGGAAAGCAGCGCTGGGACGTTCCCGTGTTTCCGTAAAGTCGACGGCAAGCGGACAGAAGAAGCAGCAGGAGACTGAGCAGGAACTGCTGGAAACGAAGAAGTATGGACGCTTTGTAGCCGCGGCAGGCAGTGCCAGCTCGGATGAAGACAAGCCCAGCGAGGAGAGGCCCACGGAGGGAAAGCGGGGTGCGTTCTTCGAAGGAGTGTCGTCTGTTCAGCATAACAGCGACGAGAGCATGCACTTCATGGATGATGAAGGCGCCTTCGCACAAAACTTTTCATCGATTAGCATTGAAGATGCAGAACCCGAGGCAACGGAAGGCGAACTTCGAGCAGAACCCGACACTGCAGATCAAGAAAACGCCCAGCCAAACGAGAACGTTCCGCACAAGAAAAGCTCTAACCAGCAGGAAGCTGAAGAGGAAGACGGCACAACATCAAGTCCCGTTAAGAAGAAGGTAGCGCGCGACGAGCCTCATGCTCCGGAGCGGCCGTCTTCCACACATAGGACAAGGCGTGACCAATCTAAATCGCTCTACCCGCTTGTCCCGAAGTCGAAGCATGCCGCATCGGCATCAAAGGCTCAAGCCCAGTACCTCCGGTATAAGTTGTCACTGAAGAACCACTTGCAGGAGCTGCGACAGCGAGAGGCTTCGCAGAGGCAGCACTTGGAGCGCGCGTACAAGTCGGGCGAGCACATGGCGAACGTGGACAAGATCCGATCTCGTCGATTCGAACAAGACGTGCGTCTGCATCGCATCGCCATCGGACTGGAGGCCAAGAACGAGGAGGAGAAGCAGCTTCGTCAGGCGATGAATCACCTGCTTGATCTGGAGAAGGAGAAGCTGAGGGAGGAGCACCGCATGACGACTTCGGTGCTGAAGCAGATTCAGAAGGAGCACGCGGAGCGCGAGCAGGCCATGGAGAACTTCTACGCGAACCAGATCCAGCTCGTCAGGGAGCAAACACGCCGAGAAGCCAAGGAGCGTGAGCTTGTGGAGAAGGCTCAGCGCTCAGCGTCTGAGAAGATGATGCGTGAACTCCGTCACGAGCGCGAGAACCAATTGGCAGCTCTTCTGCAGGAGAAGCAGCACTTGGAGGAGACGCGCAGGTTCCGCCACGCCTCGCAGATGGCGCAGCTGCTGGAAAAGACTGACGAGCGATCGGCAAGGAGAACCGATGCCTTCTACACTGCAGCAATGAAGGCGCGTGAGCGCCACACCGTAAGAAAGCAGCAGACACAGTCACTACGGCGTACCAGCCTGGATCCCTACCGAAGTGGCACGAAGCGATCAACCAGGCTCTCGACAAGTCCCATAAGATAAAAGAATTTTGCGTCAAACACCCTGACGGTTGTCATTCAAAGCCTTTGAGTAGCTCGATGCACAAGCGCGAGGGATTCCTTCGGTCCTTCACTCAGTATCTTCAGTATCTACAACATGTATTTGCGTGAGCGCGCCAGCAGGTCGGCCGCGTGAATCACGCCCTGGAGCTTGCCACGATGCGTGACGAAGAGCTGCGGACACTTGTGCACCGAAATGAGCAGGACCACATGACTGGCTCGAGTGTCGCGAGGCACGTGGAAGTGTTCATCCTCCAGGCTCAGGAGCTCAAAATGTACCAGATCCACCACCTCAGACGTCTCCGATGCTGGACGAGATAGCACGGCCGCTTGCTCTGGAGTAATGCCAGCCACCGACACCGGAGTTCCCGTAGCCGCAGAATTCTTTCCACCTCGTAGACTCAGCTCCCACAGAATAACAAGCGCCTCCAGCTCCTCCCGAGTGGTAACGCCCAATAAAACCATCGTCTTCGCGTCATCCACCACGGGAAACACGTGAGCTGTCTTGCCCTTCTTCTCCTTGTTGGTGACCTGCAGCAGGTGCTTGATTGATGCCAACGTTTGACGCCGAACGAGATAGTAAGGCGGCATGTCCCGCATGAGGTCACCGGCCGTAAGCGAGTACGATATCTGCTTGGTCAGATCCGGCCACTGCGGCAGGTTTTTATGGCGGGCCATGGTCTCGTACATGTCGAGGGAGAAGATCCGCGTCACAGCGCGACCCACGATCACACAGAGTAGAACCGGGATCATGTAGCTCAACTGTCCTGTCAACTCGAAGACGATGACCGCGATACTGATAGTTCCCGTGACGCCTGCCGTGAAGCTGGCGGCGCCCACAACAGCATATCCTCCAATCGACAGCTCTCCCTCGCTCAGGATGACAACCATCTCACCAAACAGACGTCCCAATGCAGCACCGATCGCAAACACGGGCGTGACAATACCACTAGGAATGAACACGGTGGCGCTGATGACCAGCGACCAAAACCGGACAACCACATACGCGAACAAATTCAAACTCAGCGCTGGCGACGTCCAGGAGCTGCCGAAGTCCACCGACAAGTGGGTAGCGGTCGCCACCTCATCCCGTGCAAGGGTTTTGGTCGAGAACATGTCGTCGATAGTCTGGCGCTGGGTCAGCTGCATGAAGCTACCCACCGGGTACTCCACCAAGGAAAACAGGAGCGCCACCAGCGCAGCGTACACAAACGGCACCATCCCAGGGAATCGTCCGCACCAGCAGAGCAGATATTGCTCCTCAAACTTCTTCTTCCAGTCGAGCACCATGCGGAACGACCGAACCAACAGCGCAGCGAGCAGTCCACAGATCACCGCGAGCAGCAGGAAGAAGGCGATCTCGAACGTCTCGTACGGCAGCGTGTCGAACTCGGTCGTGAAGAGTGAGCCGTACGAGCCCGCGAGGAAGCTGTTGAGACCACGGAAGACGACGACGCCCACCACGGACGAGAAGAAGGCGCGCCAGTAGTTGGACGTCACGTAGTACGACGTGGTGACCTCGATACTGAAGAGCACGCCGCCGACCGGAGCACCGAACGTCGCCGTCACACCAACCGCACACGCCGCAGCCAGCACGTGGTGCGTGAGGTCTTTCGAGTTGCGGATCTGCTCAAACAGCGGCAGGCGCAGCAACTGCCGCGCGATGATGGAGCTCAGGTGCACGAACGGACCTTCCTTACCGATGGTCAAGCCGCTCCCCAACGCCAACACCAAGCCGAAGCACTTGGCGATGAGCGCGCGGCCCGTGAGGTAGTTGGGGAAGGGGAATCCCCCCAGGATGCTCCTCATCTCGGGGATACCAGAGCCCGCCGCTTCGGGGCAGATGAGCACCGTGCACCCCACGCCGAGCAGCAGGATGAAGACTCTAAACAGGATGTAGAAGAGGTAGCCCAGCAGCCAGCCGCCCCCAAGCGACGTGAAGCTCGAGTGCAGCTTGGTGACGACTAGCACGCCCGCGTCCACGCTCCAGGCCGTGACGGACGCCAGGAAGCCCAGCAGCAGCAGGAACACCCACGAGCTCTGCAGGAAGGACGTCATGTGCTCGCGCTCCAGCAGCGAGCGCGCCAATGGGATGGACGCGGCCTCCATTGCCGGGGAGGGGCGTGACGCCCTGCTGCCGCAGGAGGCGCCCGGGTCGCCGCGCGCCTCGCCCTGCCACTCGTCGTCGCTGTCGTCGTCGTCGTCCAGCAGCTGCAGCGGGCGGTAGCGCGCGTGGAGCGGCGTCTGATCGAATCCCCCCGGCTGCTTCATGGCCGTCTTGGCCTGGCTCAGCGCTGCAGCGGGCGAGAAGCTGGTGGCCCACGCGGTGGCGGCGCTCAGGGCGCTGGCGTCCGCTCCCCCGACGACGGACCTGGACGTGGAGTTGGAGTTGGACGCAGCGCTCTGCTGCCTCTCGCTGGGCTCGACAACGCGCACGGTTAAGGACGCAGCCAGAGGAGACGCAGGCGCAGGAGATGAGCCGTCGACGGCCGTGAGGGGCGACGCGGGCGCCGCGCTAGACTGCGGCGACGACATGCTTCCAGTTGTCAGGCGACTAACGAGTTGGGATTTGATGGGTAAAAACTGTGTTTAAACCGGTAGTACGGTTATTCCAACCGGTAACACGGTTCGTTCACCGATAAAGTTGTTTAAATAGGGACAAAACGGTTTTTACACCGGCTACAGTGTTTTTGACGGAAGTATTTCTTTCACGCAGGTGGACACTTTCAGGCTGTCCACTTGGCGTTTGTCTCTTTTCGAGTTGGAAGATCCATCATATTGATGTACCGGTACGTGCTGTTGATGGCGTTGCTGCAGCGCGACAACGTTGCGATCGGGTACAGTATCATCGAGATCGCATCACGAGCTGTTGCCGTTCGTTTGCTCGCTCATGAATTGCGAGCGAGCGCTACTAGGCTAGGTGAATGGGGGCTATAGGAAGGAGATCAGTTACTGTAGGCGTCTAAGAAATACGAGCTGTTATATTATCGGACGAAGTCTCTATAGTCCGCGAGCTAGGATGGTGTGGAGTTTGTACAGTGCGTCGGAGGCGGAGGGCCGGTCGTTAGGATCGATGGCGACGCAGGCCATGCCCAGCTCTCTGATGGCCTTGGGGGCTGCGGACGAGAACTCGATGCGAAGGCGGCCAGTTGCCACCATCTGCAGGATCGCCAGGTCGGGCATGGCGCGGCCCGAGTCGCTGTTGCTGTCCTTGGCGTTGGCGTAGGGCAGCGCGTGCTGGTCCAGCTCGGCCAGCACGACGCCGAACGAGAACATGTCGGCCTTGTCGTCGTAGCGCTCCCCCATCATGACCTCGGGAGCCATCCACCGCGAAGAGCCGACGCCACCGGTCATGGTGTAGTCGGCCCGCTCTCGGGAGACGCCAAAGTCCGTCAGCTTGGCTTCCAGCTGCGCAGTCAACAGAATGTTCTTGGACTTGAGGTCGCGGTGAAGAACCGGCGGCGATAATGAATGGAGATACGTGAGAGCGTGGGCCACGTGAAGGGCGATCGTGGCCTTGCTCTTGTCGAAACCAACCGGGGTGTTGTGGTTCTCGCAGTTCTTGAGAAGTGTCCGGAGGTCGCCTCCTTCCATGTATTCCGACAGTACACACAGGTCATTGAGCGAGTCCCAAGCCACTCCCACAAACTGCACAATGCGCTCGTGGTTCAGCGTGGCCATGAGCTTCACCTCGGCCAGGAAGGCGTTCAGGTGGCTGATGCTCTTACGCATCTCCGGTAGCAACATCTTCACAGCAACCGGTTCATCGTTGAACAGTCCCGCGTAGACTTCTCCATACCCCCCTCTGCTAATAAGCTCCTTCAGCACAACCTTCTCGCGTGGAACCCGTGCCGTGATGATGACCTCGTCCTCCCACAGCCCGCTCTGGGCCACGTAGGTGCTGTGACTCCGAGGTTTCTCCGCACCTCCCTGTGACTGCGAAGCCTCGGAGCCGAGCGTGATGGCGCTCAAGGCGCTCTCGGGTGTCGGGTACCCGGCGTAGCTCGCAGCCAGAGCTGCAATGCCTGTGTCCTTGCTAAGATCGTTGCTGTACCAGCGTCGACGAGCGAACTTGAACGTGGCGAACGCCAGGAACGCGACGCAAGCGACGGATCCGAGTACGACGCTGGCGATGGCAGTAGTGCTCATACCCTTGTCTGAAGTCCATCCGTCGAGCTGAGTGCTGCCGTAGGAATACGCCGAGCTGCTCGAGTCCGTGCTGCCGGACGCCGTTCCTGTGTAGAACCTGTAATGTCCCTGGATGCACTCGCCATTGGAGATCATGTCGCTGTCTAGTACGAAATGGTGCGAGGGTTTACCCCCACAGTCTCCGTCGTCAAAGAGAAGCACCACCGCGGACCCGTTCATGAAGAGACTCACGATGTCGGTCGTGTTGGCCAGAGCCGACGATTTCTCGCACGTCCCCGACGCGGGATATACTGAAGTCTGGACCAGGTTCTCACAGCCGTCTCCATCATACTCCTCCATCATGACGTAGTCGAAACCTGTGAACAGCTCCTCCGTGTACTTGAATCGGTCCGTGACGTTGCACGTTGCAGACACGAACAGCGTGTAGCCCCCAAGGTCGTGCGGTCTGCACGCGTCCGCCTCGCAGCTCTCCGTCGCGATCATCTTGAGCACATTGGGCGTGCCGGCGCAGTGGCTGCCCGAGTAGAGCTCTCGGGCGGACCAAATCGTCGAGACCGAGGGTGTCACCACCAGCGGAGCTAGCGCCAACGTCCTCAACAGCCATCGGCCGAGCGACATGGTGGACGACGTCGGAGCGTTTACACTGAAAGACGGTGAACTTGGAATGAGCGTCCTCCCCCCTCTATGGGGCTTTGGGGATCCCTGCGATTGGGAGACAGTGGAAGACGCGGTTCCCCATCGTGGGCAAAATCTAGGTGGATTGAGGCAGGCAGGCAGGAGGTCGTTTGGCACGGGCGCCACGTCAACGATCATCAAAAGCCGGAGCGACACAACGGGAAAGTGTACATGGCGCCGAGTAGAGACCGCTTCGGCGCCCGGGCCTTTGAACCATGCACGTGAAAGACACTCCTCTTTTGTGCGTGTTGTTCACCACACGAGTTCCGATCTCGGTGGGCACATGCCTGCGCTTGGAAAGAGCGAGAACAGTAGCCCCGCAGTGTATGCACACAGCGCAATGCCTCACCACACAGCTCGTTTCAGCCGACAAGGTCTTCCACTTCCTACGTAAATTGGTCGGTACAGTACGGTAGACCGAACAACCTACCAACTCCATACATGCAGCATTGTACATGTACACACGATCGATATCAGCGGAAATTATGCCTAACTGCCCATCCCATCGAGGCACACGTGTACAGTGTATTTTGATAACCGCCGTGGATGTCCAGATCATGTGGAGCTTGTAAATCGCCTGGGTCGATCGTTGGAATCTATTAGATCCGGTCTTAACAGTAAACTTACTTGCCAGTCTCAAGTCCGTCATCGACTCTAGTCCGACACCGGGAAACTCCAAACGCAGTTTCCAGTTGCCACCAAAAGTGCCATCGCCGAGCTAGGAATCTTGTGAGTATGGTGCTCATCACTTAAATGTTCGGCAGGACGTGGACATTCGACTTGTATAGCACCAAGCACGCCGGCCTTGGCGTCATAGCGTTCCCCCCATCATGAATTTGGACGCCATCCAACGCCAGTAGCCACTCTGATCTGCACGCTCGTGTGGCGTGATTGCCTGTGGTCGGCGCCGAGCAAGTGCTCCTCGACTTCAGATTGCGATGCAATACACTTGTCGACATACTATTATTAATACCAGTACTTGAAAGTACAAACGACCTCCATACGTGAGCGCGCGTGAAAAAACAAAGTGATCTTGATCTTGTTGAAGCCAAGGCTACACTCCCTCAAACAAAATATACAACCCGGGAGTGCTCTGATATACGCAAAGTAACCTCCTACATGTAGCTCTGCGAGGAATACCAGTACGTACGTAAAGTACTAGCAGTTTCCAGATTTGTCGTCCTGTACGGAAGGTCCAATTTTTTTAACTCTTGCACGCGAAATCGACTCTTATTTCGTGTGTTGTCTTGACGAAGCTCGTTGCCATACATGTAAAACCCATGAGTTCCGATCTCGGTGGGCAAATAAATGCCTGCGCTTGGAAAGAGCGAGAGCAACCCGCAGTGCACAGTGTACAACATCTACTGTACCGTACACGGTGCAATGCTTCGTCACACGGTTCGTTCCAAACGAAAAGAGTCTTTCACTTGTCGAAGATCCTACGGACACATGTATAATAGGTGGCCTGCTTGGTAGACATTGCAACTTCATACATGTAGCATTGTATCACGATTGATATCAACAAGGTCTACCTACTGTATCCCTCGCTGGAGTACGTGTATTTCGATATTAAGTATCAAACTCGGCTGTCAAGATGGTGTGGAGCTTGTAAAGCACATCGGATGCAGCGGGTCGATCGCTTGGATCTACTGCAATGCAGGACAACGTCAACCCCGTCATCGAAGAGGCTGGTCCGCCCTCAGAAAACTCCACCCGCAGTTTCCCCGTTGCCACCAAATGTACAATCGCCGCGCTAGGAATCTTGCGACTTGGGTTGCTCATCTTTCGCGTGCGAGTACGGCAGCGCGTGGACATCCAGCTTTGACAGCACGACGCCCATAGAAAACGCGTCGGCCTTGGCGTCATAACGCTCCCCCATCGTGACTTCGGGTGCCATCCACCGCGACGTGCCGACGCCTGCAGTCATGGTCTGGTCTTCCTGCTCTCGTGACACCCAAAGCCCGTGAGCTTCGCCTCGAGGTCTGCACTAAGCAGAATGTTCCTCGACTTGAGGTCGCGGTGTAATACTGGCGGGTCCAGTGAGTGGAGATACGTGAGCGCGTGCGCCACGTGAAGAGCGATCGTCACCTTGGTCTTGTTCCAGCCGACTGGTTCGTTCTGAGCCTCGTAGGAATCGAGCAATGTCCGCAGGTCACATCCCTCCATGAACTCGGTCAGCAGACACAGATCGGAGAGAGAATCCCAGGCTACTCCGACAAAACGCACGGTCCGAGGGTGCTCCAGCGTCGCCGTGAGCCTCACCTCTTCCAGGAATGCAGTCAGGTGCTTCACGCTCTTGCGGTTCTCCGGTAGCAGCATCTTCACCGCGACGTGTTGGCCGTTGAACCAGCCCGACACCACTTGTCCGTAGCCTCCGTGGCTGATCACGCCTTCGAAGTCGATCTTGTCGCGGTCGACGCGCGCAGTTGTCGTCCCAGAAGTAGCTGATGCTCCGTTGCTCCCTCGAGTACGAGCTGTTAGATCCAGTACTGAGTACGGTGCTCTTTGGCATGTTGCGCAGCGACGTACAGCTCTCGTAACCCGCCACACAATTGGAATCGTCGGCGCTCTACTCTTGAACTGGGGAGCGTCTTTTCCAGATGAAGAAGGCCGTCATGAAGCCGACCACGCCAGCAGCGAGGATGATACTGCTGTACTGAGGCTTGACTTGCTGCTGCTTGGCTCTTCATCAGCCGAACGACTACCAACCGAGCTGGAGTCGGCGCCTACAGTTCCATTCATGCTAGCACTGGTGTAGAACTTGTAGTAGTCTTGAACGCAGTCTCCACTCGAGATGTTCCCGCTATCCAGAACGAAGTCCATGTAAGCGTCTCCGTCACAGTCCTCACCGTCGTACAGCGATATCACCGCCGACCCATTCGCGAACAGGGTCGAGACGATCGAGTAGCTCCCGTACAGCGTCGACTCGGCGCAGCTTCCGGTGGCTGGCAGTACCGTCGTCAGCCGTAGGTTATCGCACCCGGCGGCGGCGTAATCCTCCACGACGATGAAGTTGAACTCCCCGAAGACCTCCTCAGCGTACGCGAACCGATCGGTGATGTTGCACTCGAGGTCGACGAACTGGGTCGCGTTGTTGATCTCGACGGACGCGCACGCGCTGGGCGAGCAGGTGGTCACCGTCGCGAGGCTCACTGCAGCAGGCGTGCCCGAGCAGTTGTGGACGTCGTAGAGCTCCTGCGCTGCCCAAATGGAGCGCGAGTCGACAGCCGACGCCGTCGCCACGAGCATCAAGGTGATTTCGACTGCCACAGCAGTCGAGACCATATCGAAGGCGGACCAAAGCGAGCACACGCAAAGAACGAAGGAGAATGAGCGATTGCGCTCCAGCTCCACCACGATGAGCATTGAATTGAGGCGCACGACGGTGTCGTGCTGCGGCAGTAAACATTTGCAGCAACTTCCACTTCCACTCGTTGGTTGTTACCGGAAGCAGTCAAATCGCAGTGTCGTGACGGTATCTACTCGCTCTGTCGAGATACCAAGCCTTGTGCGCAACTTCAGCGTCAATAGCAACACTGCTGTCATGCACAGCACTGACAAATGTCCAAGATGTAAGAGCAATGAACACGTTTTAGACCAGTCCTACTATTTCGCTGGAAAGGTTAATGAAAAAGACGATGTGAATACTTCGAGTCTCTTGCAATCAAGAGAGGTTGAGCGCTTGCGCGCCTGGATGGTCCGGTCCGGGTAAACTAAGCACTGCACGTAGTCTGGGCCTGGGCGAGCGCCTGGTAAGGCACACCACTGGTCTGCGCCACGAGGCCAAAACTGCCCGAGATGAAGAGACGGCCGAGACCCATGCTCACGGAGTCCAGCTCCTCGGAGCTCATGATGGCGCCAGCCAGCTCGCCCTCGTCAGAGAAGATGTACACGCCCTTGTAGCACACCACGTACACGTATCCGTTGTCGTCGACCTTGATGCCCTTGGCGTAGCCGTCGTCGGTCTCAAGCTCGGGGTGAGCCGTGAAGTTGAAGAAGACGCTCGAGTTGCTGACCGTACCGTCGTCCGCCATGACGTAGCTCTTGACGTACGAGTTGCCCTTCTGCGAGTTAGTAATGTACATAATGTCCTGGGCAGGGGAGAAGGCGATCTTGTTTGGACGCGTCATATCGCAGTCCACCAGCTCCACAGACTGGCCCGTGCCGTTACGCAGCATGTAGACACCGTTGAAGGGGATCTCACGGAGCGGGGAGTTGTCCAGAGTGTCACCGTCGAAGTCCGCGTCGCTGGTGGCCAGACCGAAGGGGCTGTCTGTGAAGTACAGGATGCCGTTGTTGGCGTACTCAGCGTACGTGGGGCTGTTGAACTTCTTGCCGCGGTAAGTCGAGATGGCATCCACCACCTGGCCCTGGCAGGCGTTGTCCACGTTCTTGTAGTTGAGCACACCAAGGGTACGGCCACCAGTACGGGCAATCACAATGCGGTCGCTCGTGGGGGACACGGTAATACCACCGCAGCCCTTGTAGTACACGTTGTCGCAGCCCTCCGGGTGGTTCTGCAGCGAGCAGCCAGTCTGGTACGCCGACACGGTAAGCGTCGTCGTGGCCGAGCACACGCCGTCCACATCCACGTCGATCTCGGTCGTGGTGCTGGACGAGTTGGTGACCGTGGCGTCGGGCACGTCCTCGGCGCTCCACTTCCAGATGGCGTTGCCCTCGATATCGCAGAACAGCACGTCGATGTTGGACGTGTCCGAGCTGCCGCTCGACAGGAAACGACGGCTCGGGCTCGTGTAGCCGCTGATGACAGTCGGCGACGTGTACGCAGACGCGGCGGAGGAGCTTGAAGTGCTGCCGGACGCCGACTCGACGACGGTCTCGACCGTGCTGGTCTGCGACTTGAGAGAGTCCACGTTCGACGACAGCTTCGAGTTGTAGGTCGTCGACCAGAAAGACGAGCCCGACGCGCTGCTCGTCGTCGAAGACGTCGAGGTCGCCGTCAAGGTCCCGCTGCTGGTGGAAGTACCGCTGGAGGTCGACGTGCCGCTAGAGGTCGAGGTTCCGCTGCTAGTCGACGTGCCGCTGGAGGTCGAGGTTCCGCTGCTAGTAGACGTGCCGCTGCTGGTCGAGGTTCCGCTGGACGTCGACGTGCCGCTGGTAGTAGACGTGCCACTGCTGGTCGAGGTTCCGCTGGACGTCGACGTGCCGCTGGTAGTAGACGTGCCGCTGCTGGTCGAGGTTCCGCTAGACGTCGACGTGCCGCTGGTCGTGGTCCTGCTGCTGGTACTGCCGCTGTTGGTAGTGCCGCTCGAAGTGGACGTGCCGCTGGAGGTGGACGTGCCCGATGTGCCGCTCGTGGACGTCTTGTCGCTTCCGCTGGCGGTGGTGGACGTTCCACTCGTGGAGGTCTTGCCGCTGCCGCTGGTGGTGGACGTTCCACTGCCGTTGTTGGTCTTGGAGCTGCCCGACGTGGTCGTGCCCGAGGTCTTGCCGCTGGTGCCCGTGCCGGACTCGTCGCCCACGCTCGTACCGCTGGAGCCCGAGGCGGAGCTCGAGCTCTCCTCGGACAGCAGCTTCTTGGCCTTGGCCTGGATGTTGGGGAAGACCTTCTCCTCGAAGTACGCGAGCTGCGCCGCCTCCGTGGAGCCCCAGGCCTTGACCGTGTCCGGGTACAGCTTCTTGTAGAGCTTGAAGAGCGCCGTGGCCTCCGCCGTCGTGTCGGCGGCCGCCATCAGGTACCGCGCCGCGTGCTCCTCGAACAGGTCGGCGCTCAGCAGGCGGCGGCCGCCCTCGAGCGGCGAGGAGACCAGCAGCGTCTGCTCCAGCTCGGCCAGCGCCACGGACTGCACGTCCTGCGAGGCCTGCGCGGCGACGAGCGCCACGGCGGCGAGCAGCACCCAGCGCGTGCACCTCATTCTTTCTGGGTCAGAGCTGGCGGGGAGAGAGAAACGGAGCTAAGATTCGTGTCCCTAATTAACTAGGGCGGTTTGCTCTTGGCGAGCCTGTTGCTTTGTGACAGCCGCGCGCCATGCTCTTTTGCGGGAGAGCCCGGCTAGGTACGAGGAGTACGCACCCAATCCGCAAGCATCTGCACTGAGCAGAGACGTGCGCGTGTGACGCGGTAGCCAATCGCGCGCTTCCGAATTTTTTGACAGCATGAAGCCTGCGTAACGGGATGGCGGCGATCGCCATGCGTCTTGGCAGGTGTTTCCCCTTAGGGAGAAGAGCGATGCGAGCCCTGCTGCGGCGTTGTTAACGCCACACGCTGCGCGAGTCGAAAAGGGGGCGCGGAGACCGAAGGTTCTGGTCGAAAGGATGACTGACGCCCCGGGTTCAAGTCGGCGTAGGGTGGCAATCACGTCTGTGGCTACATTCTTTTGGACCCCTCAAGGAATCGGCTTGAGCGGGGATATGCATGATGATAGGTTTCGCCACTTGATTTTGCCGACACAATTTTCAATATTGGAGGAAAATATCCATCCAGCAGGCACGCCTGAAGGCCAGTGCGCGGCTGGTCGTTATTTTTGCTATGTGGACGTGATGGAAGATCTCCTCGATGCTCGACGTGGTGCCTGCGGTGCTGCAGCCGACGGCGAGTGCCATGCTGTAGCAGAGGAAGTTGTAGCTCGTGCCGAGACCCTCGATTCGAGGGGTACATTCATGTATTGGATCCCACTTCCCCGTCGAAGCTTGTCCGGACGTCGAGGTCGAGGGGCGTGCCACAGGCGAGCGTTTTGTCGCGGCAGATAACAGGATAGGCGTTCAAAAGGCCGGTGACCGGAGTCCGGTCACCGGACCCGGTCTGTTTCATCGTTGCCGGTGCTGCGCTCTCTCGGCCAGTGAAAGCCTTGACATCTAATCCGCTTCCTGCTCCTGATCAGTCTCAGGTGTCAGGAATGATTCTCATCGCGTTTCTTCAAAGTAGTCTACAGATCTTGCCAGCACCGGCACAATAACTTTTCAGTACACACACACACTTGGGGCTCGTCACCGACGCCGTACGTGTAACTGGACGTTGTGCTCGACGCCCAATACACACACCTGTACGGCCTAACGACCGTACACCGGCGCCAACTTCGACGTGGCCTCGAAGCCACAGCAGCGCCTTCTAGAATCTACGGAGCCGCCCGTAACTCGCGGGAGTTGCTGCGCAGTGAGACCACAACGTGTGGTCTGCGCAGTACTCACATCTTGAGACCGTGGAAGCTGCAGCGACGCAGCCATGAGGTCACTCGATTGGAACGCGTTTCAGGCTTCCTTGCGCCAGCTTCGAGGGGAGAGCGCCCTCGTTCCTTCACGTCTGGCTCGGTTCAGCCATCGTCGCCCTGTTGAGCTCATCGAGCTGTCGCTCCTGTATGTCCACCCATATCAATGGTCCACTACTAGATGGACATTTCGCGCGGTCCTGCGGGACCACCAAAATCCGCTGCCGTCGTCTACATCGCCCCACGGAGACTTGCACCTTGAAGTTGGTGTCAGAGTGATGGTCGCTCGCCAGCCATTGGCTCTCCAAAAGCTCATGCGCATCATTTCTCGATTCGCCGCCCAGCGCTCAAGTCGAAGTCAGGCCTCTTCCTCCCCCCCTCCTTACTAGCTACACCAGCAATGGACGTCAAGAAGCGCGGGCTGCTGAGCGGCGTGTACGCCGGCGTGGGCGTCCTGTTCGCGGCCTCGGCCAGGTTCGACTGGCTGTCCAAGGGCGCGGCCGCCGCCTTCCTCTCGCTCGTCTGGCTGGGCTTCGTGCTGGCCATCTCGTGCACCGAGTCGTGGGTCAAGTTCCGCGCGCCCTTCATGCCGCGCCACCTGGCGCTGGACCTGGGGCGCACCATGTTCGCGGCGCTCAACTCGGTGGAGATCGGACTCTGCGTGGGGCTCTGGGTGCTGCACTACGCGGTGCCGTCCGAGGCCAGCGACGCCTTCTGGCGCCTCATCGTCGCCACCTTCCTGCTGGCCGTGCAGGCCGCGTGGCTCTACCCCAAGCTCGAGCTCACGGCCGAGTTCGCGCTCTACGAGGAGCTCAAGGAGCTGGACGACGAGAAGCTCTCGTTCAACCAGAAGATGCAGTTCGGCGAGATGCGCCACAAGGTGCAGATCCAGGACAAGCCCGCCAAGATCTACCACATCCTGTACGTGGGCGGCGAGCTCGTCAAGATCCTGACGCTCGCCAGCTTCGCGCTGCACTTCCTCAAGGCCATCCCGGCGTGAGCTGGCTGGCTGCACCAGGGCAGAGATACCTACTTGTAAGCGTTAGCATACTTTGCTCAAGATTAACCCCGTGATTGTTCAGTGATTGGTTGGATTTTGCGTGGACCCGGATCAGTTTCGCTTTGTGTGTCAATAGGTTGCATGCTGCGGCGGACCCGGTCGGCGTCGGCTTCTCTGGTGGCGCGTTGCAGGTGGCAGCGCTCTCCCCGTTGTGCGTCCAGTTACAGCAGCAGTATGGACGGTGGTGCAGCTCAAGGTTCAGATGCGGCTGCAGCGCCGGCCAAGCAGCCGCTCATCATGCAGTACTACCTGCACCAAGGTATCATCAGACCGGAGGAAGCTACGCACGTGCGGGAAACGCTCGAGGCCCCGCTTCCAGCCTGCTTTCGAGTGAACCCGATGACTTCGGTGGCTCCTCGCATCATCGACCGGTTGACCAACGAGTTCCCAGAGGCGTTCAAGAGTGTGTCGCACCTCGAAGGCCAGCCGCTGACACCGCCGAGGTGAGGCGCCTTGATTGGCGTAGGAATTGTTTGTCCTTTATGCGCTGACGATAGAATGCGTGTTGATGGATTTAGAGAGCTCTCGTGGTACTCCGCCAAGAATGGTCGGGCGTGGCAACTGGACTGCGGCAAGGCGGCGCTCTCCAGAGGTGCTCGTGACAATAGTGCAATCCAGGACTTTCGGGCTTTCCTGTTGCATCACACTGCTGAGGGAGACCTCAGTCGACAGGAGGCAGTGAGCATGGTTCCTGCACTCCTGCTGGATGTCCACCCGCACCACCGCGTCCTTGACATGTGTGCAGCTCCGGGGTCGAAGACTGCGCAGATCATGGAGGCGTTGGTCTCGGGTACGAGTGAGGCAGGAGGATTCGTTGTGGCAAACGACGCAAATGAAAAGCGTGGATACCTGCTCGTTCACCAGCTGCAACGTCTGGGACTCGATAACTTTGTTGTCACGTGCCACGAAGGACAAGATTTCCCGGGGATGTACGACAATTCGACGTTGCAGCGCACGAACGTCTTTGATCGTGTGCTGTGTGACGTCCCTTGCAGTGGAGATGGCACCATCCGCAAGAATCGCAACCTATGGGGTCGCTGGGCTCCGGGAAGCGCTCTCACTTTGCACCCGACGCAGATTGATCTCGGACTGCGAGCTGCTGCTCTACTTCGCGACGGCGGCGACTCAAGTATGACTTACTCGACGTGCTCGCTGAACCCAGTGGAGAATGAGGCAGTCGTCGCTGAGCTACTTCGACGTGCGGACGGAGCGCTCGAGCTCATGGACTGCTCCAAGATGCTTCCTGGACTCATCACGCGTCCCGGTGTTACCTCGTGGAACGTAGCTTGGCAAGCTCGCACCGCCAAGGGTGAACCTCGAGCTCCGTTGCAATGGTTTGACCGATACGAAGCTGTGCCCGACTTCTTGCAGGGCTTCCGCATCCCCCGGTCCATGTTCCCACCCGTCAGTGAAGAAGAACGCAGCGTTCTCACTCGCTGTATGCGACTTTTTCCGACGGATCAAAACACGGGTGGATTCTTCGTGGCAGTGCTCCGTAAGGTGCGTGGTGCAAGCTTGCCTGGAAAGCACCAGAGAGGTCTCGATAGCTACGAAGTCGCAGCTACGACAAGTGGAGAGCGCAAGCCTTCACGCAGAGTTCGAAAGCTAGTGGAACAGGGTGTTGACCTACCACAACCCGAGAAAAACGAGCGACCTGCCAAGGTGGCCACGCAAACGTACACGAAGCTTCGAGCCGATCACTGGGAAGAGATCAAGGACTTCTACGGCATTTCGGAGAGCTTTCCTCATGTACGTACTTCTGAAGTGATCCGGCAGGTAGGTAACGTTCACCTAACTTAACTATGTTGGCAGGAAAACCTGTACTCGCGGTCCGAAGGCACAGCGTCTGTTTGCCTCGTGAATCCTAGCATCCGCGCAGCAATTCTTGCGGGAGAGCACGCCAACGTAAGTGCATGGCACTCCTGTATCTGTTGAGCTTCTTTGGCTGATGTGCGCGTCGTTACCATTTTGTAGATCCTCGATACGGGCTTGAGGGTATTTGCTCGAGTGCAGGCTGCTGGCAAGCTGGTGTTCCGGCCCACAGAAGAGGGCCTTGAACGTCTTCTGCCATTCATCAGCAAGCGGAAGGCCCCAGCTACGACTGAAGACCTGCTTGCCATTGTGACTGTTCCTGCCAATAACACGAAGCAAGTTGCGCTGGGTTTGGAGCACTTGAGCGAACCGCTTCGACAAGCTGCTTCTGCTGTGCGGGTGGAATCGGGCGTTGGTCCCTTGCTCATGGTGTTGCCAGAATCTGAGACCAAAGCTCGCCAGCTCCCCACTGCTCTTCCTGTATGGCTTGGCGACAGGACACTGACTTTGCTGATTGACAAGCAAACTCGTGACCGCCTTGCACACAAAGCACGGGAATAGAAAGCTACGATAGATCCACCTACAGTGTTCATGCACAATAGTTCAGAGCTCATTCATATTCTCACTGTCCTGGCTTCTCGTCCGCGTTGCTAGAGATTTCACGGTTTAGTGGGGCATCTCGCGCGACTGGAGCTGTTAGGACGCCCTTGCGCTGATACTGCTCCACGAAGCTGATGAGGTCGGGGTACAGGATCGTCTTCTCCGTCACCTCCGCCGGTGGGACAGTTGAATAGGAGCCGTTGTCAAGGTGATGAATGAGGTTGTGGCGAAACTTGGGGGCTCCAGTGGCTTCGTCCAGTGCAGCTACGAAAGACGCGCAATACGTCCTCTGTCGCGACGTGTAGCGTATGAGAAAGCTGCCGACACGGTGGGGCTGACGTCGTGCCAATAGCTCCTGCGCTCGCTCGCGTGAAATGTCGCCGTGGAAAAAGCTCTGCAGACCCTCGGCACGCACGTGAAGAAGTCGACGTGCTAGCTGGAACTTTTCATCGGCTGCAAACGCCGCCACACGCTGCATGCAATCCTCCCCGTGGGCTTGCTGCGAGTTGCAAGACAGTAGACCGTTAGTATACAAGCAAGATGTGATGGCAAGCGCTTGGCTAGCTGACTTTCTTACCATCAAATGGTTGCAGGCATTGCGCACGATGTAAATCTTGGCCTTGAGTTTCTCGTCCCCTGTCGTTTCTAACTCGTAGCTGTAGGCGACACTAAATTGCGTTAGCAAACGTATTAACTATCGAGCAAGATTTCTTTCGTACTTGAGGTTGACGAACTCGAAGGCATTGCTGCGTGTGAGCGCCTGATATTCGCGTACTGCCCAGCGACCCAATCGTTCGTGCCCGGACGCCACATCGACAAAAAAATCCCCAGAGCTGTTACTGTCCTGGATCCAGTCGAGCACAGACGAGTGGAATGGTCGCAATAGCTGCGAATTTGCATCGTACCCCGCTTCGATGCAGAAGAGAGACCCAAGCACGGAACTCGCGTCACGTTGTTCGTACACATCCCATTCCAGAACGCGTGCTAATGTCGCAAGTGGCAGGGGTTCGTACGCAGCACAAAGCACCTCAAGCACCGGCCGAACACGCTGCTTGTACATATCGTGATCGGAGAAATGACTCGCGAAGAACTGCTGCAGATACGCACCCATTCCGACCGGTAGTTCAGCCAGTTCGTGAAGTCGTAGACGCCCTTCAGTGATAGCTTGCACAACATTGACAGCATACAGGAAAAGTCCTTCAGAGCGGCGTGCTATCAACTCAACCACTTGCTCCAACCCAAACTCATGGTTGTTGGCTGGGACATCAACAGCTTGTTCTGATGCTTTTGCGAAATCCACTTCGCTCAAAGGAAGTTTCGATAGAGAGAGATTGAGATATCGGCGGATATCGTGGTCATTCTCGTGCTGAAAGTGATCAATAATCACATCGGCAGGCTCGAATGCATGCAACTTGGAGAGCACGGGAGGGTCTTCTCGACTCAGCACCACTACTCGAACCCAATCCGGTAATCGCGATGCAAGCGCTGGCAACATCGACACCAAACACTCTTCATCTTTTGAGCCTCCACTCAAAGTTGGCATCGATGGTGCTGACGACGAGGAATTTGGGATCAGCCACTCGATACCGTCGATCAATAAAACCAGCGACTTGTACGTTGTAGGCCGTGCAATTGCATTGAGAGGACCAATTAGCAACTGCGAGACCAGCTCCACAAACGAAGCAACGGGGACCATCTCTTCTAAAGGTTCGTGAGACTGCAAATAGTGAGCGTACTCTGGTAGCTGGGTCGTGAGCTGGTAGGCAAGGGAGAGCACACATCGACGGGCATTGTGCGTTTGCTCATCTTCTTGTCGAGCAAAGTGGAATGCTGCGATTTCTGGACACGTTTGTACCATTTGAGCGGCCACCGAAGTTTTCCCCGAACCAATCTGACCAACTAGCCAGAAAACACGCCGATTGATCAGCTCTCCCGTTTGTGTTGAAGTCGAAAGCGTCGTTGATCCCTGGACCCACTGCTGAAATCGCTCGAATAACCATTCTCGCCCGATGAAGCGCTCTGTAAGCTGGCTGATTTGCCGCTGAAAGTTGAATGGGGCCAACAGCGAAAAAAGCCGCGCTTGCTGACCCTCATGGTCCAGCGTTCCTTCCAGCGCCGATATGAGCTGACCTTTGCGACTTTCATACCGGACAGTATTCAAACTGGCAGTAGTTTTGGAATCACCACCACTGTAATGCAGGCAGTCCGTCATATCAAGCCACTGAATCCGGCAAATGGAAAGCGGGATTTCACACGGACGCACCAGCAATGGCACAAACCCAAGTCCCGCACTCATAGCTGCTGACACGTCGTTCAAGCTGACGCCATGCGGACGCCCCACGCTCTCCGCTGTCAACAGGAGAATCATTTTTCCATCTCTTTCCACCGATGCCCATTGAAGTGCGTCTTCACGAGAACTGTTCTTGCCAGCAGATACGGCAGCACTGTCATCACATACCATGGTCAGCTCCGACAAATTGTCATGTGATGACACTGGATAAATAGAGAAACCCGCGTCAGTAAGGTCGCGGTAAATTTGCTGTGCGAGAACGAAGCAGCTGTCATCATAGCTGAGCACGTAACGAGTTTTTCGTGAAGACACAGTTGCATCTTCGTCCGAGGTACTGGGCGCAATGTCGTCGGCAGTAGCGGCGACTTTACTTGCATCATGGTCGACGCTAAGAGTACAAGGTGTCGGAGAATTAACAGCCGACATTTTTGTACCTCCTCCATTTTGCAGGATTTCATTAGACAAAGCGTGATCCTTGGTCAATTCTTCTGTGGATGTCTCAAGAAGGATGGAGCCCCCTCGTGAAGGGGACAGCGAGAGCGAAGGAGACAGCAGCCGGCGCACACTATTGCCGCGTGGTGTGTCAAGATGAGCACCATCAAAACCAGGGAAAAGACTAAGATTCGCCAGGCCAGCGACCGCAGGAACCCCATAACTCGTCATTGAATCAAACTATCATCCATGCCAAAACCACACAATCAAAGACACAGATAATCAGCGTAAACGAACCCAGCGTCAAAGTCAAAAGACGGCAAGAGGAGCCCCGTACCAATTCCAGCATCGTGTACAGCCGCTCGGCCTTCTCCAGAAAGTTTGGTGTCTCCAGGCAAGCCTTCATGAGATCTCGCCACTCGGGGCTGTCCTTCGCGTGCACCTGCTCCGCTTCACCTGGGACACAGTCGCGCATGTCGAAGAACGGGAGCATGGCGATACTCGGTGGCGGCGCGCTCTCCGCCACCATCACGAGGAAAATATTGAGCCTCAACGACGCAGCGCGCGCGACCTCATTGAGGCAGTAGCCGTCGGGTCGGCGCAGCGCATGCGGCGTCATGACCAGCAGCACTCGGCCATCTTGACCCGCGTCCCGGACCCACGACAAACCCCGAGCAATGCCCTCCTCCCAGTCGATTCCAGCTGACAGCTTCTCGATATCAAGCCACACGACGTGTCCACGCCGCTGCACTACATAGAGCAACACGAGCGAAACACCGTCAAAAATCCAACTTGAAGTTGCAGTGTAATGATTGTATCATTTCGTACGTTGTGCCTTCAGATGGAAAGCGAGAGCTTGGAACCGGTCGTGGCCGTCTGAAACACAATAAACACAATACAATAAGTGTATGTTGTGTTAGTTTGAGCTCTAGAGCGAGATGTAGGGCATAATGTGCCATTGCCATTGATGCGGCGGTCTTTTAAACGCCAAGCAGCTGCTCACACGAGAGGAAGATCTTGAGCCGAGCGCTGGGCGTGTACTGCAGCGTGTGCACGCAAGCGGTGGCGGCTGGCTGGCTTCCTGGCTCCCCTGCGTCGCCCTCAAGGCGAGTCACCGACCCGCCGCCGTGCATCCTTTATTTGCTTCAAGATTGTGGTCAAAAGTCTCCGCTACTTTGGCGCAATTTGAAGGCGTAAAATTCAAATTCAAATCGAAAATTCGCTTCAAATTTCGCGGCCAGAGAGACATTCGATTCGATTGACTCCCCTGCCCATGGATGTACGTCTACCTGGCAGCCTTGGCAGCGTCCTGCCCTACCCAGACGTCGCCGTCTAACCTCTAGTGTGCGTACCCATGTGCAGTCCGACGACGGCGCGCGACGGCGCGGCTGCAACTGCAAGAAGTCGAGCTGTCTCAAGCTCTACTGCGAGTGCTTCGCCGCCAGCGGCCGCTGCAGCGAGCGCTGCCAGTGCGTGGGCTGCAAGAACCAGAGCCACAACCAGCAGGAGATCGCGCAGGCCATCCAGGCCATCGAGAAGCGCACGCAGAAGGCCTTCCGCCCGTCGCTGCCGGCTGCCAGAGCCTCCGAGACGGAGCCGGCGCCCGAGCCAGCGAGTCGCGTCCCTGTCAGCTCCTCGACGACACCCGCTACCTTCCCGGCTGAGAGGAAGGCGGCTATGGCTATGGCCGGGACGTCGCCCAGGCCTATATGCGCCTGCAGCGACGGCAAATGCTCCGGTGACTGTCCGTGCTTGGCTCTCTTTGGGGCGTGCTCGCCTCATTGCCAATGCAAAGGCTGCCAGGTGCAGACCCAACCAGAGAGAACGAAGGGATGCAGCTGCAAGAAGTCCAATTGCCTTAAGCTCTACTGCGAGTGCTTGGCGGCGCAGCGCATGTGTGACCATCTCTGCAATTGTGAAGGATGCAAGAACTGCCAGGAGACGCTGGCGGAGCGAGAGCGGGCAGTGGCTGCGATCCTCGAGCGCAACCCGTTGGCGTTCCTGCCTAAAGTTGCGAGTGGATCGAGTCAGCACTTGAGAGGATGCAATTGCCGCAAGAGCGGATGCATGAAGAACTACTGCGAGTGTCATCAGGCTGGAGTGGCGTGCACGTCGCGATGCGCGTGTCACCAGTGCCGAAACACAGAGACGTTCGTGTCCGCCAAGAAGATGCTGGTGTTTGCAGGTGTGAGTGCTGATGACAGCAGTCTTCGGGTTACGTTGGATCGGCCATCGCAGCGGAAAATCGTAAAGCGACCAGCTCGCAGCAACGCTAAGGCTGCAAGCGCACAGAATGGAATGCAGACTCCGACCAACGCCTCGACTCAAAGGCCTTCGGCTTTGGAGCTGCTGTCACGAAGTGCCCCAGTCGCACACTCGAAGTTGTATCAACGGAATGACTCCTCTATGGACGGACTCCCGCCGACCACGCCAACTAAACGGCCGTCTAGCATCATGGAACACTGCCACACAGCAGGTGGAGCTGTGGTCACACCGACCTTCGCAAAAAGGAAGTACACAAGACGGAGCTTCACAAGACTACCATTCATGGACCGGATTCAGGAGGCAGCAGCTCAACCAGTCGTTGATCTTCCCAATGTTGAAGACGTGGTGGTCAATGTGTACGACGCTAGGAGCACGGAAGGTGTTGGTGATCCAGAACTCGCCATTCTCAGCCGAGCTCTGCTGCACACTGCAATGACCGTGGAGCTTGCAGAGGAGGAGAAGGAAGCTGCAGATACCCCGGAGGACCAAACACCAGTGAAGCAGCCAGCGGAAGGTCTTAAAATTAATCCTCGGCGTGTGAGTGACGTCAGCGACGGCCGTGAAGCGCTGTCTCCTACGGCTGCAGGGTTGTTCTGCGAAGAAGAATTCAGTGACGCTATTGGTGACGATGACAGCCCCCAAGCAATGGAAGTGGAGACAAACGGAAATGGTGTGCCGTCGGGGTCAAAACCTGACGATGAAAACCGAAACCCCAAGCCTTCCAAGGACCAAGACCGCTCAAAGAGTTTAAGTGCTATGCAAGAACGCGCCGTGCTCCAGGAATTTAGTGTTTGGCTTAGAAATCTAGCAGCTGGGGTACCTTCGCATTAATAAGCGACCTCGATATTAACACCACCGCTTTGAAGGAGGGTAGCCCTGGACACTGGTACCTCAGATAACGCAGCCAGTATGAAAACAAAGTTCTATTTACCAAGGATTTGTCTTTCGGCGCTAAGCCTACCGGTGGATACACGGAATGGGGGGCTAGTGACCGCTGTTTGGACTTTGTTTACAGGCTGGAGTCGTTGATGCCTTCGCGCTTGTAAATGTGCTTGATGGCCTCGTAGACGCCGTCGACAGTCACATCAGGCTTGTGTTCGGGATCCTTGGAACCGTCGTAGATACCCGTGCGGACGAGCACAGAAGTCCACTCGTCTCCGGCGTTGTTGGCGCCCTGAATGTCTGACAGCGGGTTGTCGCCGATGCCATACATGTGCTTGAGCGGCTGCGATTGCCCGGAGATGGAATTGAGGAGGCGTTCCGCGTAGCTGTAAATTGCATACCAAGTTAGCGATCAAGGCTTCAAACCGGATCATCATTGAGCAATTCACGTACTTGTACGTGACGGTGTGAGGCTTGCCGTAGTTGGTAAGTTCGAGCGTGCGCCCGGTGAGGTCTTCATACAGCAGCTTCAAGCACCTCGTGAACGCTCCTGTGAATGGAAGACGTTAGCACCGCTTGCTACCACACAATCCAGCATAGAGAACGCCAATACCTTGTGCGAAGCGAGGAAATGGGTATGCACCACTGAAGATGAAGTCATCGTTGCTCACGAAGAGCGGCGTCTGCTTTCCCGAAGGGTTTCCACTTCCAGGCGGGTCGCCTCCGATGAGCACGTCGACGGCAACCTGGATCTCCGGGGCCCAGTTAGTCGGGTCGTGCATCACGATGATAGCCTCGATGGGCTCCTCATGACGCGGAGCAAGCCTTCACAAATACAGACAGCAAGTCCTCAGTCGCCACATAGCAACTCCCATCGATCAAGGAAATTTTAACGCACCTCTGTTCGTAGTGGTTGAACGGATACTGCATTGGGTGGTGGTGCAGCAGGTCCTCCACACGCACAACCTTCTTAAACCCGTAGCATTTCGCCTACCAAGAACAACTCAACAGTAATGTTATCAATCCGTGCTAGTTCATCACTGTCGGCCTTTGGTGTACGTACCACATTCCAGACGTCGTACGAGCCCAAAATCAACACCCGCTTGTCTGCAGAAGCACTCAAACCGTCAGCAAACCCCACATCAGTAGCAATAACGCCCTCGGTGTCAGCTCCCGCCCACCTCCATAGGTCTCGGCGATCTCGCGCATGGGCGTGTGCGAGAGGATCATGTGCTCCGGGTTGATGGGCAGGTCCAGCACCTTGCTCAAGTTCTTGGCCTTCTCCTCCTCCATGCAGCCACCGCCGTTGGTCAGGAAAATGTGCGGCACACTTTTCTCACGCAGACTTTGCAGCACGCGCTTGGCCTTCAGGAGCTCGTGGCCACCGCTGCCATACCAACAGAAAATAACGATAGCATCAGCACAATATAACAATAGAGACCACTTTCATCTTCTCCCACCGAATCAAGACGCCGTCGATGTCAAACGCGATACCGAACGACGGAGCAGAAGACGCTACACGCGAGGCATCCGACGCCACGGAGTAGGCCCGCGCGCTGCGCCTGCTTAGCGAGCGCACGAGCGGAGAGCGCCACATCCTCGACCCCAGATCTAGAGCAGTTGTGGCGTACGTCAGTCGCTAAAAAACCGATTACGTGCGCCACACCACTTATTGACACAACTTTATGTACGCCTTGCGTATCAGAGCTCCTCGCCAATCGCAGCACTTCATATCATTGCAGCCGAGCCCAAGCAGCCAAGATGGAGCTGGTCGTCGGGTGCGTGGGCAAGCCCAGCGCCGGCAAGTCGACGTTCTTCAACGCCGTGACGGATGGCAAGGCCAAGGTGGGCAACTTCCCGTTCACGACCATCGAGCCGAACGAGGGCATCACGTACTACATGACGCCGTGCCCGTGCCTGGACAAGGACAAGACTTCGGTGTGCGCGCCGCGCTACGGCAAGTGCGAGCAGGGCACGCGCTACATCCCCGTGAAGCTGCTGGACGTGGCCGGCCTGATCCCCGGCGCGTCTGAGGGCGCGGGCCTCGGCAACAAGTTCCTGGACGACCTGCGCCACGCGCAGGTGCTGATGCACATCATCGACGTGTCCGGCCACACGAACGAGAAGGGCGAGGAGACGGTGGGCTACGACCCCATCAACGACGCCGACTGGCTGGACACGGAGATCCACCAGTGGGTGTTCAACAACCTGTGGAAGCGCTGGACGTCCATCGCCAGGAGACACAAGGCCACCAAGAGCAGTCTCCAGAACACGTTTGTCGGACAGCTGTCGGGCTACGGAGCCACGCCGTCGCTTGTGAGCAAGGTGCTGGATCGGCTCGGGCTTAAGGAGCCGCTGGACCTCACGACGTGGGTGGAGGACGACGTGCACAACTTGGTCAAGGTGTTCCTGGACATCCGATTTCCGACCGTGCTGGTGCTGAACAAGGCGGACCAGGGAGACGACACGGATCGCAACATCGAGAAGATCGTCGAGAAATACGGCAGCGACCGCTGCTTCGTGGCGAGCGCGGCTGCTGAGTGCTTCTTGCGCGCGGCCAATAAGCAGCGCTTCATTCGCTACGAGCCGGGCTCGATGTTCTACTCGACGCTAGAGGACGACGATGAGGAGCAAGCCAAGGCCGATGCTGAAAAGGGACTGGGTCCGCTCAAGCCGATCGAGAAGAAGATTCACAGGCGTCTGGAGCGTATCTCCGATATGGTGCTGTTCCGCTACGGCAGCACCGGAGTTCGGGCTGCCATTAATGCGGCCGTGGAGCTCGCCGATGTCGTGGTCGTATACCCGGTCAAGTCCCTCAAGAGCTTCGCCACCAACACCACGCCCGGAGCGACAAACAAGGGCATCTTCGCCGACGCGGTGATTGTGAAACGTGGCACTACTATCAAGGAGCTGGCGCTCCGTGTCTCGCAGTTTATTGGATCCAATCTCGCGTACGCCGAAGGCGAGGATGGTCGGAGACGCGCCGAAGACGAGCCCATCACGAATAACAACCTCATCATCAAGTTCACGACGACCATTGCTTCGTCGACCATGGCTCCCTCGGACACGTCTGCAGCAGATAAGGACGGCAAGAAGGGAGGCAAGAAGGGAGGCAAGGCTGGAGCTGCCAGTGCGGGCGGTGCTGGCGACGACAGCTACGAGTAGAGAGAGAGATAGACACGCAAGCTATCAACGAATGCTAACACACAGTTCGCTTTCGACGGATAGAGGCCGTACTGAAATTTTGCTAAGCTCAATCATTAAGATTGAGCCTCAATGTAGCACAGCGTGGCGCATCATAGACGTATGCTCTTGGCGACCTGTGTACATACCAGTAACGAACAAGACGAAGACCAGCAAAATTGAAACAAGAAGTAGTGGTGAAGGTTTCACAAATCCTTGATTTGGGTTTCTGTTAGCAACGCTAAGCTAGAGGGTGCGTAAGCAGGTCAGGAGACTACGCTTAGTAGTCCTCGTCGCCGCCGAACATGTCCATGCCGCCGCCCATGTCGACCTCCTCTTCCTCCTCAACGGCCTCCTCCTTCTTCTCCTCGGCGGCAGCGGCGCCACCAGCGGGGGCAGCCACGGCGAAAGCCGACGGGTCGGCCAGGAAGGCCTTGAAGGGCTCGGCCTTCTCGAACGAGAACTCCTCGCACTCCACAGCGACAGCGACCAGGTCCTTGAAGGCGTTGGCGATTGAGTGGGGGATCGAGGCGAGCGTGGGCAGGCCCAGCTCCAGCGACATGGCAGCCACGTTGCGCAGGCCAGCCACGAACTTGGCGCAGAGGTCGGCCTCCGTCAGGTCCAGGACAGCGGGGTCGAAGATCGAGCCGTTGTCGTACACCTGCTCGATCACCAGACCGTACGAGAACGGCTTGATGTCCAGCTTCTGCAGCAGAGCAGCCTCGGAGTTGCCGACCTTCTCGCCCTTGCGGGTCAGCAGCACCTCCGTGACGATCTCAATCTGACCCTTCTGAATCTTGGTGGCGATCTGCAGGGCCTGGAAGAAGGACGTCTGACCGGGGTCGGCGCCCGTGGGTCCGGGGGGCACGATGACGTCCACCGGGGCGATGGAGCCGACACGGGCCGGGGCGGGCACACGGTTGGACTCGAGGATCTCACGGATCTCGGCCAGGTCGTCGTTCGTGAACACGAAGCCGACGTTGCCCTTGAGCAGCGGGATGAACTGCTCGAGCGGGTGGCCCGGGTTCTTCTTCACGAAGTTGTGGAACACCTTGCGCATGAGCGTGTTCTTGCCCATGAGCACCTCGGCGCGGCCGCGGAGCACCAGACGGATCTGCTGCATCTGGGCCGAGCCGACATTGTCCACGCCCACCAGGAAGATGCGCGTGTAGTTCTCGAGCAGAGCCTCGAGCTTCTCGAAGTACTCGAGCTTACGTTCCTGAGAGAGACCCATGGCGAAGGAAAACGCAGTCGCTTTAACCAGTTAAGGAGACTTGCGCTTGGATTTGGAAAGTAAGTCCCATCAGCGAGGGGCGGGGCGTCAACGCGGCAACGCCCCCAAAGCCCTCGCTTCCACCAGTTCCGCGAGCAGCTCCGTTTAGCGGATAATGAGGGGCGAGCTCCCCATCATATGTTCGCCGCATCTACCGAGTTGTATGTGGTATACAATTCGAGAGGTTGGGTTTTGAGCCAGGGGTTACACGAGAAGCGTACCCCATCTGGGTATCTTCACGAGGGTACGTTGCGTACCCACGCTTACGTGGTGTGGTGCATACTCTGGCCAAGTGTCCGTTCATTTCTAGGGGCAGATCCGAAGTGATATCATCCGAGCTTTCGTGCCTCTCCTTCTGCTCCCCGTCCCGATCCCTCTGCAGCCATGTCGGAGGCACTCGCGAGCCGCGTGGTGCTGTACGTGCACGAGCTGCTGCACTCGCCTGCAGCCGACGAGCTCATGGTGCACGCGCACCGTCTGTTCGCTCGCATGGGCTTCCCGGAGCCGTACCCAGACGCCGAGCGCCTGGCCATCGCGCTGCTGACGGGCATCTTCACGCTGCTGGCCTACTTTGTGCTCTTCGGCAAGCGCCACCGCCGACGGAGACAGGTGCTGCAGAAGGAGCTGGACGAGGCCTATCAGAAGGTGCAGGAGCTGCAGGACCGCATGGCCATGATGGAGGTGGAGGAGCGCGAGGCGCCCCCCAAGGAGCAGATCCGCATCTGGATGGACGGCGCCTTCGACATGATGCACTACGGCCACATGAACGCCTTCCGCCAGGCCAGGTCGCTCGGCACGTACCTGGTCGTGGGCGTCAACGACGACGAGTCCATCACGGCCTGCAAGGGCGCGCCTCCCGTGCTCAACAACGAGGAGCGCATCGCCTCCGTGGAGGGCTGCAAGTTCGTGGACGAGGTGGAGCCGCACTGCCCCTACATCATGAACGAGGAGTACCTGCAGCGCATGATCAAGAAGCACCGCATCGACTACGTCGTGCACGGAGACGACCCGTGCATCGTGGACGGCAAGGACGTGTACGAGTCGGCGCAGAAGCTCGGCAAGTACCGCACGATTCCTCGCACCGAGGGCGTGTCCACGAGCGACATCCTCGGCCGCATGCTCGTGATGCACAAGACCCACCACACGCACGACCACTTCGCTGCCAACGGCCAGTTGTCGTCGCGCATGCTGCAGGACAAGGCCAAGGAGCGTCCATCCAAGTTCCTGACCACGAACCGCATGCTGCGCCTCTTCTCCGTGGGCAACCACGAGCCGCAGAAGACGGACAAGATCGTGTACATCGACGGCGCCTTCGACATGTTCCACGCCGGCCACGTCGAGATTCTGCGTCTCGCCAAGCAGCAGGGCTCGTACCTGATCGTGGGTGTCCACAACGACAGCGTCGTGAACGCCCACCGCGGCCTCAACTACCCCATTATGAACCTTCACGAGCGCGTGCTCAGCGTGCTGGGCTGCAAGTTCGTGGACGACGTGCTCATTGACGCGCCGTGGCAGGTGACGCCCGAGATGATCGCGTCGCTCAACATCTCCGTCGTCGTGCACGGCACGCACCGCGACCAGCACCACCTGCCCGAGTTCTCGCTCGAGGAGCACTACGAGCACGCGCGCAAGGCGGGCATCTTCAAGCTGATCCAGAGCCCCAACAAGCTGGACGTCAACGACATCGTGGGCCGCATCAACGACAACCGCGAGCGCTTCGAGAAGAAGTTCGTGAGCAAGATGAAGTCCGAGGAGGAGTACTACGCGGACCGCTATGGCAAGAACAAGAAGTAGGAAGGGAAACCCGTAGTAGGCCGCACCCGACTGGCTATTTGCTGGCTGGTTGGTAGGTAGTATCGCGTAGGAATGGGCCTTTGCACCGCTAGTTGACGACATGTATCGCTCAGTTCATTTGCATTGCCTCGACCATTGCATTGCATTGCAGTAACTTCAACCGTTACGGACGCCTTGCCACGTCAGGTTCTCTCGTCCGACAATCACTTTTAGATTAGATCCCCTGCCCAGCGACGGACAGCAAGACTATCGCTCGTCACTTTAGAATTTTCCATGCTTCGACGTGAGTATCCTTGCCGCACCATTTTCCCTCCTTGCAGACGCTGGCCCTAACGCCCCTCTCGTGCTGTTGTCGCAGGTGCCGTGCTGTTGCATCGGTCCGTTCGCGCGCTTCCTCGCCAGCAAGTCGCCGCTCTCGCCCGGAGGCAGAGCTTTTTGATCGCTCGAAGTAGTGAGCGCGTCGCCCGTCTACAGTCCGCCCCCGACGCCGGTCGCTCCCTAGCGCTACTGTCGCTCTCTGCTCTCGCCCTGGCCTCCGCGTCCTGCGCCCCTAAACTGCCGATGGAGTCCGCTGACGCCGTGAAGGCGGAGGAGCTGTACAATGACAACGGCTTCGACCGCCGCGAGCTGCTCGCCAAGCTCAAGGAGATGCACGCCGCCCACCCGGAAGACGTGGGCGTGATCTGGCGCCTCACGCGCGCCGCCTACGACGTTTCCAACCTCAAAGCCACCAGCGCCGACGAGAAGAAGGAGCTCACGTACTACGCGCGCGACATCATCCACAAGGGCCTTGACCTGACAAAGGACGTGGCGGCAGTGCACAACTGGTACGCAGACGACCGAGGCGACCAAGGGGCTCCCTGCTACTACTGGTGCTGCTACTGACTGACACTATGCTGTATTTGCCGCAGGTACGGCATCATCCTGTCATCTATCGGAGACTATGAAGGCTCCAAGGTGTCGATTGCCAACTCGTACGTGATCAAGAACCACTGGGAGACGGCGGTGAAGCTCAACCCGACCAACCCCACGACGTACTACCTGTTGGGCCGCTGGTGCATCGCCATCGCCGACCTGTCGTGGCTGGAGCGCAAGGCGGCGGCGGTGCTGTTCGGCACCCCGCCCGAGTCGTCGTATGACGAGGCGCTGAGCTTCCTGCTCAAGTCGGAGGAGCTGGCACCCGACTCGTGGAAGAAGCGCTCGCTGCTCATCGCGCAGGTCTACCAGAAGAAGAGGGACTACGCCACGGCCAAGGACTGGGTCAACAAGGCGCTGTCCATCCCTGTGGCCGTCGAAGAGGACGAGATCGCCCACGAGGAGGCCCAGGCGCTGCTCAAGAAGCTCTAGACGACGGATCTGTGACTGCACATCGAGCAGACGCCCAAGGGGTCGTCCTTAGTTTCGAGTACATTTCGCGGACGTTCGAGTAAAGAGTAATATACTCGGACTTTCGAGTACATATACTTCTTTTGAACTCGTGCGTTGCGTTAGCTTCCAGCTACTGACTCCACGGGATGGCATTCACGAACGTAAATAACGTACTACTAGCCCTTTAGGGCAACTTGCTGATGTTTTCTGCTCGGTGATGCTTAAGTTTTCAAGACGAGAGCTGCTTTCAAGTACGGTAATACAAGTCTAGCTCGTACTTTCAGTAGGTCCCATTGCAGTGAGCGTGCCATGATCCTTTTATTAGCAGTAATCGTCGAACAGGACTTCACACTTTCGCATACTACGGCTAAACCAAGCAACCGGGATACGTACATGTACCAACCCATCCGCCTGTTTCTAGCTTGCACGCGAACACCATGGCCCCTGAACTAATAATATTATCCAATATGGATAGTTCATAATAATATTATGGCCACGGCACACGGGCCCCGCGAAGGAGGGTTTTGACCATATCTGTTTTTACTGGAGGCTTTATCATTACCATGGGCATCTCATGGCATCTCCTGTGTCCGCCAAGTTTGGAAGAGGTGGCAAAAAAGTAGAAACTAAAACCCAACGAACCTTGCTTGAGAAGTATTTGCAGCTTGACATACCCATGCATATATGTACCTACTCCTTTTGGAGGGACCAGTGGCACTGGGTTATAATGGTGTCGATGATGATAGGGCCATGCCATGGATACATCACTGTGTGCGCTTCTTGCGACTTAATATCAAGTAAATTTCGGCGATAATGTGAGTAATTTAAAAATCGCCGGAGGATTTTACTTCTCTGTTTCACTTCAATAATATAATATTAGAGGTCATATTATGACCTCTTTGGTTTATGTATACCACACACATTATGCGATTGGGCAAAAATATGCTAGACTGTTCGCTGATTCGCCAAGAAACGCACACCCAAGAAAAACCTGAGTTCTAAACCAAGGCGGGAACCCTGTTTTTAGTGGTGGCAGTCAATAGAGCGGAAGCAGAGTACTTGTCCGGTCTAATGTCGCCAAAATTGAATGAACTGCGAAATGAAACCTCATTCGCCTCCATGCAAGCCCACATTCATCATCTCCTGATCGCTCATTACGTAGTGATTGGGAGTAGCAAAACATACACCAGACGCGCTGTGGAGTAAGCTTTCCGAAGCTACTTTCAGTTTTATCAAACTCGATCTACGTGACGAGATAGGTCCCGGAAACCAAAGAGATCATATTGAAGTGAAACAGAGATGTACACAGAAATAGCCGCATCGCTTATTGTGAATTCCGGCCAAATTTTCCGGTTTGGAGACCCCGCTCCAATCGCCAAATACAAAACTCAAGTGACTTGAGTCAAGTCATTTCCTCAATCTCCGGGCCCAAACCATATGGTCCAAGTGTCCGCATGTCAAGACCAATTCGTACTTAAACGGTTGCCTATAACCAATCCTAGTGGCCACGGAGATTGGCCGGAGATTTGGCTTGGGCGGTTCAACAAACCGCCCGCGGAAATTTGGAACAGAACACACAATATTAATAGACAAAACCATAAAACCCGTCTTGTCAAGTTGCTTCTTACAAATAGACCAAGCGGCTCAAACGATGTTAACGACTTTGCTGCATTGCTGCGCCAAAACGAGCATCCATAGAACAGCATCTTCTGTATTTTTAAAGCAGGCAACATATTCATACCTCGAAGATCCTTTTCGAAAGGCTATGCTTGTGAGTTCAAAACTACTCCTGGTTGAATGACGCTGCAGAGCTTTGCACTAGACCTTAACGAGCGAGGTCAATCTCGCTGGAGGTGGTGGATAGTTATTCGAAAAAGGCTTTGCCAAGTGATAAACAGTTTGGTCTTTAACAATGCTCTCTGTGACCAATTTCCCCTCGACGCTCAAGTGAAAAGGTTCCTGGGAAAGACCTCACAAATGATCTGCGCCTGACGCAACAGCTAGCTTTGTGAATTGACGGTACCTAATAGTGTTCTCCCTGTAGAGCTAGCTGTGCGTGTTAAAGGAGTTAATAACACTTTAGTTAGTGTCTAGTAAATCTTGCGAACATGTAATTGCCGAACGAGCAACACCAATTTTAGAGCAAGAAAAGCTAATACTACTCAAACTTCTTGATATTTGAATAACGTTTCTTCTCCGATGGAAAATGAAGCATGTCGTTTACTTTGTCTCAACTTTAGTTACTTGTAGTTTCTGGTGAGGGTCATTACAGTCATTTAGGTAACCTAAAGACTAAGCTAAAAAAAAACTTGAAGTACAATATACCGAACGCATATTTCCCTGGTACTAACTCGTGTACTTACAGTCAGCACATGCCACTAACAGTGAGTTAGTGTCTAGTAAATTTTACTAACAGTAAAATGTGTACCTATATACGCAGCAGACACTGCGTGCACAGTGTTCAGCGCTTTTGCTCACGAGGAAATGTAAGAGCTGGAAGCTAGAGTGCAATAGGAAACGCTACGGATGTGTCTTGCTGGTCATAAATGACCAGTTATTACATTTAGCTTGCTGGAGCTACTTCAGCTGTAGCCGATTGTCATAATACTTTCAATTTGTCTATTTCGGTTGATGGCTACGCCTTAGAATCCCTTTCTGAGCTTACTTGCACTAACACCGCGTTTACTCGATCTTAAGCTCTTTTGCTTCGTCAGCGGTAAGAGGACAACAAGCTGCAAGATCGAAGTGTGACCACAGGTGACACTTGATCGATGTATGAAAACCCTGGCTGGCCCCCGTAAATTGCTATCCCAACCTAGGCTTCGTAGCCCTACGCTGCTATTGCCTTGTCGCTGTCAGTCAGCGACTCGCCGACTGCAACTTGGCGCCACGTTGCTCGCGCGGAATCTTCTGGCGATCTTTCGGCGGCAATTGTCCAATCAGCGTAGCCCAGTAATTTTCAAATGCAACTGTACGTAAAGCCGCTACATCGGAATTATAGCCAATCGCCGTGAGGGGAGTGGCGCTCGGTGGTTATGAGCATTATAAGCGGAAGCCAAGCCAGCGGAGGCGCGAGACGTCCAGCCCAGCCAAGCCCCGAGCCGCCCCATTCGCCCAGCGGGGGCCGCTTCTCCTGCCGCCGCCGCCACCTTCCCACGTGCAGACTTGTCTGCCCTCGATCACCCCCTTTCCCCCGCCGAAGATCGGCCCGCCGAGTCCAGAGGCGAGCGGAGATGGCGATCACGTCGGACGAAGTGAACTTCCTCGTGTACCGGTACCTGCAGGAGTCGGGCTTCCTGCACTCGGCCTTCACCTTCGCCTACGAGAGCCAGCTGGCCAAGTCCAGCGTCATCAACACGGAGCTGCCGCCCGGGGCGCTCGTGTCCTTCATGCAAAAGGGACTGCAATATGTCGGCATCGAGGCGCACATTAACGAGGTGAGCGCGCGCTGTGTGTGTATATACAGCCCCTGCTATCATGGAGGAGGGGAAGACAAGGAGATAGGGACTGACCGGGTGTCGGGCACTGTTTTGACGTTGTAGGACGGAACGGAGCGCGAGTGCGACGGCGACTTCTCGCTGCTGAGTCCGCACATCTGTCGCGTGGCGCAGTCCGCGTCCAGTAGTGCTAGATCCTTCAAGGCCTCCAACAAGCGGAAGCGGAAGGGCGATGGATCGCCCGACGCTGTGGATGGTACGAAAGGTAGGCCCCGGACCTACGCATAGAGAGCGATCTGGCCGGTCCTGGCAGGGAGACTGACGTTACTTGTCGTAATTGTTGTTGATAGCAGAGATGAACGGCGTGGATAAGCTGGACAAGGAGGCGCTGGTGCTGCTGAACGGACACGAGAAGGAGGTGTACGCGTGCTCGTGGAACCCGGTGAAGAACATCCTGGTGTCGGGATCGAGCGACTCGACCGCACGGGTCTGGTCGCTGCCGAACAAAGTGGAGGATAGTAAGGCTGTCGTGCCCAAGGTGCTGAACCACGGCACAGGACCACACAAGGACGTCACAACTCTGGAGTGGAACGTACGTGCTATACTCGTTTTTCTTAGGAGACCCAGCTGGCCGCTTTGCCATGATCCGATTGAACTGACGTATGTATTGTGGTCAACTATTTATTGTAGCACGATGGATCGCTGCTGGCATCGGGAACGTACAATGGCAAGACGCGGATCTGGAACGCTGAGGGCGAGATGAAGCACATTTTCCAGTATCACAACGGACCGGTGTTCGCTACTCGGTGGAGCAAGAAGAGTTTGTTTTTGCTGAGTGCTAGCTTTGACAAAACCGTGGTTGTTTGGGACGCTACGACTGAGACGAAGAAGCAGCAGCTGAAGCTGCACGAGGACCCAATTCTGGATGCGTCCTGGAAAGATGACTCTACGTTTGCTACGTGCTCGTCGGATATGAGTATTTGCGTCGCGCGCGTGGGCGAAACGAAGGCTGATTTGGTACTGCGTGGCCACAAGGATGCTATCAACTCTGTCAAATGGGACCCGTCTGGCCGGTATCTCGCTTCCTGCTCGGATGACTATACGGTGAAGATTTGGGACCCTTCAAAGGCTGTGAAGAGCCCGGATGCAGCGGACGGTGATGCTATGGAAGTGGACAGCAGCGAAAACAGCAAAAAGGACGCAGAAGATGACGCAGCGAGCACAGCGGCACTGGTTTACACGCTCCAAGAACACAAGAAGGAAGTATACACGTTCCGTTGGAGCTGTACTGGGCCTGGGACAGCACTGCCGGATCAGCCGCTCACGCTCGCAAGTGCATCATTCGATGGCACCGTAAAGCTCTGGGATGCCGAGTCTGGCTCCTGTAGGAGAACATTTGATCACCAGTACGTGGCTCTGTATGATGCTGGAAACCCACTTTGCTGCGAGCTCACACTTGGGTGCGTTGTTGGTTCTGCAGGTATCCGGTATATGGTGTTGCGTTTAGCCCGGATGGGGAGTACTTGGCTAGTGGAACAGTAGGGGGAATGGTCAACGTCTGGTCACTAAAGGTGCGTCGAGTGCAGACCCCCTGTTGTCGTGGAGCAGGATGATATGCAAGGTGACTGACTCGTGCTGGTGTTGTGCAGGACGGGTCCTTGGTGAAGACGTATCAAGCAAATGGCGATATCTACGAGGTCAACTGGAACAAGCAGGGAGACCAGATCGCCGCGTGCGTGTCCAGCGGTGACGTCGCAATTATCAATTTTCGATTGTAGTATTTACCCAGGAACACAGTGCAAGCACAAGGGTACCCCGTGGACCGGATCGGCCACGAGGACCCGGCGATCTCCCCGGGAGGAAGCAGTCGCGACTTTGCAACGCCCGACGTCCGGCTCATAAGGACTAGAGCATAAACACCCGTTCACCCCGCGTTCCGAGTTCCTTGTCGCTGCGTTTTGGGCAGGGCTTCAGGAAGTGCCGTACAGTATGATACCATAGTACCGGTACACGTAGGAGTAACTCCCTGAAGGAAACCAAATCCAATCGTCCACGAGCGTCCTCCAGCGTCCTCGCGGGCATTCGCGCTGACTGGTTGAAATCTAAAATCTTAATCTGGCCCTACCCCTATTCACTGAATCGACAATTCACGGCGCGACGCGAGAACGCCTCTGCATGACATGATCAGCTTCGACACGTTCGCGGGCCCGCGCCCGCGCGTGCGCGAGGCGGACCTGGACACGGCGGGGCTGCTGGTGCTGGCGGAGCAGCCCACGCCCGCCCCGGAGCTGTTCCCGGCGCTGTCCGACTCGCCCGGGGACGAGTTCTACGAGAGTCAGGACGACGACAGCGACAGCTGCGACCTGTTCCACGACGGAAGTGACGAGGGCGACGTGGCGGCGACGCAGCACCAAGGTCAGGATACTGGACCAGCCGAGGTCCTGCAGGATGATCCCAAGCAGGGGCAGGAGCAGGCCAGCGGCGGCCGCATCCGCCAGCTCGTGGAGCTGCTGACGCTGCAGAGTCACAACGTGGGGGACGCGCGCTCGGCGCTCGTGGACAAGCTGCTGGGCGTCGTGAAGGTGCACGAGCTGCTGCTGACGCGCGCCACAGAGGAGCAGATCGCCGACGCAGCCAATGACGCTATCACGGACGAGCTCTTGGCCTCGGTGGACCAGGAGGAGCGTCGCCGCAATGAGTTGGCATTGAAAGAGCAACAACAGCAACAGTTGGTGCCGTTGCCGGTGGCGGCATCGACGCTGTTCGACCCCGGACAGTTGAGTCCATTCCGCGTGCTGGAGCTTGTAGACGTGCTGGACTCGACCACGGGAGGGATGGTCAAGAGGGTGCTGACCAATGTGAGGCGGAGAGCGCCGCTCAATGCGCGGATGGTGCGGCATAACGAACTGGAGAAAGACGTGGAGTTTTGTAGGTTTTGCTCTGCATACGGGGACCACACTGCGGCGCAGCACAAGTGCAGACTGTGTGGAGTCGTGGGGCAGCATCGTAGCAGGAGCTGCCCCCATCGTGGAACGGCAACGGCAATTACTGCTTCTCCCACTAACACAAATTCGCCTACAAACGCTGCCGAGAAGACGGTGGACGATCAAAAGTTCTGTACGCTGTGCAATTCGTGGGGGATGCACGCTACGGAGCGACATCGGTGTCGCACATGTGGCGCTCACGGTGCGCACCGCAGTCAAAGGTGCCCGGCGTCCTCTTCTTCCTTGGTGCCATGGATCAGCTCGCCCGCAGATTTGCGTAAGGGACGAACGTTTTGTTCGCACTGCAGTGCCTGGCGACCACATGCATCAGATCAACACCGATGTCGGTTGTGCGGTGTGGTCGGGCACCATGGAAGCAAGAAGTGTCCTAAACGGGCTAATGGATTGTCTCCGAGTAGGAGCAGATATTCGCAGCATGGAGATGATACGTCGCCAGCCATGTCACCTGGAAAAACTACTGCTTTCTGCTCATTCTGCCGCAGGAAAGCAGCCCACGCGACCCACGAACACCTTTGTCGAGTTTGCCGCGCTGTGGGATTGCATCGGTCCGATGGTTGTCCTCAACGCAGCAGTAGCAGTACCGTGCTATCATACTCGGTGGATGCCGCGTCGAAGGTTCGAGACCGTGTACTGGAGACAATCCCGCAAGTGTTGCCCCCTCCAGCAGCGACGCTTGTTTGGCGGAGTCTGGATAAAGTGGGCGATGCGGACCTCATCCTGCGGAAGACTTTACAACGGATAGGCGTTTGGGGTGGCGGATCCCAGACTCCGATCACTACGCCCTACGCGCCTCCGAGTGTTAGTTCCAGTGGCCCTGACGCAGCTTCAGACGGGCTTGTTACGCAGGATTGCGATGCAGTTCATAAGTATCCCCCAGGACTGGAATCTCTTCCTCTAGGTTCTCAGTCCCCTGCGTCAAGCAATTCTTCAGCCGCGATAGTGCTGGATGAAGGGCGGTCAAGTGGCGTGTACGTGCTGTCTTACGCTGAAGGCCACTCGGTGGTCCCCGCCCGCATTCTCAAGTACATGCGGCTGCTCATGCATCACGAAGTATCGACCAATGCGTTCTCCGTCGTGGTACGGTTCGATCCTCAGCCGTCCCACTGGGAGCTGATGAAGCCTGGCATGGTATCACCTCGCTCACTGCCCTCAAGTCCGACGTTGAGTCACCAGTTGCAAAAGAGGATGTCGCATTTTACGCTTCAGACGCTGCTGGGGGCGCGTGACAAGCTGCGCGAGTTGGAGACTGCACGACGGAAGCTTCAGCAACGTCTAAAGCAGCACGAGTACATTCAGACCCAGTTTCGAGCTCAAAACCCCGAGCAGAACGATGAAAAGCAGTCACATCACCAGTCAGAAGCTGACGAGAAGAGGCGAGCTGCGGTGTCCGTAGACGCGTAAGGCAAGCTGTGGAAATGCTATGGACATTCGAAACTTGTCCACATATATTATCCAGCCTACCGTAGAACTAAAATGGATGCGTGCTTGCCCACTGGAACCCCGCAATAGAGTAGAGAATGCCACTTGGCGTTGTGCGAACTTCAGCTGCCTATGCCGTGATATAGCTCAGACGGAATCGACTAAGCTCTTTCCATGGGCCACCAGCGGACCGTGCACGAGGATCATCCCGAATTTGCTGTGCGAAGGCATGTTCCACTGCTTCACGCTTGCTTCGCAGTGACATTTCAGGTAAATACAAGGCTTGCTCCGAAGAGAAAGAGGCCAGAGCAGTGGTCGCTAGCACGTCGCCACTGATGCAAAGCCGTTGACTATGCCAGCACTCGATGCGCATGCGCGAGTGGTAGGATGGACCATTCCCCCGCATGGACCAACTGAACATCTGCAGGTACACGATGAGCCGCCCCGACTTCTCAACCTGCACCTCGCCGATATAATCCCCCCAAGCGCCTGTGTTTGCTTCGGTTGCCATCGCATTCGGGAACTGCGAGAACACACGATCTCTGCCATCCAGCACCAACCGCATGCAGTCCTGAGCGCCTGCAAAGCCCTGAGTAGACCGGACGTGAAGCGTGCGCGCCTTGATATCAATGCCTACCTCAATGCGTACCATTTGCGAGATGATGTCAAACAGAGTAAAGAGCGACACTGCCCCGTCATCGCTGTCGATATCACCGAAGCCGCTGAGATCGTGGATGTCCACTTTGATAGCGTTCTCGCTGGGCTTCCACACTGCTTCATCCACATCCAGCAGCCATTCGGCATTCCAATCGCACTCGACGCTGTTCTGTGGCGGGTGCGCTTGCTCGAAATCCAGACCAGCTTGACTCTTCATCAATTGCCGCGATACACCTGGGAACGACGTCATACCGATGTACGTCTCCCGCAGTTGCGCTACAAACGCGTTCCAGCCCGCGAAGCTTTGCCCGCTCAGAATCTTCCGCACTCGTGGTCGTCGGGCGTGGAAATACTCGTAAGAATACACTGCTGCAATCACCTCCTCGGCCGCATTGGCAAGACTTTGCAGCGACGTCTGCGAGAATACTTGCGCGTCCAGACGTGTCTGCAGCTCCTGAAGGAACATCACGAAGCACTCGCGCATTCCATGCTTGTCCATCACAAAACTCGCGTGCTGTCGAAAGAACGAGCGCATCCACTGCCGCGTGTCACTCGAGAAGAACCAGAGCGTCGCGTCCGCCAATACACGGAGGAGGGTCTCCAAGTCGCGCGGCAGAGCTGCTGGAGCCCCACCACCGCCACGCTTCCCATGAACAAAGAAGCCTGCAACGGCTGTCGCCCCGTCCGATCTCGCTTGGTTGAGCAATAGCTTCGAGAAGCAGTTCAACCTGCTCGTCCGCTGTGTAGACCCCGCAAGTGATCCCAGCAAGCTGTCGTTCACCAAATGCACCAGTTCATCGACAAAAGAAGCGTAAACACTCAGCGGAGCCCAACGGAGGAACGAGTATACAAGCGCCAAGTTCCTGGACACCGACACGGCCGGCAGGTTCATGTGTTCCCATCGGAGCTTGTCCTCCAGTAGATCCGGTACGTCTTCTAGCTCCATTCGTCTAGCAGGTGGGGTGGACGTTCGCTGGCGCTTGGGCTGGAACGGCCGAGAGTACATTGAGGTTGGCTTCATGTCCACAGCATTCCTCCAGTGATTGCTCTTCGGCGTGGACAGTCGGGGCTGTTGTGCGTACGCTCCGTCATAGCTTCCAACGGGGGATTCTCCTTGATAACTGACCTCTCCATAGGGCGACAAGCCCTCTTCCATCCCTGCTCCTTGGTAATAACTCTCCTGCGGCGCGCGGCGATAGGAAACCACCGTGAACTCGGGAGACGTCACGACATGGGCGACTCGGTACAGTTGCTTGACTGCGTCTCGGCTTGAAGCAGCCACGATCCTGTCGTCCTTGTCCACGGCGCAGCGCTCCACTATGTAGGCCTTCAGTACGTGCTTCATGAGCCTCTGGGCCTTGTTGGCGCCGCTCTCCCAGTCGTAGTACCAGCGCGCGTAGCTCCTGCTGTTGAGGTGAAAGATCATGGGCTTCTCGTCGGACGTCGAGTCCGCCGCGCGGATGGCGGTCACGAGCTTGGACGGCTGGTCCAGGATGCCCTTCATCCATTGGCCCTCGGGGTTGGCCTCTGTCTGGGTGGCGACCTCGATGCGGTCCACTTCGACGCACTCCCCGGGGCGGAGACTCACGTCGCTCACGGCCTCGAAGCGGGCGAAGAGATCCACGGACGGGGACTCGGAGGTCGACTCGGCGCCGAACTGCACGCGCACGCTGAGCGACGTGCCGCAGTAGCTGCGGTCGATGTGCTCCGGGCAGCAGTGCGGGAAGCAGCGCAGGATCTTGAGGCCTTTGGTGCGGTTGCTCCTGATTTGATGGACACAGCGTCAGTGAGTGGCAATGAGAGGCAGGGGAGAGTGGGGAGGAGTCGGTGGGCCCTACCGCTTGTACTCGGGCTGGAAGAGCTGCGCGTGGCTGCACTCGAGCTGGAAGAAGGAGGCGGACGCCACCTCGAGAGGGGGCGGCGGCGCCATGGTGAGACTTGTGTGCGGTCTTTTTCTATACAAACCAGGGAGCGCCTCTTTGGTCTGCCGGGACAGAAGGAGACACTACCACGCGCTAAGTACGAGGGCGGTTGCGGCAAGATGTCTTGGCATTGCGGGATCGCGGCTTGGAACGAGTCGTTCGAGCAAATCTGTTGGTCTTGTGGAGCCGGGAGCAGCAAAGCACACGTCGAGATTGATAGAGATCTACCGCTGGTCTTTGAATGACAAAGGCAAACGCCCTTATAGCAGAGGCATTGCGCGGATCGGAGACTTGTTTGCCCGCACGTTGACTTCGCGTTCGTTTAAGGGCTCAAAGGCGGCTCGGGACTTGTGGTCAATCTTGCTGGAACTGGTAAAGCTGCACCGATACTATCGGCCCGATAGGTAGCAGGATGTGGTGCTCCATGGAGTGGAGCAGCTTGGCCCAGGTGTTGCCTCCTCCGGGCACGAGACCGTGAGTCATGGCTGATCATCACGAGGCTTCCCAACACTGCTCTGCAAGACACTTCGAGCAAAACGGGAGGCAAAGCCGACTCAACTGTCCGTACACAAGTCAGCATGCCGTAGTGTTTCAAAGCCCTCACGTGGATAATGAAGGTAGATTGCACGCATCGAGGGTGCAAGACGATCTCTATGTAAGCTTAGTTGCGCGAGGTGGCGAATGAAAGCTGTGAAAAACGAAGGCGGTGTGAGATAGGTATCCCACTTTTTGAGCTGTCGACCACTAAAGTTAACTAAAACTATCCCTAAACTTTACCTAGCCGCTAGTAAAAAAAACGTATAGATTTACTCTTGATAGCGCGCTAATTTTGCAGCGGAAGCCCGCCCCAAATGGACTTCGTGGTGGAGGACTATGCAGGAGGAAGGGCTCTAACTCGGAGGAATTGAGCCAGTCTCCGTCGGAATCGGGTGCGTAGCTACTACGACGAACAACAACCTGTGACTGCCAATGTCGTTCTGCCATGCCACAGAACGCCGGCAATGATGGGGGGGATTGATGAAGCCCGGGGCTTCATCAAGTTCCACTCTTCGCTCGATTATGACTCCGTACGTCAAGCTCTTAACGTGGTGGTGGCATGGACTAATTACTGTGTCCTTCACGTGTGGACATTCTTCTCATTTGAATAATTTGGATCAGAGTGAGGTGATTTTTCATGAAAGGTGAATGCGAGGTGTTTGACGCAGAGTTGTGGTGTCTGCACGTCGGTGCTCTACAGCGTTCGGAGCTGCGTTCCAGGGAGTCCTACGCCCAGCTTTTACTACTTACTGAAGCACAACACTGTTTCAGAAGCGCAGGGCTCGCTCGTTATTGTCGGAAAGAATCGGTCTCGCTGGGGTGGCTGCTGCTGGAGAACGTCGGAATGAGTGATGCGCAGTGCCCAAACAGTTGGCGCTATGGACGCCGGTGGATGAAGAGAAGAAGGGTGAAGCCCCCGAGGAGAAGAAGAAGAAGAGAGGGGGGGGGATGGGCCCAGCGCGCTTCTCGATGATGCAGCTCATTCCCACAGCCTGTGGAATGATGGGGCGAAGGATGGGCGATGGATACCGACTTTCATGTGAGGTGCATCCCGCTTTGGTCAACGATGAATCCAACCTTCTGCCACAGAAAGTAAAAAGCTACGTCACTGTCTGCATGCTCTCATCGATCTCATCTGTATGCTACGGAATGGCCATTGTTGGCCTACAGAAGCCGGGACCAATTTACTGTACACACTGCGCATGGAGTTAAGGGCGATGGCCCATCACTCGTCGATGAACTCGGAAGCCCTGGAGCTTTGAACAGGCTGATATTATTTCTGCGATGAGAGTACGATTACTTAATTTCACCTTCACTTCATCATACTTTTTGGATATAGCTTTGGACTCACTTATGTTGGTGAAGCTGGCTGCTTCAATTTCCTCGAGTAGGAGCTTACTTGCTTCATGGTGAAATTCGTCATACTGACATCAAGAGAGACTTGAAAAATGCAAACTGGTGGCTCAAGCGATGAATCCCGACTGTAAAGTGATGAACACCGACGAAGGAAAACAAGATGAACTGATAAATTACTCGCTGTTGTTGAAACGTGAATAATATGCCCCCGAAGTCCAAACATTCTCTATCGCGACAATGTCCAGTCTGCAATCTCGGTTGCTGGATGATCAATCCGGTGTCTGTTTTTATGACGTGCGTTTTGTTGAGCTGGTAGACGCAAATCCGTCGTTCAACTCGCGAGATGAGAAAGTCATGACCAAAATTTCTGGACGAATCGAATAAAATTTCCGATGGTAGAAAGCGTATACTTGTTAACATGGAGCCCACCCTTGCGCCGGTCTAGTTGAACCAGTTATGGCGAGTTAGCTCTGTATAAATCTGGTGAGGTGTGTATCGGCACGTGTTTTTTTTCTAATGCCAGGATCAGGGCACGAGTGGTGGATAGAGCTCTATTGCGTTGCATAATTTGGTTGTGCGGATGCGCCAGATTTACAGTTCTACATCGAAAGTGTGTGCGTGGAGTGTTGAATCAAATGTTCTTTCTACATGTGACCAATTGCGTGCAATCACCCAGTGAAAAAATCCCATCCCCTTGCGGTAGCTTCTACTCGTAGGACGCATATTTGACGTGTGGACGTTCTTCCCATTTGAAACCTTTCAGCCCGAGCGTTTATGACGGACAACTGAAGGTATTTTCAAGTTCAGGTTCAGAAGTCCACAGGCACCGTCCGATCTAGGGAGTGGCCTGCTCGCCACATGTGAAGACTTTACTCATCGATGATGTTTTTGCTTTTGCTAATAGTCAATGATGAGTAGAGCTTTTAATGTTGTGGGGACTGACGCTCGAGTCGGTTGCTGGGAAACTATTGAGACGGTTTCTGGATAAGTTCCAAAGTAGGGAAAGCCCTTGGACCCCAGCTTGCAAGAATATGGGGCTATCGGAGTCTGGTTTCATTAATGGCGAGCCGATGGGATGTGTAATATTTTGAAGATGGCAACGTAGTGGCCAACATAACTGGTCACGTCCAATTCGATTTCGGGTGGATACGTGGACACGTAAGCTTTGCGGCTGAGGCGATATGTAAACGCATCTTGAGGTTGATATATGGATGTACAGTTACCTAGATTATTGCTGCTTTTTTTTGAAAGCAAATCAACGCTGAACTTGCTATGCGGACGATATCTATATGCCTGGCTTGATTTTTCGTTTCCATAGCTCCGCGATAGTTGGTTACGCGGTATTCTTGACATGACTTTGTTAATGATTGCGAGTTTTGTCCTGATCGTCTTCATCATGAAAAAAATGTCTCGTTAATCTCCGCGGCAATACTTAGTACTACGCTCTAACTTTTGGTGCCTCGCATCTTCAGATGTGCTGAGTAACTACTGCACGATCGGCTAGAATCGTGAGCACACTTTTGGAGTCTGCTGCTCCAAGCGCTGCAACTAGTTAGCCACTGTGGAAAAAAGTCGATCTTGTTTTGTTTCGATACTTCGAGTTTCACCACTCAGTTATTTATTCTTTCTGCTCGAGGAAACAAGAGTATTCTCGTTGGCAAACTAGCTCGCTGTCAAGAACCAGGCGACAGGTAGGTAAGATGATTGAGCTAAATCGAATCTGTTCGACTTTGACTAGTATTACGTAGTGGTCGCGAGCCTCTACGCCTTCAGGTAACTCAGACGAAATCTACCCAGTTCCCTCCATGGTCCAGCGGATGGAGACGTAGCCCACTCACCAGCTGAATAATCTTGAAGTTGCTGCTCGAAGAAGTTCGCCACCGCCGCGCGTTTCATTCGTAGCGGCATTTCCCCCAGATTCGAAGTGTCCTCCAGCGGGAAGGACGCTGGTGCAGTGGTGGCAAGTACATCACCGCTAACACACAGCCGCTTACTCTGCCAGCATTCGATTCGTAGCCGCACGTGGTAAGAGGGTCGGTGTATCTCTGTAGACCAGGTGAAAACCTGCAGGTATACTACGAGGCGTCCGGGTTTCTCTACCCGCGTTTCTCCGATATAGTCTCCGTGTCTCCCTGAGCCGATGCCCGACGCCAATCCGTTGGGAAATTGAGAGAACACCCGCTCTTTGCCGTCCAGCACCAAACACATACAGTCTAGTGCACTGGCCACACCTTCAGTAGACCGAATGCGTAGCACGCAGGCTTGTGCGTCGATCGCCACCTGCAGACGCACTATCTGCGACATAGTCTCGAACAAGGTGAGCAGACAAATCGCTTCGCTATCTTCTGCAAAACCATCACAGCCGCTCTTAGAGTCCGCTTTCATGGTCTGTTGGCTCGGTTTCCACACTGCCTCGTCCACCTGCAGAAACCACTCGGCGTTCCAGTCGCTCTCAATTGAATTTTGTGGCGGATGTGCTCGATTAAAGTTCGGCTCGGAATCGCGCACAGCTATCGTTCGTGAGATGCTCCTCGGACAAGTCGATACGTTGACATAGGTCTGGCGCATCTGAGCCACGAACGCGTTCCAGCCTGCGAAGCTCTGCCCGCTCAAAATCTCCCGAATCTGCGGCCGTCGCGCGTGGAAGAACGAGCAAGAGTAGACAGCGGCGATGACTTCCTCGGCCACGTTAGCCAGACTCTGCAGTTGTGTGTTCTGGAACACTTCCGTGTCCAGGCGGTTCCTCGTTTCCTTCACGAACAGCACGAAGCACGCGCGGAGCGAATGTTTGTCCAGAACGGACTCGGCATACTGCAAGAAGAACGCGCGCACCCAACGCTGCGTGGTCTTCGAGAAAAACCACAGCGCCGCCTGCGCTAATGCACGCAGCAGCGAATTTATCTGGCTCGACAGCGTCCTGGAGGGTCCATCTTCGCGTGTGAGAAACGATGACGCTGCGGCTGAGCCTGCGTCTGTTTCCGCCTGGTCAAACAAAACTTTGGAGAAACAATTGAGCTTGTCGAGCTCGCTGGAGACTGAAGTCCCTCTAAACGCCTCCTGCAGACGCTGTTGAAGACAAATTGCAACCTCATCAACACAAGAAGCATAGACGCCGAGCGGCGCCCAGCGAACGAGTGAGTACGCTAGCGCCAGATC